TAGCTTGACGTGATGTTCTCCGGGTAGTCGAAACCCGAATCCTTGAGCTTGGTACGCAGCTGAATGGTGCGCTTAACGTAATCCTCGACGCGCTCATCGTTACCCTTCTTGAGGCTGCGTATTTGTGCGTCGTAGAGTAGCTGGTGCCCTTTCTGATTCTCGCTGTGGATCTTCTTCAGATATGCCCATCCAGCAGCTGATGTCGCGCACTGATCAATCTCCTGAAGGAACTTGTCGCCGACCATCATGATCAGCGCGGCCTTCGCCATTAAACCTTTCTCGACAGAGGTAATAGGAGCAGAGTTGACTACATCCCAATAACCATCCAGAATCAGGGCATTTCTTGCCCTCGGCTCCCATTGCGGGTAGTCGGCGATCGACTCCAACTTCGGGACCCGCTTCGATTGTTCGGCCATTTCGCAAATCCGGCTGTATGTAGCCTCCCTGCCTGCAGCCAGGCTCAAATGTACCAGAGCCGCTCTTATCCTGAGACTGCAATCCCGCAGTTGGCTGGTTCCGGCAGACCGCGACACTATCCTTGCGCGGGGCTCATAACCTGAAAACTAAGCAGCGAATACAGAGCGATCACCTCGTTATACGTTACATAGGTCTGGGATTAGAGCGAGGATAAAAGGCAAGACCCTGCCATAAATACAAAGTGTATCTCGGAAATCCGCTCCAGAACCAGTACAGGTATCCCGCCAAACTACGATATGCAGGAGTTCTGGACGAGATATCAACAGTTGTACCATATAAATCTACTGCACCACAATCGGACACTATATTTGTTCGTTCTTTACTACAATCTCCTAAATCGTTTGCCGTGCAAAATACTGGTACTGGTTATCTGCTAAAACCATTGCACCGCAAATGAGACTAAAAACGTACACTCCAGCGTCACACACCGCCTACCGCGATAATCAAAACATCCCACGACGCAGGCGCACGGAATAAACAAGTGAACAATCTGTATAGCGCCGACCACATTTAGGTTTTTATTAGGCTTTGCGGTTGGTTTAACGCTGATAGCCTTATATAAACACTACATAAAAACACGCTACGCGTAATGTCGGCTTGCCCGAAAGAGGAATTGTCTTAGCCTGTAGTGGTTGATTTTGAGGGTGCCGCAGCCTATGTTGTGATGATATTTTGATAATCTGTATGAGCATTGTGAGTCAAATGCTTACAAGGAGCAAAGGTAATGGATAAGTTGTGTTCGTGCACTTAACCTCACTTTACCACGACATGTCGAAAGGCCGTCATTTCGCACCCACACCTTCTCTCCCTCCTCTTGACGCTTCACTTAATATACAACGTTCATATAATACAACGTTCATTGTTACGAGTTCTTCTTAGGAATTTCTTCTTTTTACTTGACGCTTCACTTTGCCATTTTTCCGGGTATCACATCCCAGGTGTCTGGTCGATTTGCCTTATGCACGGCCACTTCGTCACACTGCACAACTTCCGGACTTCTGCGCTTTGCATTTTACCATGTTTTCTCTAGTATTCAATAACACCGCGCCAAGGCCCTGAACGCAGGAACGTTCCTTCCGGAATGCGCAAATAGTAATTGTGTCTCAGTCCGAGCATGCTCCTCCATTTCATCCAACATCTAGGTTCTTGCCCACCTTCTAGGTGGGCAAACCAACCCTACACCTTTGCCGTTGTGAAAAGGTTCCCTTATTACCGCCTATTCTTGCCACTCCTTCGGCATCATGGGGACAGGGTCAGCTGTTCGTCACTTGCAACCACGGTCGATCTGCTGCCCATTTCCGCAAGTTAGTGTCCTGGCGCAGGGCTGCCGGCACGACCAGCCGTGTAAGTCCGCTCCATAGATCCCGTCCAGACACCGGCGAGGACGAAGGTGGTGGCAATGATCCATACTGATGTTGCAGCTGTGCGTTAAAGCTTCCGCATCGTCCACCTAGCCTCGCCGCATCATCCTGTCCATCGTGACCCCAATCCACGGGCCAAGCCTTCAGCTGTTGCGGCGCTGATCCCCCTGATATCATCGCCGCCTTCATATTGAGCGCCGGCTGTGCCACGACTGCTGCTGCGGGCAGCCCTGTCGTTACACGGAGGCTGCTCAGGCTGGGGCAGAAACGTGCAGCTGCTCCCAACCCATCCGCATCCAGTGCCGCCGTCAGCTCCCGAAGGTGTGGACAACGGCCCAGTAATGCTACCAAGGCCAGGCCACTCAGCTGCGGACAGTTCTCCAGATCCAAAGACAGCAGCAGCAGGGGTGGCGGTGACGGCAGCGGGGGGTTTGCAGGGCAACTTGCTCCAGGTAACATGAGGCCCTGAGTACCTGAGGTTACTGACCCGTGATCTCTCAATTTGTGCACCCCTACCTCCTCGGGAGGGGTTGCGGCTGTCTGATTGTCACCATTGCTGGCTGCCGCGACAGCTGCCGCAGTTCCAGCCAGAAGAAAGCGACCGGTGATGGATTCTGAGTCAGACAGATCCAGGTGCAGAAGACTGCCTTGAGGAATGGAACAATGTGGCAGCCGCAAGCGTCCGGCAGCCACAGTGCTGGCGTGCCCTTCTACCATGGACCCTTGATTTACGACTGAAACTTCACGACTACTAGCACTTGCTGCGTTTCCTGCTGAGTCCGTCCAACTCAGCCCGACACACACCCGACCTTGCACTGCGGCCGCTGTGGCGGCTGTGGCAGCGGATTCTGTGCTCGGTCCCGGGCCCGACCTGTCACAGTCGACGCCGTTGCTGCCGTCATGAGGTTCTCCCTGCTCACTCTCCTCCACTGCCACCGCGGCCGCCTTCTCCGTCTCAAACTCCACAACACGGATCGCAAGGGCTAGTGTGGCATCCGTCACATGCGGAGAACCAGTCAGCATGAAGCGCCGCAGCAGCCGACAGCCCCGCAGCACTGTACCCGCGCCCGCGTCCGTGACGGCCACGGCGCCACGCAGCCTCAGTGTCCGTAACAGCGGACAGCAGGACGGCAAGCGCTGCAACAAGTCATCTGTGATTCCTGCGGCAACCCTTCTGGTCACCGTGCCTGCCATAGACGCCATCGCATTCACTGCTCGGAACGACGAGGACGACGACAGAAGGGGTGCGCCCAGATCCAAGCTCTGTAAAGCCCAAAGCGTATTACTGCCCGGCACATAAGTGCGTGCCGATACGCCCGTGCCTATATCTTCACTGTCGACGCCTCCCAGCAGCCACCTGACTGCAGCGTCGTACGACAATCCTCCGGGTAGACTGACCTCTAACAAGTTACGCGACCGGTTGTTGCCTGCGGAGGCGGCAGTCCGTGGCTCCCCACTCTCACATGCCGCGGCCGACTGCCTGTAGCGGGGTCCGAGGTCACTGCAGCCTAGCGCCGCAGCAGTGAGTTGTGGACAACCGGATAGTTTGAGCACCTGCAGCCGGGGAGAGCGCTCCAGAGCCTGTGCACAAGCAAGACCAGGAGAGGTCAGACAGCAGGTCATACCTGGGGGAAGTGGCTAGGCGGGGATCAGCCAGTTAGTCAGGAGGCGCAGCACAGGAGGAACAGTATGCACGGAGAGTGCAGAGCGCGCGCCGCAGCATTTTCTCCATGTATCTGTGCTCAAGGGTCCTAAGTAAATTCCTAAGCTGAAGCAACCGCGTCTTGACTCGCGTGTCTGGCAACGGCACGATATGCGCAGCCGGTCCGGCGCAACACTCCAAAGTCTTCAGCCCCATCTCGGCTGCCCAGTTTCTAAACTCAGGCGTCCACGAACTCACCCCTTCACCAGCATCGCGAGCCCCCCAACCCCACCATTACCACCACCACCACCCTACCTGCAGGACCCCCAGGTCAGTGGCCCCCTTGCAATTCGCCATATCCAGACGACTAACACCCGCCACCGACCGCAATGCGGCCTCCCCGGCCAGTGTACCGCCCAGTCTGAGGATGCGGAAGGGGCCAATACCGGCGAGCTTGTCCTGCTGCTGCTCCAGCTGTCGTAGCCCTGCAGGCGGTCGCTCAAATGGCTGCACCTGCCGGGGCTGGACTAGGTCAGCAAGGAGTACGGCCAGGCCGCGATCGGTGACGCCCCCATGGCGGGGTCGTTTGCTGCGGTTGCCGGAAGCTGGGTAAGCGGTTGGTCCCTCGGAGGAAGTGGGTCGATTGAATGCGGAGCCCGGAGCCCGACACCGTTGGGCGCCTGGGGAAGAGGAGGAACCCCAAACCACGTAATCTGTTAGCTAACTGATACACAACAATAAGCATTACTCAGCGCAATAACTGATCATCACCAACCAGCCAAACGACCCATGCAAACTAAGCTACCTGCACGCTGCCCACTCACCCGGACCAGGTGTGCAGTTGGTTAGGTCCAGGGAGGTGAGGCGGGTGAGGGCCCTCAGATGACTCAGCCCCTCGTCACTCAGATGGAAGCAACCAGCCAGGCAAAGACCACTCAGACGGTAACAGCACGCGGACAGGCGGGCTGCAGCCATGTCGGAAAACTGGCAGGCGGACGACCGACACGGTGGCCCGACGGACGGCGAACGAACCGGAAAGTTGCAGTATGTAGCAGAGGAGGAGCGGTAGGTAAAGGTGCTGGTGTGATATGCGTTATGGAAAGTAACGGTGGGAAGAGGCGGTGGTAGCGGGGGCTGCATTAGTAATGAAGACGAGGAGGACGGGATGTGCGCGGAAAGGGTTGCGTAGCGGGATGATCCAACCAACATACAAAGAGACGCGCAAGGGGGACGCGGGCGAACACATCGTACTTAGTGTTTACGCGTAGATGGGCTCTCCTTGTATGACCCACCTGCGCTGTCCCCGACAGATCAAGATACGTGACGCCGTCCATCGCCAAACCGCAACCATCGGGTCCACTAGAGTCAAACAGGTCCTCCACCATACCGGCGCGGCCCAGGGCTTCCGCGGTGAGCGCCTCCGACCTGACTCCACTGCCTGCACCTCCGCCTCCGTCGCCACTGGCCACTTCAATGCTGACGCCGCTTCCGCCATGTCTTCCACCACCTCCGACGCCAGCTTGCACTGATTGCTCTGCCCTATCCACCAGTCGCCGGATTAAAACCTCCCCTAACACAACCTCCGGCTCCTCATCCCAGTGTGACAACCCTGCAGCACAAAGCGTCCGGAAGCCCTCCACTCGCCCCAAGAACCCTGCTGCTGCCGCTCCTTCGGCTCCTGCTACTGTTGCCCCCAGCCCGTTATCGCCACTGCCACCGGAGGTAGCGGAGGTTCTGCTGGTTTCCGCTTCATCGGGCCCTGCCTTCAAGTGGCTGCATGTGTCTCCGTCTCCGTCTAACCCCCGACCTCCGGGCCCTGTCCCGGTGGCCCCGACTGCTGCCCTTATCTGTGCGGCCCGTATGCGTGCCGCCGCTAGGATGCTACAGCCCGTGAGCTGGTGGCAGTAGCTGACCCTCATGTGCGCCAGTGAGGGGCAGGAGGCCACCAGTAACGGGGGCACCCGGGAGGAGATGGAAGTGGAGGATAGCGAGAGAGACGTGAGCGTCTGGCTGTGGCAGTCCACCCAGGAAGGGAGCCGGGAGGCCCGAGTCCAGGCGTGGGTGGGAGAGAGCGGAAGGAAGAGGGATGTCGTGTGTCGGCAAGAGTGGCATTCCAGGCTCCTAGGATGATGACCATGGGGACCTTTATATAGAGAGGATTGCGGAAATCAAGATAACGGAAAGCGAATCACGCGAACACGTTCGTAGCAGACGCACAGCCAGCGAACGGAGGGCAAAATGCAGACGCGGCTGTTAATATTGTAGTTGTACGTAGATAACGTAGACAACGTGAGCACCTAACATGAAGCTCAGATGCCGATGCTGTGTGGTCCTGTCTGTAAGGAAAAGTATGCTAGCAGGCGCTCATCCTCGTTCACAAGCTCCAACACACTGACTACCGGACGGACTCGTCACATTTCCTCTGAAGCAGATTTCGTCCCAGCAACAAGACTATGGAGGAGTACTGCGGCCCAGTTATTCCCATGCATTGCCTAACAGTGGGCCCCCCCACCGCTCCTCCTTCAGGCCCCTCTGCTTAGAAACGCGTCCCTAGGAGAAAACGACACACACAGATACGGAAACCTTCTGGCGCACCTGCAAGGCAAGATCCCGTCATGCACCTCTGCCTTTCCACCGCTCCCACCGCAACCGGCACTGGCGCTACTGCCGCCAACGCGGTCCTCACCGCCTGTGGTTGGCTCCGTGGACCACAAGACCTGGAGGTCCACGTCACTTAGAGCCACTATGCCCGATAAGTCCAGCTCTTGTAGTGCCGGGGTGCAGCGAAGCAGCACATGAACCTGCGGCGGTCGCCCTTCTCCCTGCAAAGCTGCAACTCCTGCCTCACCACCCTCCACTACATACTGGGGTGGCTGCTGAACTTCAATACCCTCCTCAGCCTCAACTACCGGGTTCAGCGGACCTCCTGACGCCAGCCGCCAACAGCCCGACAGGCGGAGGGCCCTACGCGGGGAGAGGAACGGAGAGCAGCCCCGGAGAGAAGAGTTCTGGACCTGTAAGCGAGTTGCGATGGGAGAGAGATGGAGTCGTCGTCGGCATCCACCGCCATCCCAAACTACATCCAGATACCCACTCACCGCCCCAAAAGCGTGTATCGGACACGGGCCCCCACCTGAGACGCCTGCAGGCATGCAGGGGCGTTAGGTCCGATACCTGCAGCAAGTGACCCACGGGTCATTATCATGGCCAGGTTCAAGTGGGGAGGACGGGAGCCCCGACAGATATTAGGCCGCATCAAGTGGCAGCGCCTGCGGCCACCACATCAGAGGGGCGGAAGCTGTGAGGGCCGCCGCCACGCCAAGTTTAAGTTTCAAGTCCATCCTGACCTCGGGTTCCCCGCTGTTGTGTACGAGCTATATACAACGTATACGCCAACTCCCACGGTATAGGTCAATGCAACTCAGCAGACCTTAAGAGGTAGCACATACCACATGTAACAAACATGTGTGAGCAGGACAACAGAGGAAAGTTCACAGCAAAACGCCCACAGCGACGGCTACAACCTCCCAGGTAAGCTTTCTTGTCCTGCTTCACTCCTCCGACCCACTCCATGCCGTGGACCCTCAATTTGCTTGGGCCCGGTCTGGACTCCTCTTTTACCCTTGTGGTAACGCCAGGCCTAGATCAACACACTTTCTCGTCGCTACTTCAGGCAAACAATACAGAGGTAATTTAGACTGTTGGACCACTGTGATGGGGGACCTACCAGCCAGCAGCCTGATAAATCCAGGGAGGTTAGGCGGTTGGACAGTTGGGCACCAACCGCCGCAACCGACTCGTTCCCCAGTTGATGGCATCCCGACACATCCAGCACCTCCAGGTGGTTGCAGTACGGCAGCAGCAACCGCATGTCATAATTACTGCGCCACGTGAGGAATAGGGCGTTCATGGAAGGGGTTCGTAGGCAGAGGCCGGGCAGGCGGCTGTTGCCTAAATGTGTCCATGAGAAAGGAAAAACCTAGTGGTTCGATAGGACGCAACACGCAACGAATGCGAGGAGATGCTGGGGCTCTTGAGCCAGGACGCCACTGAGAATTACACGTGCAGACACGCAAGCATACATCGGACACGGCAGGCCCTGATAGGATAAGTAGAAGTTAATGCAGAATTAACGGGCTATGTATGGCCTTTGTGCCATATGGCCTTTATACAGGACAAAGGGAATTAACGGGTGGTGCAAATGCACGCAGACACCCCTTCGGCTAGCTACATGTTACCCAGCTCGCATGCCAATTCGCACGTCCAAACAGCGAGAACTCCAAGTAATTGACCATCAGACCTGGTTTGATGGCAACCATGGAGAGCCAGCGAGCGAAGTGTTCGGACAGGTGGTTGGCGGGGTATACAAAGCTGATTAGGAAAAGCAGGGCTTAGTTCCCTCAAGCGACGCTCCTGAGCCGTTAAGCACCTATTCCCCGGGTCCTCCTGTTCAACGGAAGCTGCAGCGTCCGTCAACAGGTCAGTTCCCGCGGTCTCCATCGCCATGCAATCGGCCAGGTTGCCTGCTGTGAGTCGGCAACAGCCCGACAGGTGCATCTGGCTCGTGAACGCCAAGAACTCGCTGCTCCATACAGCCCTGGTTCGAAAAAGGGGACCGCTCATGTGGTAAAGCCGCTAGACTGTGTCTCTGTGCATGGGGGGTTTCGAGTTTGGACGTTCATGGAGGGGACATGTCGAGGATCACGTCGGGGGTGTGGAGAGGGTTTCCAGAAGCATAAGCTTATAAGCCTTTCAAAGCTTGTCCTTTGCGGTACTCTGAGGTGCTGTCTGTTCAGACCATGTCGTAGAGCCTGGCCTGTGGAGCGCTCACCGTAATGTGTAAGACGTCAGCGCCCCCAGACGCGCGAGCGCTAAAAATAAAGCCCATTTAAGTTCAAAAGGAAAAAAAGCCGTTACTTTCTGAATAAGCTCTGCTGCAGGCCCAGCTGCCCATGAATCCTGGCCTGTTCCGGCAGCGACTGCTAGCTGTCGCGCAACGACCCCCAGCACGATGTCTTGTAAAGTAGGCAAGGACATATAAATGTTCAATTTTTCATTCTTTGTTGTATTGATATGCTAAATTATGGTCGCTTTGAAGTATACCGTTGCGCTGGAGCGACGGCAGGTCCACTTCCGGCAGGTCCACTTTCGGGAGGTCCACTTCTTCTGGCTCTTCAATCATAATTTTCTTATCTGATTGCAGCACCCACTAGACGGATTTTGTGTTTGGTGGAAAAATTATCTAACAGGCATGGAAAGTCCGTACATCGGTTCAAACCAGAGCGGAGGCCCTACCCACAACTTCCCCAACAGTGCACCCAAGGCCATACTCACAACTTCCCCGCTCCTCGCCAATACCGCAGAACCAACCGCCACCGTTAGCAGGATTATCATGGTAGCGCAATATCTTTGAAGGATGTAGGCTACTCCTTGGGTGCAATGGGACCATCATGCTGGGACCAGCATCCATGTGTCCCGCCCTAAGAACAACTTCAACAGCCTAGCAGCCATGCAGCGTAGTTGCAGCACTGAGGCGCCCCGCAACATGCATATCTGAGTGTGTATATCAACCAGGGAAGATCTCCCATGGTATGAACAGCGGGTGTATGTGGCTGCGCTTGCGTATGCGTTTGTTGAAAGTTAGGGAGCATCGAATGTGTATGCATTTGTGCGCAGTCTAAGTCCCGCCAAAAGCCATCGATATAGTCAGTTCTTACCATTTAAAATCACGAGGGATGACGCGCGGTGAAGGACGATCTCGAAGAGCTGCTGTCCTTACACGCGCACGCATGCGCTCTTCGCATGTATGCACGCGTGCACGGCCCATCCAGTTGTCCAACACGCTAACACGCGAACTCCAAAGGTCGTTTGGTCACAAATTGCACAGCTGGTCTAACCTCCTCCACCTCCCTCTTACACCCAGCCCCAACCTCCCTGCGCAATCCCTTCTTCAATTGGGCTTTCCCCTCCGTCCGTGGCCGCCTCCCAACCGCCGTTAGCACCTACGGGATCCCCCCATTCACTCGAGTTCACATGCAGCATACAGAGCAATCCGTCCATTCACACAGGGGTTGTCCCGACCCCAGGAAACCCCTGCAGCCAGCCAGCTAGCCAGCCAGCCGCACAATCACCACACATCAGCTGGGCCCCCGGGCCAGCACATACACCGACACGCGGGACCGAACGGACAACCGGAAATGAACTGTACCGGGCCTGTGCTGGAGGCAGGCATCCAGCGAACTAACAGGTCATTGTCCAACACAAGCCTCGGAATGGTCTACATATCTGTGTCGCCTCCACCTGCGAATCCTCAGATTGCTTGTTAAAGTGCACCCACCTTTCACCCTAGTACTGTTTCACACACACACACACACACACACGCCAACCTGCACCCGTCCTGCATTACCGTTCATTACTCGCTCGCTTGCTTCCACACGAAGCGCACACGTCGTCCCCCTAACACTTGCACGTGTCACACAACGTACGCACGATGCCAATATCCAACAGACACACACATAGACAGACACACACATAGACGCTGCGGCGGCCCATTTTTCCCCTCCCATCCTGGCCCTCCCTGTCATGGCCCGTACATGAGCCCCTAATCCGACAAAGAGCACAACATGCACACGCCCCTCAGCGTCCAGTGCCACTGCGGCAGCTCCGATGGCATCCGGATCATCATCAGGAAGTTGGTGGAGTGGCCGGTGGTGGCCAACACGCCCTTGCGCTCCGCAGTGCGGTACACGGGGCAGTCGTAGCAGGACTCCTCGGAGAACTGGTCCGCGGGTCGGGGCTGGAGCCAGATCACGGGGGCTTGCTCGAACAAAACCTGGACAGCACATCAGCCAGGCAGAGAGAAGAACACGGGAGGTGAGAAATGGTCTGGGCAGGTATGGCGGGGCCGGCTGGTGTGCTGTGTGAGCCTTGGAACTTGAAAGGTAATGTTCGTCTGATGAGAAACGCCCATGAGCAAGTTAGCGTAAGTGTGTATGTATGCATGTCTGTGCGCGTGTGTTCATGCCTGTGTGCATCTCTTAAACCCACCTTGGGCCTGCTCTCACAGAGCTTATGTCCCAGGGAGTCCCAGGCACAGCCCTCCAGGTACAGGCCGTGCACGTACACGCCGTCCTCGGGCGGGGAGGTGTAGGCCCCAGGGTCGGTGCCCATCATCACGAAGTCAAAGCCCACCGTGTCAATGGGCAGCTTGTGCTTGCGCGCGTAGTTCTGGAGGGAAGAGCACAGCAGAGGGAGGGAGGGAAGGGGCGGTGGAGGAATGGACAGCGAGGGCCCAGGCAGGCAGAAAACATATAAACATATCATCATGATAACGTGTTCACGTGGCCCAGAAGCCTCCCACTCTGTAACAATTCAATATAAACATATCACAGTGATAAAGCGGAAACCAGGCCCAAAGCTTTCTCTTCGTGGTTCGCTCCCAGTTGCAGGTCCCTAGCGCATCAATGGGGTTGTACGTCACCTGCACACGTACCACTCACCAGCTTCCCACCGTCTGACCTCCAGAGTACAGTTGGGTATGCCGTACTCACATCCTACCCACCCGACACACTACCCCCCCTGGAGTCTGATGTCTCTCCCCCTCGCATCCTCCCCCGACCCTTCCCGACCTGCAGCGCCGCAGTGGTGAACGACGGCGTGAAGAAGAACCCCGAGAGCCAGAACACAGTGGGCGGTCCATTGTCGTACCAGGACTGCAGCATCTCCAGCCTGGCCAGCAGGTCGGAGATGTAGGAGGCGAGGGGCTTGAGGGAGGGAAAGGACTTGCCCTTCCACAAAGCCGGAACTTGACCCAGGGCCATGGACCTGGCCGGATGTCACCATCGTTATTATCAGCAAGAGAGTTGCCGAGGGGGTGGGGGGGTATTACACCGTGGAAGGATGGTGAAGGGAAGAGGGTCACACGAAGAAGACCTGGATACATACGTATGTATGCGTTCCAACAAACAAAAGGAACGCGGATCCGGAGGGTGAGTGCACGAGGAGCCAAGCCATGGCCAATTCAGCACCTGGAAACCGGAAAAGCAGGAAGCCAACAACACGGCGTCGCCAGCCATGAGAAGCTTGTGAAAGGCCTGCTGCTGCTTTCCGTGCTCCCTTACACCTGTGACGGATACATACGCGCACACACACACACACACACACACACACACACACGCAGAGAGCCACACACCCCACACACACACCTGAGCACTGTGTCCAGCTCCGAGGATAGGACCTGCAGTCCGCTGAGTGCCTTGCCCAGGTTGATGAGAGAGGAGCGGATGATGGCGAGAAGGCGGTTGTAGCGGAGCATCTCCTGGCACAACACCTGGATACGGGAGAGGGGAGGGGGAGGCAAGTGGTTCGGACACACAGGCGGGGAAGGAGAGGGAGGGAGGGAGGGAGGGAGGGAGAGGCTAGGGGCTTCCGGGACGCGGTTGCGTTGGGATGTAGGGAAGGTGTTCGAAGCACTGTTACCCTGCAAAACCCAAGTGCAGGCATCGTATTCGGTTGGCACAAAGCAGACACACACACCGAATTCGGAGCACACAGACATCCGAAGCGAGCGCAGTAGCCGCAGACCTCCCCGCGCGCCCACCAAACCGCACCTGGTTGAGCGACTCCTCGTACCGCACCGGGTACTTGGCCTGAGCCTTTTCCACATCAAAGTTGGGTGGAAGGCGCTTGAGGATGTCATCGACCATGGCCGCCACAATTTCTTCCTCGGCGCTGCCGCCTCCGCCCCCACCGCCTCCTCCCCCGCCCCCACCGCCCGTCAGCACCATCGTGTCCAACATCAGGGACGTCTGCTGCAGGTCCTTGGTGATGTCAGCGTTCTCGTGGAGACCAAATGCCTCAGGAAGCGGGAAGATAGGCAGCGTGGCAATGTACGACAAGTACGAAGCATGAGGACCCTCGGGCGGAATGAAGTACGTGCCTGTGAGGGGGTTGGGTAAAAGGCAGGTGCATAAGAGGGGGAGAGGCAGGGTGAGGTAACGGTAAGGCGCGCGTAGGGAAAGGGCCTACTAAGCTGGTCCAAGCACACACACAAACGAAAGCCACTATTGACCACCCCGGAGTGCACCCGCAACGCCTTCCCCTTCTCGCGCTCCCTCCCTCCTCAGCCGCGCTCCTTTTTTACCTGACGCGCTCAGCTTGAAGGGCTCCTCTGTATCCAGCGCCAGCGCCTCAGGCCGGTAGATCCGCTGCAGGGCCGTCAGCAGCAACCTGCGGTCCTTGTCATCCGTCACTCGGCCGCCGTAGTTGCACTCGCCAATGGCGTACTGCAGCGCCGCGAAAGGCACCGAGGAGGCGGATTGGGGCAGAGGGGAGCCGTCCTCCAGCGGGGAAGGCGCCGCGTCGTTCAGGTACATGGATAACTGGCGCACACTGATGCGCAAGTCGCCATCGTCAAAGCCTGATTAGGACACAGGGCGCGACGGTGAGGCATGTCCGGGCGGTGTGAAGCAGTTGGGTCATTATTAGGTTTCCATTACCGCAGAGGAGGAGCAGGAAGGGAGGATTCAACTGGAAGGGTAAGGCAGCGACAGGACGGAATGAACAGCAGATCGGTTTGGAGCCCTGGAGCTTTGCACGGCTCTTACCGTAGGGGATATTCCAGCCGATGGGTCCAAACTTGCGTCGCTCTTGCACGAAGGCGTGCAGGAAGCACAGGCCGAATAGGAGTGACTTGAAGGCCCCCAGCTGGCGACAACCTGCACGGCGCCCCATCCATCCAATACGCGCAGGACAACATGGGACGTGGACGTGGGCGGGGGGTATTCAGCACAATTCATGGAGGGCAGCGGTTAGGAGGGGCGGGAGCCGAGCTGAGCCGTGGTGTCTTAGAGTATGTTAACCCAAGCCGAAGAGCCTTTACCCATCGTCCACCGATACTGCACTCGCTTTCATCCAACATGTATGGGGCTGCTGAGTGCCACTCTTTCGTCAGAGTACATACATAAAACCGTGGCGGCAGTTCTGGCTGCTGTTCAGGTTGCTGTATACGGCATGCATACAGTGGCGTCTCCCTCGTAGCTCGCTCGTGTCCTCTCTCACCCTCGAAAAAGTCCTGGTTACAGATGGGCTCCAGAGCATAGGAGCGGCGCAGGTTGGCACGGAGGCCCGCGGGAGGCTCGTTGGTCATCTTGACACTGCCCTGTAGGGCGGACGGGAGTGCGCGGGGAGAGGATCAGTAACCTGGGAGTGAGGACGAAGCCGGCGTTGCAATCAATCATGCACGCGGCAGGAAGCAGAGCATCATCCAGCATCCCGGATGCGGGTGACGGGTGGCGGCCAGGGAGGGGCTGTTGGCAGGAACTGGAGAGCAGGAGGGAGCGTTCACACCGGTATAGACCGCAACCAGCGGAAAAGGGCATCAAGGGGAGTGACAGGGCCCAGCAGGGTCCAGACAATTAAGAATGCAGGCAAGGAGGTTAGGACAGCAGGACCTTGGGTTTGTGCCCCACTGTTTGTCATGTGGCCCCCCACCCCTCCAACCCCCATGGAACCCCTCCTCACCTGCAATATGGAGACCGGGAACGCGGGACTGGGCATAGAGGTCATCCACAGCCTGAAGTCCGGGTCGGTGTTGTCAGGGCGGATGGTTTCACAGATTTTCTCCAGGGACGTCATCCAGGAGGGTGCCAGGTGGCAGTTCTGGAGCAAAACCCACCTGTACGGCAAGACACGGCACAGCCCAACATATTAAGACACAGCGCCGGGACCATGCCTCTGAAAATGAAAGCCATTATGATCATATATCCAATTGGGCGAAATGGAGAAAGACACGCAAAGGCCAGGTCGGTATCAGCTGACTTAAGGGCCAACCACCTATCGCCCAGGCAGCACACCACTCCAACGCAACCAGGCCCAACTCCCAAACAGCACCTTGAGTTCCCCATCCGGACGGAAACCCTTTTTCCTTTTTATCTTCCCGCCCCTCTCCCTCCATCCGCACTCACGTGCCCGCCTTCCTCGCCGACTCTATTAACGCCGCCGCCTTTGGCCCCTGGCCCTGACCCATACTGATTACAGAAATCTTGCTCCCGTAGCCGCGGGAGTCAGCGAACTGCAGCAGCGCCGCCGTGGGGTCGGAGCCGGGCGACAACACGAACAGCAGCGGCACCGTGGCAGCGCTCTCCTCGTATGAGCCCGCCAGGTCAAAGGGCGGCGGCTCAGTGAACTTGGGTCCCAGTGACGAGGCCACGAAGGCCTGCACCGCGGGCACCACCTTGTCGGGTCGCAGCATGCGCAGCAGCATGACCTTCTGGAAGGCGTCCAGACGGTAGCTGTAGCCCATGGGCAGATCCATGTTCTGGGGAGGGGTTACGGGTTGTTTCAGGATAGAGATTCATTAAAAAGATGGGAAATGTGTGGGTGGAAGGGCGGTGACACATTTAGTAGTGTCGGAAAAGGGATTCTTGACACAGGGTATATTGTATAATGCCGGGTTGGGTTGGGAAGGTGGGGACACTCGGAGAGAGTGGCCCCAACGTCCCCACGCCCCCAACGCACCTGCGGCTCCACGCTGTCGAACAGCGCCTTCCATTCGTCCGGACAGCCCGCAACGACTTCCGGTAGTCCCTCGAATGCGGGACACACGTTGGGGGCCCGCAGCACCTCGCCCCAGGCCTTGGCACTCAGCCAGTCGGCGCCCTCGGGACGTGCCACATCGCGTTCCTGAATGCCCACACCACCTGTGCAGGCAGCATGCCAACGTACATATATATACAGGACATATATATATATACATACAGGACACATATATATAGGACGCATAGATAGGGCGGACATGTTTATGCGCACGTGGTTGCAAGTGCGGTACCCCACGCACACCTTCCTGTGCCCGCAGCCCACCCCTGTCCGCACGACCGCACCTGTCAGGAGGAACTGGTAGAGGTGCGGATCAAGTCGCCCCTCGCTGCGGCTCATGAGGATGCGCACTGATAGCAGGAAGGCAAACAACAGCTTATCCTTCTCGAATAGGGACCTGCGAAGGAAACGGGCAGCATGGGAGGAAGGTCCGTGCCATGGGTGGGATGGAATGGGTAGGAGGTAAACCAAAGCAAGACCCTCGCCCTTCGTCGAGGCATGTAGTGGTAGTCCAGTAAGTTGGGAGCACGGCGCACATGGACTTCCCCTTTCCGCTACAGCGCAATGTAGTGCGACACAACGCAATCGTAACTGAGCAGCTAGTGAGAAAGCGCTCAACGGTCCTCAGTGATTGGCACGGTCCGTCCGGCTGGAAAGGTCCCGGCAGTGAGCGGTATCCGGGTCAGCAGCACCGCAGCGGCACTAGCCGGATGTGTGTACGCATGCCCATACACGTGTATGCGTACCAGAGCACCATAATGGCGCGACAAGATGCGAGTGCCCACTGCGTGCGTCACGTACCTGCAGATGTTTTGGTAGAGAGCGTACGTGAAGTGGTCGTTAATGTTCTGTAAGCGCTCCCCCACGTCATCAGCTTTCGCGGCCTGAGGGAGGGCATATGGGCATATGAAGCGCCAGCAAAGCAACAAACGGCGGTCAGCAGCCAGTCAAAAAGATGTTTCTGCCGTCGTGCACCTCGGAGCACGGCTGCTCGCCATACCCTCTATGCCGTCTACAGAAACACTGCTAGCATGTCAAACATACGTTGGCGCGCACGCCTCCACCCCACCTGCTGTATGGACCGCACAAAGAGCTTCAAGAACCATGCGAGGCTGTACTGGTACATGGGATCCACCGCCGCCATGTCGCGAATACAAAAGAAGAGTGTGGCGTTGAAGGCACCGCAGGGTGCGTAGCAGGTTCGCGCCTCGTCAATGGCCTTCTGGGTTAGCTCAGCCGCTTCCTGCTTGATCTGGATCTCGTTGGACACGGCCTTGGCCTCCGACAGGATCTGGATGGCCGTCGCGTCCTCCAAGATGTTGCCCTGAGACACGAGCCAGGTGGGGCAGGGAGGTCGGCAAGGGTAGAGTCGACAAGAAGCTGATGAAGTTGGTAGGCGATTGTGGAAAAGCGACAGAGGGAGGACAGACCATGTAAGTTCCGCGGATGCAGGAGAATCGGCACATCTCACGTAGAGGGGCGCGCAGGCGGCGCGAATAGACCCTTGCACGCAACCTACGTCATTTGATCCGTTATCTGATTCTGATTCTGGTCCCTAACCCCCTCACCTGCGAAGATGACAGGACCTGCAGGATGCGGTCTTCAATCTCCGCCAGCTTCTTCTTGTTCTCCGCGCTCTCCACCACCTGCGGGATACAGCCGCCCGTCACTTCACCCCGCCTCGGGTATGTGAACGACCAACACCCCAAATCGGAACCAACACCCGTTCAACCCTTTCCCAGACGCCACGCCTAAAAACACGCATGTACACATACATTAGAATAAAGAATGTATCCGTCCTAAAGGTATGATCCTACCTGCCTGCCAGCACTAACGCAGCACGGAAGCATCACATCCTCCATATGCCACCGCGCGTCGGTGCAACCCATAGGCCGCCTGGCCTCTGGCTATCTCCTACCCCCTCGCGCCTGCTGCCCCTCCGCCCTCTCTCCCTTCTTTCCTCCCAGTTACCCACCAGCTGTTGCCGCTGTTCCTCCAGGTCGGGTCTCTCCTGCGCCACCACCACCCCCAGCAGCTGGTCCGCAAGCCCGTCAGGGGTGATCATGAAGTTGAGCAACGTCACCTTGACAGCAGTCTCAGGCAGGTAGTGCGGGTTGCGCAGAGCAGTGGTGATGTAGAACCTGGAGATCCGAGGAGGGAACCGCACGGGGGGGGGGTAGCAGCGCGGGGGAAGAAGGGTGCAGCCTGAGCAGGGGCAAAGGTAGCCTGGCAAGCAGGTCGGGCCGCTCGTGAAGGCCAAGGAGATAGGGACCAGTGCTCAAGAAGAGGGCGGGGTTAGCAAGAGTTCTAACAGGATCAGGTCAAGAGTGGTTGCCAGTTTCAGTGGCATTAGCGCAGATACCATAAGACCATAATGTCCCGCAGCGCCAGTGCGGCGTTGGCGCAGACCGCTGGTTGGCTAGCAAGTGCCATGACTTCGACTTATCTCAATCATGCAGTGCAGTACAGTGTCGTACACAGTTCCGCGTTAAAAATTACAAGGAATATTCCTGGAAGCAATCCGGCTTTAAGTTCTGCAGTGCGGGGAGTATTCGGAGAATGCTACTGCGGTGCAGTGCATGCGGTGCGCACCCATCCAAGGACCCACTTGAACTGGTCGGAGAACTCGACAGTGGTGTCACCTAGGCGCAAGTAGGTCAGACCGCCCTGCCGGAAGACCTGCGGGGCGAAGCGGGGTTTTTGCGCGGGGAGTTACGGGGAGGGGAGGGCCAGGGGGCGAGATGGTCAGTAGCTAGGTAATGCCGATGACCCACTCCAAAACAATCAAGTTCGAGGAGAGCACAACCTAACATGTGCGGCGGCAACACCTCCACAACTGCCCCCTGAGTGCTCGTACCGCGAGCAGCTTGCCCAGTGGCAGCTTACCACCCAGCCACCAGCCCCCGATACGCCCCACCTCACCGGTCACCGCTTACGCGCAGAACTCACTCCCTTCCAACCCCGCCTTCATTCCCCATAACACCGACCCCCCATAGGGTTGCCCACCTGCTTCAGCAGCAGCGGCTCCAGCGAGGGGTCCAGCTCCTCACCCACATTCTCTAGCAACACCGGCAAACCGAACTGTACGGCATTCTCCAGCGTGCGCATGTAGTCCGAGTCCGTGAGCTTGATGACGCGCAGATCGCGGCGACCCTCCATGACCTTAACCCACTTGTTGGCCTGGGAAGAAAAGGGAGGGGGACGAACGATGATGATAGCGTGGAACAGCGGTAGCGGGGCAACGCAGGAGAGGTATGGTTATGCTCCGTCTTATGATGCGGTTCCGGTTCGTTAAAGGACGAGTACTAGGCCACAGCTAACGGCTTGCAGCTACAGCCGCTACCCCTCTCAGCTACGGCTGCGGGACCCTCACTCCCCGCCGTATCACCGCTCCTCCCTCGTTACGTCACATCCACACGCGGACGCCTTCCACTGCTCCCGCCCTCCCCTGCAGCTCCGGAGCTTAGGCATCCAGTCCCTGCTGCCCCCACTCTGCTCCTACACACCTGCGACTGCGGGTCAATCATGAGCGGCCATCTCCGTGCATTGTCCACCATGATGGCGTTGTCAATGGAGAATGCGTCATTGGGCAGTCCGTCAATGGTCCAGGAGCGGATCTTGACTGGGTCACCCAGCGCTGCTGACAGACTGAAGCTTGGGCTGCGGGGGATGCGAGCTGACGCGCATGACTCAACCCACTTGCCAACCACGGACTCGCGGTAGGAAGCGGTGAAGGCACCCAGGTAGCCAATGACGCCTGAGGGAGCGACGGGGAGGAGGAGGAAGAGGAGAAAGTGGCGGGTAGTGCAGAGGTGGGCGGTAAGCGGGGTGAGGTAGCAGGAGGAGGGCCGGGAGGTTGGCAGCGGAAGGGGGAGTGGGGGGGCCCAGTGGGGGGAAGCAGCCAGGAGCGAGTTGTGCAGTACCTTACTGTTCCCTATCTTTCCCCTTCCTCACCCGCAGCAATGAGCATATCTCCCGTAAGGCACTCGTACTGTCCCCCTAGCTTGGCCGCCGCCTCCGTCCAGCGGGTCTTCTCCCCACCCAGTCCGCTGATAAGCTTCTCGGCACGTTCCAGCTTGGCCGTACACAGCTCAGTCTCGGCTGCGGGACAGCGGCAACAAAGGCAAAATAGCGTTGTTGGTTAGCGACGGCATGAAGGCATCTGGGACAGGATAGAACAGAACCGGACAAGGGCACCCCGGGCTTCGCTCCCCCTTTCCCCCTACTGTCACGACCTCCCACCCGTTCCAGCCTGCGTGTTCCCCCGCACCTTCCAGCCGTGCCTTTTCCTGCATGGACTTCTCCAATTGTCGCTCCAGGGTGGCCAACCGCCCCATGACCTCCGCCAAGTCGGCTTGCTTGGCCTGCGGGGGAGAGAAAGGAGCGGTGGAGGACCAAGTGAGCGGCAGAGGGTAAGGGAGAGGGTGGCGAAAGACTCCACCGAGACGTGAAGGGACATGCCCAGGGGAGGATGGATGAGGGCGAGGGGATACACGGGTGCGTCACAAATGCCAGTGCGCAGCAGGGATAGGGAGCTCCAGGGCGCAACAGCAAAACTGCAGCAGCAGCAGCAACAGCAGTAGTGGCGCACCGTACACCTGCATACGCACGAGCACGTCAATCTTCGCCCACCTTGAGCGCCTCCATGACCTTGTTGTACTCCGCTTCCGCCACCTCAAGTGCGGCCCGCTTGGGGGCAACCACCTTGGCCACCTTGTCGTACTGGTCCATGGCGCAGACCCACTTGCACAAACCCTCCGCGGCACTGAGGAAGGAAGGCCGTGGTAAAGGCTTATGGGAAATCGGAGCGTGTGTGAGAGCGCAGTATGAAATGTCTGAAGCAGCTCATTCGGACAAAGGAATATGATGCAAATAATATGTAGCTCTTGCCCAGCTCGTACGCACCTGGACGCCTTGGCGGCGTTGCTGGGAGTGAACTCGGGGTTGGAAGTGAACTCGCGGCGGATGCGCTCGATGATCTTGGGCGGTACGGCATCCTTGTCGTACTCCTGTTGTGGGGTAGGGAACGAGAAGCAGGACAAGCATTTAAGGCGGGCAAGTGCGCGAAGCACGAACGTGTTTGTTTGCAAGTACCGCTGTTGGCTCACCCCGCAGACATCCTCACGGCTGCCCTGCCTACGGGAAGCATAGAGAAATGCATTTTTGCCAGGCTCTGCATGGCAACTACGTAAGGCCAAGAACACTCCACCTTCGACTCTACGTTCCTTCGCTAACTAAATCCCGGGCTGCGCCTTACAATCTAAGTTCACGCGCATGGCTCCTGGTAATTCAACGACTTCTTATGTATTTTACGCAAGCAAAAAAGGACAACTATACAACGTCTGACACGCGCACCCAGCCCGTCACCTTGAGGGTCTTTACGAAGAGCGGGTCTGCCAGCAGCTTCTGCGCCGAGCCCCAGTAATCGTCAATCATCTTGCCACTGCCACTGGTGTCCTTGATCCTGCAGCCAAGATGCAACACAATATAGCACAATACAAGGCCCCTCCTGATGCGTGCTTCGTGTTGTCCCTCTCCTCCAAACCATACCGCAACCGCAACCTAGTCGGACATCTGCCTGCCGCGCGGCGGCTGCCCCGGTGGTAGCGCCTGGTGGTGGTACCTGGGTACCGTACCTCTGCGGCTTGATATCCAGCAACACGCAGACGGCCTCCATGACCAGCTTAATGGTGGAGGGCGGGTTTTTAAAGCTCTGGACCAGCTTAATATCGGCAGGTTTAATGGTGTCCAGGGCATTAATGGCAGCCTGAGGAGGCGAGTAGGAAGAGGGGAGAGAGGAATTAGCAAGGTAATCAGGGAAAAAGGGGAAGATATACGAAAGCAGCACCTTGGCTGAGCGAGGAGCATTTGGATGTGATTGGAAAAGAGAGCGGGGGTGTGGGCCTGCGGGCCAGGTTCCAGGCCTGTGATCTATGCACCCAACGCCAACCCGCATCTCCGACAACCCCCTCCCTCACCTCCAGGATGGGTATGGCCTCCGCCAGTGCGTCCTCGCACTCTGTCTTGATGGCGTTAGCAGCTGCTGCAGCCACCTCCGCTTTTTTCACGTCCTCATCCACTATGGCTTTCTTAGGTTCGACAACCTGGTGGAGGAGCGGAAGCGTGGCGCAGGCCACACGAGCAAAGAGATGATCTGCCCAGCGGGACGGGGGCGTCGCTTGGGAGCCACCACCCCCGCTGATCTCCCCACCATTCCAAGGGTACACATCCGCAACCTCAGTGCTCGTCGTAGTCCTGCGCACTCCGGCCCACCGTCCCTCCTTCATCCTCGCCTGGCCCCACCTTTCAGTCCTCCCCAGCCTTCGCTCACCTCCGTCTTCTCCTTAGACACGGTGGCCATGAGCCTCTCCGTCTCCTCCACCGTCTTGATCAACACCGGCTTCAGTGCCGTCAGCTCGTCTTGCATGATGCTCACCTGGCTGGCGGTGAACTGCAACTTCTCAAGACCAACCTCGTAGCGCCGTTTGGCAGCAGAGACCTGCGGGGGCGGGATGCGGGCGCCGCGGGCGGGCAGGCGGGCCAGGCGGAGTTGGAAGGCCGCGGTGGGGTTTTGCTACAACTTCCCCGACCTCCACCGGCCACCACTAATCTCATTCCTCTATGCGCAGGATCTGAAACCAGCAGCTGCACGAGAAGCGGTGTTTCCTCCCACCACATACATACACACAGCCTTGTAGACAGGCAGTCGACCCCAAGCCTCAACACACCTCGGCTCGTTTCGATCCCAGCAGCGTTGTAAAGCAGGTGATTAGCTCCAGGTAGGACGTGGGGGTGACGTAGTTGATGCGTCCCTGCTCCGAGCGGAATGCCTCACTCAGGTGGCGCACGTCCTCGTGGAACATCTTGCACTGCAGCATCACCGCACTGCGCTGCTCGGGTGTCAGGTCCACATCACGCAGGAACTTCATGGCCACCGCCTCCAGTGCGTCATCAGGCCAGGCGGTGAACCTAGGGGGGTGGACAACATTGGGAATTGTAGGGTGAGATGGGTGATGGAGGGGTAGACAGCGCTAGGACGGGTCGCTCATGTGAATTGCATGATGCCGACACAGCCCATGTACAGCACATTTGCATGAACCTTATTCGCCACAGGGTTGAGCAACACATGCGGGCTTTGGGGTATTCATAGTGCTGAAGAATTGTTTGTGCAGTAGTCTGAGCCTCGCGGCTCAGACTGAGCCGCGAGGCGCGTATGCCGTCAGGTAGCGCTGGACACCCCTTCCGTGGACCAGGGTATCCAGCATATGCACCTGGTGCGCGTGTATGTATGTTGTTACAGGGTGGTTAACTTCGCCAGCGGCCCCCTTTCCCGGGGCAGTCCCTGCTCTCCCCTGCTAGAGGGGCACCCTAATCCGTCACCCCATCCGACTTCAGAATGTATTCGTTGGGTTCGGCAACTCACCACCAGCATCCAACCAAATCTAGCGGATCAACGGCGCATCAACTTAGTTCCTGGTCAGCTCGCAAGTTGATATTATCACGTCCTACACCGTCCATAAGATGGGGGGCCACCTCCCATTTCATCACTCCTCAAACACCCGAGGAGCCGGCAGGCGGATTTGAACCCGGGTCGACTGGGTCAACTGGGAGCAGAAGTCAGGCCTTAACCTCTGCCAGCCGCCTGCCATATGCGTGTATGCATGTATGCATGTATGCATGCGCGTCACAGGGGTACGTTGCCGCATACGTACCAACGTGCCTTTGCCCTAAATGTATGTGCATGGGTGTCACGGGCATCAGCAAAGGCCGAGGTGCTCTGCACATCGTCGTACCAGTCAATGGTGCAGCAGTTGACCAGGGATGGGAACTGACGCAGCCGCTCCCGGAAGGCGTCACCGATGGGGCTCATGGCCAACACGATGTGCAGGTTATCACGGGTCTTGTCAACGAAGTAGGCCCTGATTACCGAGTGAAAAAGGGCGAGGGTGCAGGGTAGGTGGAGGTTAGCGGGTGGGTGTTTAGGGGCATGGAGGGTAGGGGCAGGGACCGCTAGGCAACCGCTGCGGGGCGAAAGGGGCATGCAGATGGGCGGGCATGTGGGCGAGGGTTGGTCCATCACCTCGGATTAATTCGACATCACCTCCAGATCCTCTCCCCTCACCACCTCGCCCGATGCCACACCCACCAGAGCTCCACAGCCGTCTCCAGCACCAGACCCTCCTTCTTGGAGGACACTCGGCACTGCTCCAGCAGCGCAGCACGCTCATCGTAGGGAAACATGTTTGGAACCTGTTGGGGACGCACGCACGGGGGCAAAAATTACAGCAGGCAGTGAAGCAAGCAGCCGTAACATCATGGACGAGAGGACGCGGACGGCAAGAAGGGCACGTGCACGTGTATGGTGGCTACACCGCAACGGTCATCAAGGACACTTCACAGCCGCCGCGCTGCAAGTCCACGCGCACATCCGTCTGCCTGCCTATCCGTCCGCTCGCCCAGCCCAGCGCACCTCTCCACTGTTGAGCAGGTTGTTGATATCCTCTACGAAGCTCTCCACCTTGATCTGGGTGTCACTGAACAGGAACACCGCCGGCTTGTTGTCGCCACCCGCCATGCGCACGAAGCGCTTCAGGTCTTCACGCCACTCCGCAGCGCCGTAGCTCTTGCTGATCTCCACCTGGGAGCGTGTGGCGGAGGGAATGAGTGGGTGGGCGGGTATGTGTGGGTGGTTGCCGCCTGGTGGTGGTCTTTGCGGCCCACCAGTGGGTCTTTGAGGCTGACGGCTGGCTGACACCAGCGCATACCACCGCCAGCTCACTATCACCACTATGTGGTGACAGTGCCTGGGCCTCCCCATGCACGTAACAGCCATCCACCACTCATACGCAACCGGCGCAGCCCGCATGACCTCCCTTTCACCGCACCTGGAATGTGGTCATGCCGCATATGAATGCCGCCAGCCTTGCCAAGCTCTGTCGCCCGCTGCCTCCTACTCCCACCAGCAACAAATGGCCGCCCGGCTGTTTAAGCACTCGGGCGATGCGGCTGATGTGCTCCACCGCGTACAGGAACACGGCCAGGTTCATGGGGCGCTTGGAAGCGGCGTTGTGGTCCGCAAGAAGCTCCTCGATGCGGCCGGTCAGGGCGGCCATGTCAGTGATCTCGTTGTACAGCCGCGCGGCGGGGTCCTCTAAAGGAGGAAGAGGGTGGAGGGAGGTGGAGGGAGGTGCAGGGCAGGAGAGGCGAGGGCAAGCGTGCGACGACAGCGCGAACGAAGCAGGGGCGCGAGGGGGCGGCGAGGAACGAGGATTCGGATGTGATGGATCATGTTTTTACCTCCGTCAAGGTCTATAAAGTGACAAGGGTCAAGTCGCACACCGGCCCGCAGTCCCCTGCCTACACACACACACACACACACACACACACACACACACACACACACACACACACACACACACACACACACACACACACACACACCGCCCCCGTCCAGGCCCGCTTGTCTACTCTGATTCTCCCGCGCTGCGGCTTCCGACCTTCTTTACGTTTCCGCTATCCACCATCCGTTGCGGGCCCTTCACAAACTGATAAGCCATGGTAAGGTCCCTGTGCATTGAAGCCAAGGAAAACCGCAACTCACCACTATCGTCCATGTAATCTCCAAAGAAGCAACGCCGCACCTCCTCGATGGTCAGCTCGCCCTGCTGCGCCTGCTGCTGTTGCTGTTGCCCGTCTTCCCCAGGTGCATGTGCAGATACTCGCAGGTGACTAAAAAGCTTATCGAAGTCCGCTGAGAGCTTTTCCTTCATGACCGTTCGCAGGTACGACAGGAACCAGGCCCTGTCCTTGTCATCCACAAGGCGGTCGTAGAAGACACGCAAGATCTGCAGACGGCGGAGACGGGGACGCCACGGAGGGCCAAATAAACGCATGTCAAGGCATCAGGTAATTGCAAGCGGCATGGCCTTCCTCTTCTCTGCTCTCTCATCACTTGGCACACCTAGTCACGATAGCGCGAGCCTAAGGCTGCATGCCCGGACCTAGCATACCATTTCAATGCAATGAAAGCATTTCCCTAAAACTATATCATACCGTCCTGAAACTCGTATACTATATTGGTTGGAGGGGATTTCTTTTCATGGTCAGCGGACGCGTCGGGACGGGAGTAGGGTGTCCGACCGTGTACCCGTGGACATGACCCACCTCGTGCGCCCACAGCCTCAGGTATTTGTCCTTGGCCGCTTGGTGTTGCTCGCCCAGCAGCTGTGGCGGCATCAGCAGGAAGCCCTGCATGACTCGGGAAATGTCGCGCAGGTTGAAGGTGTAGTGGGAGCGTGTGGGTGTGGGCAGCAGCTGCGAAGCCACACGGCCGTATACCGCCAGCGTGGCGTTGATAACTGGGTCACGGAGATCCTGCGCGGCGAGGCATGGCAGCGGAGGATGCACGGATATGGGACAGGATGGAATGCAAGTGGAATGACGTGGCGTGGTGTGGCGTGCCACGATCACTGGCGTGTCAGGGTTGGCCTTCACGCGTGAGGAAGCGCGGAGGCCGATGTCAACACCGATGATTCAGAGCATCCTCGCGCCCGCACATACAAGAACATTTACATATACATATACACACACACGCACACCTTGATAAAGTTGGGGAACTCCTTGACGTCCAGATGCCAGGCCAGCAGCGTGGAGAAGATGCGACCCAGTGTGGGCTCATCAAAGTCCACAATGGACACCAGGTTGAAGTGCCGGGCGTAGCGGGGAGTGATGGGGTTGCGGCCGCCGCCGGGTGGGCCCATCGCCGCAACGAACAGCACATCATCCAGCCGGCGGAACGTGTTCTGGCGGTCGTACCAGCCGCCATGGTCCATGAACTGGCGCAGCAACTCGATGGGCGGCTGAGCGCCATATGTTTCAAGCTGTGAGTCGTGGGGTAGGGGTTGGGGTTGGGTTCAGCTTTAAACCAGGTAGTCCGCGGAAGCACGATGGAGCTAGAGAAAAGGCAGCGCCCAGCACCCAGAAAGCCGGCATGCGGCAGGTTGACCCCCTCCGCGCCTACCTACCGCAGCAGCTGCGTCCAGCAACCCGCATACACGCCCACACACCTGCGGCATGTTGAGGTCGTCCACGAAGATGACCGCCTTCTTTCCCACGGGCGGACCGAACACTCCGCGGCGGCGGCGGTCCAGCTTGGCGTCGATGAGGTGCTGGGTGGTGTTGGCGGAGGTGCGTGCAGAGAAGCCGATCACGTTGGGCGGCACGTACGTGCTGGTCGAGAGGCCGTAGAGGTATTTCTGGACAAGAACCGACTTGCCTGCACGGATCGAGATCACGGGACGCGCCGTCGCAACCTCACAACGACAAGCCAAGCAGGCACACCGCCTCACTGGTACCTGACAGTACGTGAATGCCCTCTTCGTAGTAAGCCCCCAAGGCCGATAACCTCATCCTAAGCCCTGCCAAGGCCTCCTAAGCCCAGGCTATTCAGTCCATCTCAGTTCCCTGGGCCCCCCGTCTGTCCTGTGAGGGCCCCCCCACCACGCACCAGTTCCAGTGGGTCCCACAATGAGTACCGGCTGCGCATGTGAGACCCCCTTGTCCAGCAAATACGTGTAGCGGACGGTGTCGATTGAGGGGATGATGATGCGCCTGGCGAAAACAGCGACAGCATTGGGCAAGTCAAGAAACAGCATATCGGAAATGTGCGGCAACTACAACGGCAGCGGTGGAATCACCAGCGCCGTCATCGGAACGGCTGCGAGCAGGTTTCGATGTTAAATGCACGGCGCCTACATATTGACGGCCACCACGGCCCACAACATCGACTGCTCGTCGGTACAGCAGTCGGAATTCCATATCGCGCAGGAGTCTGAGCCGAAAAGAGCCGCCGGCATAGACCCTGGAAGTGGCGGCTGCGACTCACCGGAACTTGGCGTCATGAGGTATGGGTGCAGTGTCTATGAGCTCTGTCCACAGCCGCCAGCTGTCTTTCTCCGCGTCGAAGAAGAAGTCGTACACGCTAAAATTGCCGCCGGGAGGAGGGTCTACCCCGGGCACTGTGAGAGGCATCATCTGTGCGGCCTGTAAGGAGGGAGAGCCACATGAGGAATGAGGTGGGGCGAGGCAGCCTGGTGCTGTGTGCAGGGAGAGGGAACACCCACGGAGAGGGAAAAAATACGGAGTTGGCCTTGACACCCCCTTCCTTGCTGTGGCCCACCTTCTCATGACATGTCGCCTGTACCTAGCGTCACTTGTATCTAGCGTGCGGGCGTATGCTCAGGTACTAGAGGGCGGCTACCCACTCCCTGAAGCCGTATCATCCCAAAGCTGTACATTCTTTTCTAGTTGTTCAAGTGGCTCCCACTTCACGCAAGGCCTCAACGTTCGCAGCACTCACCCGCAGGCGTGTGTGTCCCTGCGGAATATCCTCTGGCAGCGTATACCTGCAAACAAGCCAAGACACGCTTCAGCCGCACAACCAACATCGAGTGGAGTGCCAGGCGCACCACACCACTGTCCTTAACCCTTCAAGTGGCTCCCTTCACAAACGCAGCTTCCCAACTAGGTGGTCTGCGCTAGCCACAAGGCATCAGAGCCCACAACACACGGATTGGTTCCAACGTCGTTTACTGCCTTCCCTACCCCGCTATATGCTCCCGCTAGGCAAGCTTGGCCGTCTTTCCATGTAATTGAGTGTAACTTTGACCTCAAGGTTACATCGCATGCTAATTAAGAAGCCGCCATGTACGTAGGAATGTGGGGGTAGGAATGTTGGTTGGCGTAAGCCCGCTTAGTTGTCTGAGGATCCGAGTCCACAAAACCGCTCACCCACCTCTCCCCTGATGGCGACACGTAGGTGTGGAGCTTCTCTCCGACCGCTGCCCGGAGGAACGTGTCAAAGTACTGGCGAGCAGTGTTGTCGGCACCGCTGCCTCCCACGGACCACACCAGTGCGAACAAGAACAGCGACTCGAGGTGCAGCGTGACGGCCGTCTCCGACATCTTCGAGTACGACGCCTCGTCCTGTGAGTGCCCATACCAACCACCGCGCGTTGGGTAGAATTAATTCGGAAGGTCAGACGCGCCAACAATACCCTATGAAGGCACTCGAGACGCAGCTGGTCGTCTTCACGGTTGTGATTGGATGTTCATGCGCTCGACATCTGCCAAGGTCGACATCACCTCGACACCTACAGCTACAACAACTATAGGAGCTATAGCAACACGACGGCCATGATGCCCAATCCTAGACGGCTCCATCAGGCCCAGGGCAGTTGACTAGGTATGCTGCATTGAGCCGCACTCTGCACATCACAGTACCGCGCACCGCAACCACACCTGCATATGATCCATGGATGCCGTCATGTACCGCATGAGGGTGGTCACCAAGTTGGCGTCCAGGGTGGGGGCGGACTCCTGCAGCAGCAACAACAATGGCAGATCTGAGCTAAACCGACAGATAGCGGGCGGGTAAGAGTTGGGTTGCGAGGTGCTGCACAGACAGTAACAGCAACAGGCAGTAAGCGCCACGGGCGGAGATTAGGAAGGGCAGGAGGCGAGGGGCAAGGACGTGTTATCACCACCGCCGCTCGGTGCCTTACCCAGCCCACTCCACAACCTCACCCCGTGTTCCCATTTGGCTAGATGGTGTGACCTCATGTGACGAGAGTATGAGCGAGTTGCGCGGCTTCCTCACAGGGTGCGCCGAGGAGGCCTTTGGTGGTATGCAGCAAGACCCTCGCAGTGCTGACCGGGAATGGTGGAATGTGAATGCGCCCGCACATGATGAGAGGGGAATGATGGACTTCGCAGTGAGGTCAGGGACCCAACCACAGGGAAGCTGCCCGACATCCGCAAGGGCACTTGGGGAGATGCCGTTCGGTGTCCAGGCCTAGTGGATTGCCTCCCGGTAGCTGGAGCCTCCACCCGGCCTACCTACCGAACGAACACTTCTTTCAAACGCTTGCAGGTACCCTTTGTATCGTGTGATGGTTTCTCATGAAAGCGGTGATATTCTGAACAAGTTCTCTGATTGGCTCGATGCTAGGTGGGCGTGTGCTAACACCCTAACCGACCCACGAGGTTTTCCCAACGGAGCCACCGTGGATGGGAGTATCTCCTAGACGAGGGTTGGCTCGCCCGCATTGGGCCTTTGCACCAAAGGTTCATGAGCTCTAGGGAGGGCCCTATCTATGAGTGGTTTTCTGAGGAAAAACTCATCAGTCAGCCGTTGTAGCTCAGTGGTAGAGCGTTTGTCTTGTAAACAAAAGGTCTCTGGTTCAATCCCAGGCTGCGGCAGGGTGTAAAAATAAGGAGAGTCAGAGACACAACTGAAGTCCTAACCTAGTATGAAGGGTATCCTTGCATTAGGGTGGTTTATAAGGGATATCGTAACATACCCATTTGTCTTCATATCGGAGTATTATACAACTTTCCTAGAGTAATCGTATGTATAGTATATAAGTATCAGTACTTAGACCATATATCAGATTGGGCTGTAGGAGTATATTAGACTGGGGTTACTGCTCTCGATACTACTTTTCGAGCTTTACTTAGGGTTTACTTGAGGTATAGGAGATCAGGCACATCGATCTCAAGCGCAATGAGCCCAGGCGAGCGGGAGAGGATGCCAAGAACCCTACCCGGCGCCAAAACAATGGCTCTTCACTATGGCCAACCCAGCTTTTACGGATGCCGCCCCATTTGTGCGGAACTTGTAACTTGCAACTTCCTTTCTCCGTCCCCCCTTGCCCTGCCCCCACCTTGAGCTCCCTCCTCAGGAACCTCAGGCTGACGGGCACCAGCCAGTCGAACATGGCCAGCAGGTGAGTCCGGTGCACTTCGCCGATGAAGGCAGGCAGAGCAACCAGCCAGCTCTGAGGTGAACCAGGGAAAGGGACAGGCCACCACGGCACAGAGCGAAACACATGGGGGCGGAAACGATGAGGCGTGGGGAAGGGCTCAGGTGGCCGAATGGACTAACTTACGTTAAGCAGCGACAGATCGCTGGCCCCTGGTTAAGAAGCAGTTACAGGCGGCGGCCGTGCAAGGAAAACTGGCTAGCTAGGTACGGGAGCTTCCCCGATTTACTCCTACACCTCTCCACTTCCTCCCCACTTCTCCTACACCTCTTCCACTTGCATCTCGACTCCCAAGCAGGGGGAAAGTGAAGTCGGCACGTACCTGCACTAGCGGCCGCCAGCCTAGCTGGTGGGGCTCGAGGTACACCATGCCACAGCGGGATACGGTGGCGGGGGAGGCGACGGCCAGATCCATCACCTCAAAGATCATGTTCTGTGAGGAGATAACGGCACGGGAACAAGGAGAATGGCTGAGTAGTGGGGAGTGCTGTCTGCGAAAAAGGTGATATGAGACAGACATCAAATTAACGCGCACTTGCTATGAGCAGCTGTTGCCCTAGCTACGCCCCTTCCCTCCTTTTTTTGAAGTCTTGCGGGTTTCTATGGTTATTAAAGGATTTCCTTAGACAGCTATTAAAACACCAAACCTCCAAAATCCCCACCCTGCTCGCAAAGCCTGCAGCATCTTACCATAGAGGCGCTCATCTGGATGATCTCTCCGCTGTTGAGGCACAGTTTCTTGTTGTCATCCAGCACCGTGTTCATGTTTTCAATCCAGATTGCGTCCACGGGGCCATCCAGCACTAGCCACTTGCGGTGAGGTTCCGGATTGGAGGCCACTTGGCGGAAAGTCACTGCCAACACGCCGTCCGTCCACTCGTGGCTGCGGTGAGGTGATGCGAGGGCAGGCGCGTTCAGCCACGTGAGGGCTTCGATTTCGCATGCTGGCGGACAACAAAAGCCCTTGGCAAGGCAGCTGTGCGCGGTGCGGAGAGCCGGTAAGGCACGCAATCTAAGCCCCTACACGGGACAACCCTCTCCTCTTGCTTTCCAGCTTGCTTCATTACCTGACGGGGTCGAACTGGCCGTACAGTTGGCCCATTGTGATGGACTTCGGGTTGATGACATGGTACTCGGCCTACGGGGTAGACATACAGCAAAACAGGAAAGCTAGGTCGCTCGCTTACGGGGCGTGCCAGCGTATCGGCTATATGCGACCTGGAGAATAGTCAAGCGATCATTTGACGCCCAGAAAGTGGCGGCCATGATCGCAACAGCTGCTGCCAGGAACAGGATCTGTGCCATGCGCAGGGCCCCGTAGTCTAGAACTGCAAACCACTTCCAGGATTATTAAAGCACAAGACATGCAGCAGCATACAGGACCTGCCGGCATGGTAGCCTATGGCCCCGTTTGGCCCTGCCCGGCACGCACCTTGGTCTGGCCTTCCTGGTCCTTACTTTCCATAATGGTCAGCGCATCCGCCAGCACGCGGTAGGAGCTGGTCTTGCCGGCGAAAGGTAGGCCCACGATCATGAGGCCGTGACGTACGACAATCATTTCGTACAGCTGGATGGACTACAGCACCACATAATATTGTCACAGCATGGCGTAGCGCATTATCAGCGGGGTCAGCACTGAAAGGAACCAAACAGAATGCGAACTTTGCAAGGGTTTTTACCCGTTAACCCCCAAGGCCCCTTGAGACCCCAGGCGTCCAGAGCGCATCATCGCAACATTTTAGCATATGACTTGAAAACTTGAAAAAACATCCACCCCCTCGTACTTGTAGGCGACCTAGGGTGCAAAACGCCATGTGGAAGCCAATCTGCCGTACCTTGAGCAGGAAGTAGTCACTAGGCTGCAGGTTCCTTGCGAGACATGCCTCCCGGAGCGCCGCCTCCATGGCGCCGTAGTCAGGCTTGGGCAGGACGACACCTGTTGTCGCGCATGACCCCAGCACCAGAATAACTCAGCGTTGAAGGACCATAACTCAGACCTTGGCGGCCCAAATGCCGCCTTACACCATGCCAGCGCATGTCCATACAATGCCGTTACCAACCTGGCACACGCCGTTCGCAACCTTTTCAACTTGATACAGTAACGGACAAGCGGTTTCGCCATTTGCGCCCAACCTCAGCTTCGGCCGGCCATGATCCGTCCACGGCACAAGCTACGCACATACACATAGCACTCGCGCCGCAATGCTCCTTCCCAGCAGCCGCGTCCCCCCGCCGCGTCCACCACAAGGCGCGTTAAGTTATCTCTCCAGTCCTCACCCGGGAAGAGGTCCGAAATGATGCCGTTGAACAGGGGCACGTCGTGACTAAGGAACTTGCAGAGGTTGACATCGATGATGGAGCGCAGCATCAGCACGTACTCGTCCTCAGCGGGGAAGCGCCGCTTCAGGTTACCCGCGGCACGCAGAACCGCCATCACCGCACGCATGCCTGCACGCCGGAGAAGAGTACCCCACTCCAGGTCAATGCAGCCTTATTTAGTGTGGTTCAGTTTAGATTGATTCCGCCGCTAGCTGACGGCGCGATTTTGGCCCTCAGGTACTTATGTCCCTAAGGGCCTTAACCTACGCCCGGTCCCGTATCCAACATCGCAACCAGTTCCCAGCTGGCGATCCGCGTTTCCTGCTCACCGTAATCGTAGTGGTCCTGGCTGGAGAGCTGCTCGGAGCACAGCTTGTAGCACTGCACGATCTTCTTGGCGCAGTCACGAGCCTGGGGTAGGGTGCAGATGTGATGCACAAGAAAACAAGTGACCCGGATGGAAGGGAGGACACGGGGCCCGACTGCAAGGGAGCGACCGACTGATCCTTTCCGTATTGACAGGTCCCTGGTGGCCACATCGCTTTTCATACCGAGGTACATTCCAGCGGGGCCTTGGTCCACTTCTTCCTCACCTTCAAATAGCCGTTGCTGTACAGGATAATCTCGGAGATCATGGCGTAATCGGGAACCATCATGGCCACCGTGCGGAACAGCGCCTGCGGGTAGCGACGATGCGGAACGACAGAGGGGAGACAAAAGCATGAACGGAAGGAAAGACTTTACAACAGCATCGGTCTTTGTGGCCATTGCGAGGCACCGCAGACACAGACGATAGCCACGGCACTCCACTCCCCCAGGCTGAGCCCAATGGCAGGTTCAAATTGCATTATCGTTTTGTGCAATGTGCAGTGAAATGGAAAGCCAAAGGAATCGTGCCGCATCCACCGCTTGCCGTGATGTGCTTACGCCGTGCGTCAACTAGGTTGTGGCCCAATGGCGTCTGGTGCAGGCCTTTCTGAATTCCGACCCGCACCTTGAGGTTGTCCGGTAGCTCGGAGCGGCCCGCGTATCCTGGGTTCATGGTGATGGAGCACCAGGCGCTCCACTTGAGCTGCATCTCCGTGCCCTCGAACACGAACCGCCGCAGGCGCGCATGGATGGCGCGCTGGATATCCAGCACCTGAGGGAGCCGTACCACAACAGTATACCGCCCGCGGCCCCCGAGGATTAAGGTGAAAGGTGATGAGAGGAGAAGGGGAAGGACGGGAAGACGCGAAAACGTCAGAACCCTGAGCATACTTCGTGTCGTTATCTTAGATTGCGTGACGGAGGACGACAACGCCGCACACGGCGTGAAGCCCACATACGTTCTTGCCATGCTTACTTCACTGAACTTATCCATCGGGCCCGGCTGATTCCAGGTTTCAACCTCGGATAGTCCTCTCCCTTCAAGCTTCTCCCACCTTCACAATTAGTTCCCAACCTCCTACTGCTCCCCGTTTATCGTCGCATATCGGTCCTGTGCCATTCCCCTGTCTCCCGGTCCGCACCTGCTGGGCCACCACAGACAGCACCTCCAGATCGATGCGGTTGAACTCATCGAAGCAGGCCCAGGCGCCGCTACTGGCTAGGCCTTTGAAGAACTTGCCCATAGCCTGGAGAAGTAGCCACCGTGCACCGGCACAATTCAGATCGGGAGTGGTCGGGGACAATCATCGTGCCGCCAATTTTCTTGCGGCGTTCCAAAACCAAAAGCTAGGCACCTATTTAATTAAGAGGACAGTCTCCCTCTTCGCGACTCACACTCCTCTATTTCCGTCCCTTCCGGGGAACGAGAGGGGAAGGACATGAGTGTGAAGGGAATAGGTGAGAGCCTCAGGAGCTTGTGTCCCGCCTACGGCATGATACTGTTGTGGTGTGGTGCGCCGGGCCAGCTGGCAGCTCATACCTGGTAGTCCAGCGAGTCGGAGCAGTTGAACACCACACACTGGCGGGCAAGTGCCTTGGCCAGATCCTTGGTGGTCTCAGTCTTCCCAGTACCTGCGATAACAGAAACACGACCGCGTTCCATTAGTCTAGCTTGTAGCTTCTAGGCTCTGGGGCCTCTGGATTGTATGAGTTCGTTACACCTCTCTGGGTGACGCGACCGAAGTGTAACACACCCACATTAATCCGTGCTGGATGCCAAACCAAACCAGATCAAACGCGATGAACGCGGCTTCGTGGAACATGGGGAAGCAGTAGCAAAGTATCCGATGGGCAGAGGCGTCCTTCCTTACCCGCAGGCCCCTCTGGCGCGCCTCCCAGCGTAAGGTGAATGGCGCCCATAAGGGTGCGATAGCACCTGCGAGGAGTCAAAGCAGGGGATAGGCCGCCAACCAGTTACGACATCAGCGGGAACTCCACCCAGTCGTCACAACGTGCAGTACTCGGCCACTGGTAAAGCAACGACAAGCTTTCCCCCCCCGTCATTCATCATCACAACCGAAACATGTCACTACTACACCCTATACATCATAGGGACACATAAAACGCGCTGCACAAGCAACAAATGGTCGCTTGGCTTTGGAAGACATGCAAACGATACACCAAAAGATTCCAGACCCTCCTCTGCAGCAAGGAAGGACTTACAGGCAACCGCATGGTATCCAGTAGGCCTAGGAGTTACGCGGTATCCAGTTCGCCACTTGCTGGGCTGGGCAACGTGTCCGTCCTTCCAGGGCTCACGGTATGCCTATTGTACCATTCCCCGTTGGCCCCCTCTCCCAAACACGCAACCCATTCCTCGCAGTCCACTCTCTACCTGTCCGTCAGCGGAGTGATGACCAGGCGGGAGCTGTTGCCCAGGTACTCGTATCCGTACTCCAGCACAGCACTCATCATGCGCATCATGACGGTGGGCCCCTGCCGCCCGCTGCTGTCTCCACCGTATGCCAGTGCCTGCTGGTTTTCCTCCCAATAGCTGCGCAGCTGCGCCTGCCACTCAAAATCCGAGGCCGAGACCACACCTTTAGCGACCATGGAGGTGACCACGTCGCGTGCGTGCACGTCCATGACCACCAGTGCACCCAGTGTCGCGCGCTGCAGGTTTGTCAGCTCTCCACGGACCTGCGGGGCAGAGGACGAGGCAGCAAGAAGGACAAGGGGACGACGGAAAGGGCACGGGGGTTAAGGGGATGGCTGGCGAGAGGGAGCGGGGTGACATAGCCAAGTTGGATGTGAAGGCTTCCAGGACGGAGCAGCACCTGCGCGGACCTGCGGGACGTAAGGTGACCCTGCATGAGGAAGCAACGTACTGCGGGATGAACATGGCCCCCTACATGGAATCGAATGTTGCCTATCCCTCTATGGCAGCAACCGACAACTTAGGTGGGTAGATCCGTTAAGTAGGGGTAATATCTGACGGAGCACGGCGAGGCGGCGAAGTGCCTCGTGTCGGTGCCTGTGTTCGAGGTTTCTTTATACTTCCTATGGCCCAACCACTGCCATGGCTTCCCGCCCCTCAGCCTCCCTCACCAGGTCCACAATCCGGAGGAGGTCCGAAGTGCATTGTGCCTCATAGTCCCGGAGGCTGCTGCCCCCATCCTGCAAAGGGAAAGGTACATCTCGTGCAAGTCAGGCGAGGGCGCAAAGTAAAGCAGATATGACACAGAAGGAACGACGACACCAACCAATGACGGTGGCAAGAGCCCCCATTGCCGCGATGCCTGCCTGGCAAAGCCACTTTCCAAGAAGAAACCACACCCTTGATGTGCACAATGTGCACACGCACATGGGCAGGCCCCCGAAGAAACACCCCTGAGCACAGACCAGCCGCGCCCCTCCTCCCTGCCCACCTTGAGTGCTTTCTCTACCCCGCTCGTCCAGAAGATGGCCGTGATGACTAGCACTACCATGCCCGGCCACTGCAGCACCCATTCGTGGCGGGCCCGAGTGACGTAGTCGGCCAGGCCGCGACCTGTCACGTCGTGTATGGACGAGAACATGGCCTCCTCCACCTCCAACAGCCACCGCTCCACCGCACCACGGGCCTGGGGAGGGTCACCACGCGGCCAACACGGGGAGCAGTGGGCAAGCGAGCGCCAGGCAGGTGTCACTCAGACAAAGACTTGGTGTGGGAGCTGGGAAGGGCGCGGGTAGCTTTTGTGGAGCGCTGTGAGCGGCCCACGCAGAATCATCTTCATTTGCAAGGCGGAAACCAGGGCAATCCTAAGCAGCCGCAGCCAACCCCCTGAGGGTCCACCGGCCGGCCGCATCACGCATCAGATCTCATTCCCTCGAGACACCCATCCCCCTATGTGGCGCCATCGTCGCATGCTCAAAACCCTGTGAGCGGGTGCAGAGCCCCCAAGTCCTGCCCACCTTGTTGGTGTCGATGACATTCTTGAAGGGCACCGACTCCTTCTCCACGCTGTTCATGGCAGTAATGACCAGCTGCGGTGTGAAGGTGAGCGAGCTAATGCCCTCAAAACACTTTTTGAGGTGCGGCTGCACGCGGGTAGGGTCCTTCGTCTCCGAAAGGATCTCCAACATCTCGTCGTTGGATAAGAAGAAGAACCTGGTAGAGTAAAACACAAATGCCCCGTGGGCAGGTAACGGAGGGCATATCGTCAGGTCTAAGAGGCTTGGGGAAACTGACAGCTCTTCTCCCCTTTAGCCGCAAAGGGCGCCTCCAAGTTCTCTCCTTTGTCCTTCCCATCTTACCACCTTTCTCGGTAACGCCTCCATCTATGCTCCCTCCTACTCGTTTGTCGTCCCCACGTTCAACCCCTACCCGCCTACCTGGGAAAGAAGAGCCTCTTCTTCTCCAGGTAGGCCGCCAAGCCCCTTTGGATGGCATCCAGCAGCTCATTGGCCTCCACCAGCCGCTCCAACCGCTCACGCTCGCGGGCGATGGGAATGACCGCCGGGGCGTGGTGGGCGTTCTTCATCATGCGCCGCCACATGGCGTCCACTTGCCTATGGGGGGCCAAGCAGGGGGTTGGTGACTTCCATACTACTAAAAGTGCGGTTAGTGAGGCAGCGGCGGCGTGGTGGCAGCGGGATGGTTGCCAAGTGGCGACCCTATCCCTTGCTTGTGCGATTTGATGTCCTCAGTCTCTACTATCTGCTCCTCTAGTAGTACTCAAAGAAGTGCTGGCCTTACCGCGAGGGGGTGGGGGTTCTCTGCGTACTTATTTCACCAACGAAAGCAGAGATAGGTAATGTCGCGAGTTTCTTAGCCGGTCCCGGCACCACTGCGACGTGTGCTTCTGCCGGCTGGCAATCAGCAGCCCGCGTTTCGGTGGGCCATGCTCGCCCTCCCTCACCCAAGATATCGACACATCTCTGAGCAAAGCGGCAACTACATAAAACTGACATCACAACGTGTGCACCAGACAACGTGTACATCCTCCCACCTACGCCAGTCCGCTTACCCACCCACCCGCCACTCACCTGAACTTGTCTCCCTCCCCTGGCATCTGCTTGACAATGTCGTCGGAGCTGAAGATGGGCTCCAGGTACAGCCATGTGGCCTGACATTTGAGCCAGTTGTCCAGCATGTCCTGAACAGGAAAAGGATCAACGGTCGCCACACCGCACGTGATGGCAGGCAGGGCTCTTACGGGTCTCGTTTCCCGGGGCTTACGTGACGCGAGTCAATGGTGCTCCGGAGAAGTGATCTCAGCTACCGGATGAATGGATAGATTATAGATGGAATGGTGGGTGGTGATCCCCTCAAACATCTTTGGTGTGGGCAATGATGGCACATGCAGGGCGATACATGGAATGCCAAGCCGCGTGCCCGAACAATGCCCGAACAATGCCGAACAGTGGCAAAGCTTTGCCATTATCCTCATCAGGCATTGTTCGCCTTCATTGCCCAAGTGCATTGCGTGGCCACAGGGCGTGCAGCTCCCACAGGGAACGGACATGGGTTCACTATTTCATTAAGGACGTTATACGCGTAACATACACGTACAGCATGACATTTCGGCACTCCGCGGGCTGCGCTCTACTGAGAGCAGCAACGAGAGGCGCCACCCGCCCCGACATGCTCTGCCCTGTCCTGTCCCCAAATCGCAGTTGCGGACCTGCAGGTTTTGCAGTGTAGACTCCCACGCGGATGCACGCTCCTTGAAGGGCTTCACGAAGGGCGACGCGTTCATGGCCTGAATCTTGACGATCTGATCATCCAGCACCGTCTGGATCTCATCCGTACCACCCAAGATGAATGCACCTGCGATGTTGGATGCGGGCAAGGGCATGGGTATGCGGTTGCGTGGGTTCCCACAAAGCGGTACTGAACGGGTGTGTGTCGCTCCAGACGACACCGCCGAGGAAAATGATTGCATCACTGTGTTTTCTGTGCTGCGGTTTGACGCAGGGAAACATATCGCCCAGCAGTAGAACCCTCAGCAAGCAAACAGCTGTCCGCGCCTGGCTGCGTCGGGCGCAGGAAAAGACAACGGCCGTTGCGACATCGGACGTACCGGTATCTTTATACGGTAGCACGCGGAACTCGAGTCCATTCCACTCGGCCTCCATCTTATCCAGCGTCTGTTGCGATGGGGGTTCACCACACCAATATGGAACGCATTGACCACGAAGTACACATGGCGCTTCAGTACAGCTGCGCTCGAACGCGTCACGGTTCTCTTGCTCCGCGTTCTCTAACAGAAACTACACAGCTTCCGCAAAGCACCAACGCTATGCAGTGCATTGCAGAGACCCACTGGGGCGCTTTGCCGGGACCCTTCATCCTCGCACTTACCTTGAGCATGGAGGCCTCCTTGGTGGCCACACCTCCAATGTTGGATACCGCTTCCAAGTGGCTGAGAACGCCCCACCTGCACGAAAACAGCCCCAGCGAACAGACAAAAATGACAGGTACACCGCATCAATCAGTAGGAAGGCTCAGCTCTCTAGGAGATCTGGCTGCTAACTTCCACGCGTCCCTTACTAAGTCGCACACGCAACTGTGGTCTTCCCCCAGCCGCCGTCTCCGGCTCCTTTCCTCGGCCCCTCTCCTTCAGTTATCCTATATTGTATACACGAAATAGAAAGTGCACTGTTACCCTTCGGCCCCTTGTTAAGCCACTCACTGCAGGAGGTTTTGCACGTTGAAGTTGATGGCGCCAGGGCGGCCCAAGATATTGAGGATTTGGTCCCAGTGGCTGTGGGGGTTTAGGGAAGGGTCCGGGGTTGGAAAAGGGTTCGCGCCACAGGAGCAAGCAGTAGGTGCCAGCCAACGGGCGGACGTGTCCACACGACTACCGAGAATAGTTCGCACATCGACGGCAACGACCTGGCATCCCTACCGTCATGAAAGCACAGCACGGGCAGGTCCCTAAAGGCCGCTCTACTCGAAAGAGTAAAGCAATCCCGGGTTGTCCCCAGGGCCAGTCTTCTCGCTCGTGGCGGCGGATGAAGATTTCGACACAGAACGCTGTTCCTGGTGAACAGCGCTGGGCAGGTGGGGAAGGGATGGGAAGGCGACCCCTTCTTTTCGTCTGTAAAATCCGTCCCTGGTATAATAGGATGGACGGTCCGTATCTAATATACCAGGGCACGATATTTAGACGATTATACATTTTACAGAGGCTTCCCCACCTGCCCAGTGACGTTTGTCAGTACACTAAACATGAAGCGATTGAAGTAAGAATACAGCCACGCGCCGCCCTGGACACATCGTAAACGCCGCTGCATGTTTCACAACACTGTTGGCTTGCGCTCCCCCTGGAAAGCACCCACGGAAACAACAGGCGACCGGGGCCCCGCCCACACCCACCGCTTCTCCAGGGCCTTGTTTGCGACCTCCTGCAGCAGCGGCAACACCGACTGGAATTCCTCCAGCTGCGCCTTGAGGCGGCCAGCCACGGGGTCCTCCTTGCGAGCCTGCGCAGCGGACCGAGAAGGACATCCATGCATATAGTTTAGTCTGGGCAGTCGCGGTGGCAGGGTGAAGACCTTACAAGTCGTTCGGACGGTATGCCGTTGCATGAACGGAGCCAGGGACACCGCGCTTCGTGGGAACGCATAACATCCTCCCCATCTGTGCCGCTAGGATGCAACTAAACAAACGCGCCTGCATTTTGCATTTTGAGTGGCCTCATGGCCATGAACAGGAGGATAGGGGTTGTAGACGCGGTGCGCGGGCCGCAGAGACGGCTGAAGTGCTAGCCGTGTGCGGGGATCGAGCGATGGTTACCTATCGGCATGTTGGGGACGGACATTGGCTCCGACTCGTTTATGACTCATGCGCGGTAACCAGGTTGGCCCCGGAGGTGCTGCTGACCTGAAGGACAGGCGCCCGGGGGGCTACCACAGCATCCCAGTCACCCAGCCCGTCGCAACATTGCCTGTGATTGGAAAATCATTCCTCCATAACCCACCTTGAGCATCTTGTAGTTGTTGCGCGCAAGCTCGTCGACCTTGGCCTGCACCGCCTCGGGATCCAGCTCCGCGCAGGGGGACGTCATCCAGGTTTCCTTGCTGCGCTCGAAGTCCGCCAGTGCTTGCCACTTGTTGCGAGCCGCCGTGAGCTCCTTGTTCGCCTGTGCAAGGGAAAGTTAGTACTCTTTCGCCATGACCGAAATAGAAAGAAAGGGAAAGAGTGAAGGGTAAAATAATATCATCGACCCTAACTTGTGCTGAAGGGCAAGGGCTGCGACGTTCGGTCCTAGCTGGCCTGCTCTGCTGTCCAAAAGGCGTCACGCGCTCGGTCGATTCTTCGGCCCCCCAGACGGGCCACCCTTAAGCCCCGTGCAAGTTCTGGAACACTCCCGCCCCGCACCTGTTCCACATCGTCCAGCCCGCGACTGGGCTGCTGACCGAAGAGCTCTTCATAGCCGCGGTAGCGTGAGGCCTTCTCGGAGATGATGGTGAAGGCATCCGTCGCAGCAGACAGCTGCTCCAAGACCGACGCCGGTGTGCTGTTAACGTCATCGTACTTGCCACTGCGGAGCTCGTGGAAGAGGTCCTGCGGTGTCCCAGCGAACATGCGACACATGCGCACCCACCCTTGGGCCTTCGGCTCGTATGGGTAGTTTTACAGGTATGGGGTCACGCACCCCCCAACCATGTAACACACACACACACATGTGTCAAAAGGAATAATCATCTGACGACTTGCCCATGTACGTTGTACCATGGCGCTGCGACTTCCCATTACGCAGCAGCGACGCTGATCCTCTGCCCGAATCCCTCCTCATGGCGGTCGGCCAGGGGGCCGCGGGCCACCGTGGTGACCCGCATCCCTCAGGTTCAGGGCTGGCGGGGTGGCGCTCATTGACCGCCTCGTCCTCACACCCCTCCCATGCACGTCTGGCCCGCTATCCATCACAACACGCACCTGCAGCCGGTCGACCACGTCGCGGATGGCCTTGCCCAGGGCATGCACCATGGCGGGTTTGCGCTCATCCACCCAGGTGGCGGCCTCGCCAAGAGCCCGATGGAAGCCCGCCACAACCTCCTTCAGGTCGTCCAGGGTAACCTGCCATAACAGACCGACAATACCAACGCCCGCCAATGTCAGTAGGAGAACCAGAGAGCAATAGAGCGGCAACCCTCTATTGCCCTTTTTAACAGGGCAACACAGAAAAGGTGAGCTTGGATAAGGGGAGGCTGGTGGAGAGTTACTATGTGCCGCAGAGAACTAGCCTGTGCCGCAGTAAAAAGGTTACTGTGCCCAAGCTCTGTATGGGCCTGTAGAACACACTTGTAATCTCCGTCTTCTCGTACGGGGCGCAAGTGCGGGCTCCCAGACTTCAGCAATGTGAGCTTTGTGAACGCTATGACTAACCCCATGGTCAAGGAGCAGCACACTTTCATGCGATCCGTGGCAGGCGCACGAAATTCCACCATGGATTCTATCACGAGATGTCTGAGAGGCCATTGCAGCTCCACTGGGCTAACCTTGTTCTTAAGTTTTGGAGGTGAGAGGCCCGGCGGGACAATGCGCCACCGAGTGTTCGTTTCAGGCCTCGGGCTAGTGGCCGAGGGTATCACTGATTGTTGGCCAGGACAGGTCCTTGCCTTCCTGACCAGTATCAGCCCCTGAGGGCCTACGGGGCGAGAGTTTGGTTTGCACACTATGCTACTGTTAACTCCTATTGGTGATATTCTAAAAGAGCGACCGATGCGAGGTGGGCGTGCGCTAACACCTGGCTGACCCACGGGGGTTTCCCCCCGACTGGAGTCACCGGATGGGGTTAAGGCGCATGCCGGTATCTGAACTGGATGGGCGCACCGCCTAGTAAGGGAGCACGGCTGGAGTGGCTCGCTCTCACCGTGGTTGTGCTGCCTACGCGTTCGGCTCAGGTTGTTGGGAGCTAGAAGTGAGCAGGTGTTATGGCCGCGGGCGTGCCGCGCGTACCTGCAGGCTTTGCGACTGCGGAGCGGTCGAGGACGAGGTGCACGTCGTTTGCGAGTGCCCAGTCTAAGGGGGCCTTCGAGTTAAATACGAAAAGAGTCATTGGCTTCCGAAGGCACGAAATGCCTGCTATTATGGCTGAAGCCCCCACCATAGCTGTGTTCATCTTCTCTTGGAGGTCTGGGAGACCAGGCACGCCGCGCTCAGGCGCGTCGAGCCCACGCGAGCGGGGGAGCAGGTCAAGAATCACGCGGTGTCACAATAATGGCCGTTGACCGTCCATGGTCCCCCGACTTTCACGGGAGGCCCCTGCACTTTTGCCTTACTTGTAACTTGTAATTTGCTGCAAGATACATACCGAACCAGGCAGCGCCAGACCAAGTGGTGATGACGATAGGAAAGAGGTCTGTCACCACCAGTACTGTATTGCGGTACGCCGCCTAGAGCTTATGCCCTTTCCCGTTAGGCACAACCGCAAATTCTATTTGCCACGCGGCGGCGCCTGGGGCTGCCTTATGTCCCACAAGTACCTGAACTGCGTCACCAGTTCACGTCGTCATGAAACCACGCGAGGCTGTCTGCAATGCCACAAGATTTCCCCTCGGACGGGAAGCAACCAGGCATGAAGATAGCTAAATACAAGCAATAAATGGGGGTTGCCGCTTGAGAAAGCAGCTGGGACAAGCTGGTTGTCTCAGTCGATATGCATCGGTTGCTAATGCGTTTTCGTCTGTGTCGCTGGCCGCTAGGAGCAAATGGAGATTATGGGGGAATTCACGCGAACAGATGGTCTGCGTGTTTCGCGAGCTCCAAGCCGTAGAGGACGAGGAGCACGTACTCTTGGAGTGCCCAGCATATAGCACATGTAGGAGCTTTCTGTCGAGATTCATGTGGATCAGAACATGAAGGATCGCAACAGTAGCTAGGCTGAGGTGGGTTTCAAACTGTAGGCGCACTGCAACGGCATAACAGTCTGGATAATTAGGTTACTTCGACATAGTTTTCCCTTTTTCGGGATAGGATCCTAGTTTTCCTTATGCGTTTTTACGATATCTCTCTATCTCGGACAGCTTTCGGGCCCCTGGCCCTTAAGCCGGAGGCTACTATGGGCCCATTACATTATTGAAGAGTGACGCCACCCGAGGTGTAACACACACACACGCGTACCTGATCGGCCGGCGGTATTTTGCCGCCGTACTCTGTGAGCATCTCGTACATACTGATGACAATGGTGTAGCGGCGCTCGATGTTGTCGCGGCCAGCCATGACCTGGCTGAAGGTTGCATAGTAGCTCGCGAATTCGTCCAGCTTCTGGGGCCGACCCGACATGTTGCTGCGGCCAAGGAGGAGGGGCAAATCGCTCAGGGAACATGGTGGCGGTAGTGTTGTTAATGGTACTAATGCCAATGACAGTAACCATGTCGAAGATGATGATGGTGCCCGATTCATGGGGTGGGATGCGTGGGATCAGGAACTATCGCACCTAAATCCCCGCAATTTCCCAAAAAGTTGTAGATAATTGTTGCATTGTGCTGATATCCGGGGTCGTCAGGCACAGCTGTACCCTGTACCCTGAGCACGAGCCGCAACCCCATGCGTGACCGCATCATACCATTGTTCGGGCTGCAGCTACGCCAGTTCGGCGGCCAGAACCACCAAGCATACAGTACCTCTAAATGGTAATTCCGTCTGGGTTCTAGTTGGGGAAAACAGTACCTTCCTGACATTTCTTTTAGTGGTAGCATTTCTATGCAGTTTGGCCAACTCGCTGCTCCCTGACCACAACAATAGACACATACGTGGACACCCATACGTAACCAGCCTTGCCCACAAAAGCGGACGGGCTCAACTTACACAGTGAGGCCCTGGAAATCCTCCAGTGCGGCCAGGGACGCGTTGTGTGCCGCCGCTGTGAGCAGGATACGCAGGCAGGTCATTGCCTCCTCCAGCGTCGCCGACAACATCTCCTGCAAGGACACAGATACAGGCCAGCACAAATATATGAAAGCGATTCAACAAACGTTTCAACAAACGTTTATTGAATTGCAGCAGCAGGTGCAGCGGCAGCAGGAACGAGCCCAAAACTATGGGTGCGATGCCAAAACGATCCGCATCGCCGGATTCCAGGCGCTACACGGAATGAGCACGACGGTTTGCGGGGGTTGGGTTGGTGCTGATGGCGCCACCCCTCCTAACTGCTTCATGAAGTTTAGCAAGCGCTCGGCCTGCCTTGCGCCAGCTTTGCCTGGCCTGCCGTGGCCCACGCTCTTTCCTACTTCTCACCAGCATTTCGCTAACGGACAGGTGCAGCAGCACACAGTCATATCCCGCCTTGAAGGCCACCAAGTCGTCCATCCAGCTCCTGCGGGGGAGGAGAGCACCAGTCGTATTGCCACCACCCCCGGTCAACGGGTAAACGACAGCGCCTTAGGTAGCGTTGCCGCCTACTATTGCCAATCCGTCCTGCGCAATGCTCAATACACCCTACTCAAACAACAGCAACAGCGTCATCATCAATGAATCCCAGCAGGGTGGCCCCGGGTGTGTGTCGCGCCGCGGGGTTCGGGTGCGGCCGCGGGGTTGGGTTGTGGGCGGAGTGGGGCGCCGCAGGCGAGCGGGCCGGTGTGTGGCTTGGCTGGGCTCTTCTGCAGTGTAAGGGCCCAGCACCTTCGCGCCCGCTCGTAGCGGTATCTGCCCACTTATACCCAACTGGCCACTAGCCTTTTCAATTCGTACTCACCTAAGAAGCGCCATGTCACGACGAAACTGCGCCACATCGCGCTCCTGCGAGCGGTAGGAAACCGCATCGAATTGGGCCGCAAATGCCGCCACCACCCGCAGCCCCGCATAGCGACTGGCGGCGGCACGTGCCTCCCGGAAGGCCTTGCTAACCACCTGGCCCAGGCCCAATCTGACGACCAACACACCAGCCACAGAATGGACAGAAGGAGGGGAGGACACGAGCACCAGGATAAGCGATGGGAACATCAGGGAGGGCCACATTCGGCAACGTCAGCACAGGAGCAAAGCCTCTATACCACTGTGGAGCTGCTAGCTAGCCGGCCAGCGAGCGAGGGACGAGCCGCCTTTGAGGCATGCTATGCAGGCCAGCGGTGCAACGAAAACATGTGTGCGTAGGAATGTATGTAGGGATGTACAAGCGTGCGCTCCTGGCTAAGGATGTGCAAATCAGCAATCACTGCGTGGGGCTCGTGAGCGAGGAGGCGCCCTTATCAACGCCCGTGCAACCCAAGCCCAATAATCAGCCCAATACCGCCTCTCACAGTCAACGGCAGCGCCGGTGCGGGTGGCAGTGGCGCGGAAAGGGGGCAGCAGCAATAGCAATGCGGTATAAGAAAAGCGGAAAGTCCTAGGTGCTCGCTCGCAGGTACCCCACCTAGCCTTCTGCAGGGGCCGGTAACCCATGAGCATGGTGATCATCTCGGGGCCAATGCGCAGCAGGTGGCCCGGCCCCGCTCCGTGGTTGCGCTCCGCCGCCTCTGCCACGAATAGGGGCTTCAGTGCGTCCTGCTGCGGCAGGCGGGGGAGCTGCTTGATGACCTCGTTCAGCGCGTCCACTAGGTCAGTCGTTAGCGCCTGCGGGCGGGTGAGCGAATGAGCGGATGGTAACGCGTGAGGAGTGAGTATTATTATCTACGTCAAGATACGGATAGCGAAATAGGGTGAGGATGCAAGTCATAAGGATGTGGGCGGACGGGATTTAAGCTGCGGAAAAAGCGGCAGGGGTATAGAGGGGCGGAACAAGGCGCCCGGCCGCATTGGGCTTTTTTGCAATTGCCGCTCCAAGCCTTCCTTCTTGCACGATCCTGTCCTCAAGCCCCATGCCTTGGGCCCCAGGATCATCCCCACCGACCACGACCCCACTACAGCGCCCCTCTCCCAGACCCACGGTTCTTACCACGCGGACTTCATCCTCGCTGGCATGAAAGCTCACTACGTTCTGCACTGCTGAAGTGTCCCCTTCCAAAGCAGCCATGCTGCCGCTGCCGCCTCCACCGCCCGCGTCGGTGCCCGACGCCTCCGCCGCCACCGCGTCTATCAGCGAAGGCGTATCCAGCCCGAATGACACTTGCGTCATCAGAATGGACTTGCTTTCGAAGGCGTCCCGCAGGCCCTCCACGGTGCGCAGCAGAAGCCCAAGTGCGCCCTCGCAGCATATGTAGTCCGCCAGTCGAACCATGTTCACCAACAAGGACACCTCCTGCGGGGCGCATGCGGGGCGCATGCGGGAATACTTTACATTAACACGTGGAAACAAATGCAAGGCGCGAGCGATCATGTGCGGATACGGAAGGACGCCATGCAACGCCAATTGCAGAGGTTTAAGTATCACCAAGCGGACCATCCGCCTGTCCTTCCCGTCACCTGATCGGCGTGTCCTGATGTCCATGAGAAGGCTAGAACCCCACCTGTGATGGACGCAAATCCTCACCAACCTCGGCCACCACAGCTGAGCTTGTAAATTAAGCGCCGTCAGCCGTCGACGGCGCGACAGCGTTCTCCCTAAGTCCTCTCTAATCTACCCCGGCCCGGCTCGCAGCAAACGCGGCCCGCACTGCTCACCTGCTGCGCCTGGCGCAGGGCTTTGCTCTTCTCCAGCTTCTCCGTCTTCGCCTGCGGGACAGGGCAGCGAGCAACGGTGCTGCCGTGATGAGGCCTCTCGTGTGACTCGCTTGGCTAGGCCTAGCACAGCGGGTGTCACCCAAGGATGCGAGCCCCCAAGGCCCTGCCAGGGATATTTGCAATATTCAAGTGACCAGCGAAAACATAGCTAAACCCAAAAGACTACATATGCAAAGACGAGGGCGGAACACAACGAGCCAGGTGAGGCCAAGCCATCGTGAACGAACGGCCCCGGGGAGGTATCCAGACCTTCTATGCTCGTTAGGCTAGTACCTTTAGGATGCTCCTGCCGGGCTTATTGCTGACCGGATGTGCCGCTGCCAGCACTGGGTTAGTCTCCCGCTCCAGCTCCGCTACTTCTTTGGTCAGCCACTCACAGTTCTTCTTCACGTCACCAATCAGGCGCTGCAGGGAGCGCTCCACCGCCACCAGCAGGTTCCCCAGCTGGTAGGTGGCCTTGTTCCTGCGCGCCGTTGTGAAATCGGTTATGTCGTTGTTGTTGTTTGTCACAGGGAGACTTCTGGGCCCATGGCACACATTTGGATTGCCATATCTAGGATTGAACACCCTACAGCACCATCCACCATTACCACACTGTGCTACGCCAAGTCCAACACGTTTAATTCTGCCTCCTCGAATCCCTTCGCATCCTTTCACCGTAACCGAACATCGGGGCTATGTAGCGTGGAGCAAAGAAACGAATAGCGCGCGAAGCGCATCATAGGGTGCGGCAGCCCTACAGGAAAACGTTGCCCTGGTTGAGAAGGCGCAAAAATGATGCGTTCAGGCAATCCCGCCCTTCGCGAAAGCTCCGGTGCGATTCCGTAACCCCATAAAACGCTTCGTCCCGGATGCGCGGACTAAGAATTGAGCGGGTCAAAGGAGGGAAAAGGAGGGAAAAGGAGGGAAAAGGAGGGAAAAGGAGGGAAAAGGAGGGAAAAAGAGGGAAAAGGAGGGAAAAGGAGGAAAAAGGAGGGAAAAGGAGGGAAGCTCGCAAGCCCGCTACTTACTTGCGCTGCTCCTCCTGCATGGCCAGGAACTCCGCCAGCGGTACGGGTCCCTCCCTCGGCAGCTCCACCAGCTCCACCTGCTGCATCTGAAACACCTGCAACATATCGCACACGCCGGACGAGCGGATTATCATATACCAAGTGCAAGGATCACACCATGGGCGGTGTTCGATTGTAGAAGCGTGGAATGAATGCTGACAAGAAAGAAATATCGAACATGGGAGTGCGGCAGGGAGGAGAGCCAGTACTGGTATTCGGACTCCCCAAAACACCATTTCCATGGGCGAGCTGGGTTCTCAAGGTCGTCACGAAATCCTAACGGCCAAAGCCACACAGAGTCGTCTCAACCGCGACACGAGGACCGGGTCACTACTCGAAATCTAACGGCTGGATGAGCCGGCTCCATTAAATAGACCTCTGCGCGCCCACGTGTGTGCATTTTCCGCCGCGACGGCAGATTCCACCGCGACCGTTTGCGCCTCACCTTTGCCCCGATATCCATGATGGTAAAGCAAAAGTCCGGCTTGGCCAGCAGCATTCGTGTCTCCATTTTGGCGCGCAATCGCTCGAAATGGCTGGAGCGCGCAGAGCTGCGCCAGATACGCAGGTAGCGCTGCACAAGTACCGCGATCGTGGAAGGGGAGTGTATCAAGAATCGCGTGATACATCAATTGTTGAGGTCTAAAGGTAAATGCTGAGCATAACGGCCCCATGTTCAAGAGGGTATGGCCAGCGGACAAGTTAAGGTTCCACTGCGCGCAGGCTGGCTGGCTATCTGGCTGGCTAAGCATGTAGTGCACGCGGGTTTCCGCCGATCAGTTTGTTTGCAATCAAATGATTTAGCGGAATAGGGGAGAGAAGTTAAAAAGAATCAGCCTCGCGTCCAACCTGGCCATACGCGGCTGGCAACGGTACGCGGCTGGCAACCCTCGAACGCCCAGTCGCCTGATTACGTAACGTTCTGCCGCATCACGAACTGCAAAACGAATAAAAATGTGCTCAAGAGAAATCGACCTGAAAAATCTCCCATCTCACCTGCGACATGTAATTGCGGAAGAAGGACAGCTGCTTCATCATGTTGTACACGGACGTTTCGCGGACCCACTCCCCTATTGGTGTGTACTCGGCAGGGGAGCCGTCGGCGAAGATCTGGATGGCATGGGTCAGCAGCAGGGAAAACACCACATGAGCCGGTGGCGTGTCCCGCCAAGCATCACAACCATGGGTGCTGCACCGCGGGGTTGAACATTCGATCCTGGCCAGCGCTCTATCCATAAGACAGGAGAGCCTCGCGCTGGTGCTTTAGAAAGGTTGTTGAACCTGTTACTGCTCCTCTACTGCTGCGGCTTCCATACACATCACAACTTTGGCGTGGAGAAGTCCTCGACTCCATTCTGGTCAGTTCATGAATTCACAGGGGGCCGGGGTGTTTTGTGTGTGCACAGGCCAGGTCCACGCATCTAACTAATCCAAGCCTGCTGGCCGCGCAAGACGGCTGCCGTCCCCAAGAATGTGTCTGCATTTCAAGGCCAGCACGTCATCACCGTCACGCACGCATCACATAGCTGCTTATGCGAGCAGCCGGCTTCTTGGGTCCCATCCCTGTCTCCAACACCGCTTTTGCCAGGACCATCCCGCCGCCTGGGATCGCTCCCATCCTAAGAGACGAGTCAGAATCTCCGTGGCCCGTGGGCCAGAGGAGATTCTCCTGAGACACCCTCCTTTTCCCTCCGCCTTGCCTGAACGACGCCCGATGCCGACATGGTGTAGTAGCTGTTACCGGGTTTCGGAGGTGGCAACGCCTCCTTAGCTACCACCGTCAAATCGTATGGGCTGCCGTTGCCCAGGGGATGCGTCTTAATGCAGTGGAACATCTTAACCTTGGCATCGTGGCCGTAGCGCGCGTAATATTCGATCACGTCCGTGCCCTGAAATCCGGGAGGTGCGGGCAAGGCGAGGCGAGCGGAGGTGCGCACATGCATTCCGCACGAGAGACATTGTTAGATGCAAAAACCCCTGGCTGCCACACGGCATTACAACCACACAATGCAACTGTTTGGGAGCTTTACCGGCGAGTTGTACCAACACAACCTGAGCCGTGGCAAGCCGCATGGGATAGGACGGTTATCGCTTGTGATACCCCTGACCGCTCACACAGCTTGCCGTGGCTCAATGTTGACCAAACCCGGTCGCCCTTTCGCAGACCGCCAGCATGCCTTTTCAGACGGTAAGCCAGCCCGTAAACCCATTGTTAGAAAACTGCCGCTGACATAGCGGGTGTGATTGGCTTGCCGGCCGCACGCAGGTACCGCAGCCCATATGTGAGCTGGCGTCTAAACAGAGCGTGAAAGGACGGACGCCACCCGGCCTTAACCCACGTGGCCCAGTTAGCTATGCATGTCCAATACGCGTTTGGCCCCCGCACAGAGACACGGGCAGCGCTGGTAAGCACGTCGCGATGCCAACTGGACGCCCAAACCAGCGACCAACCGCATGCATCGAAATCTCAAAGTCCCAAGGGTTCGCGGCTGTGGTCTCGTATCCTATTCGCGTACATTTCAGGCCTCTCTGCGCGTGAAATTCATCCGTCACGAAGTTCTGGTAATCCTGAGCACTAGCGTAATTAGGGAAGCGCACTGCATGCGGCTCCACCCCGTCAAAGAATCTATCTACCGGCTGCCCTGGGCAGGCATCCTGCACCACCTTCCCCACAATATGCAGCTTTTGAGACCTGTGAGGTGACGCCTCCTGCCCTGGGGCGTAAAAACCCAATGAAATCCACCTAGACCTCCTTCCCACTCAAGGCACATCTGCTGTCTAACAGGCGACTTAAAAAAATTTTAAAAACCGCACCCAACGACCGAAGGACATGCAAACAACCTGCAAGCCTGCGTATCAGCACATACAATCCTTCCAAGGTCCCTCGTCAGTAGCCCCTGGCGGGCGTTAGATGTGGCAGCGGTATCGCAGCAGGACGCTGCGAGGATCTCCCACCATCCAACAGGTCACCCCCGCGATATACCCCTGGGTCCTACCTTATAGATCCGGTGCCGGAACTCCGGTTCGATAATTGACATAATCGCCGAAAGAGAGTTTTGGCTACTTTCTGCCACCAGCGCTGACTCCCTCGGCGGTGATGGCAGCCGTGGGTGCTGTCGAGGCAGGGTGTGAACATTTAGCCATGACAGTGCGCGGCGTAGCGAATGCAGGGTCAATGCAGTTTCATCGGACTCTAAAAGCAACAAGGGTTCAGCAAACGAATTGGAACTCTCATCCCCAAATTTGGGTCTTTCCTGGCTAAGAGCACGAAACACTCGCGGATGTAACCCCCGTCCATGCACTCAGGATCTCGTCATTTAGCAAACCCCGCCCTCATTTGCGACGAAGGGTAACGAAGGGTAGGGATAGTCCTACCTGGGAAGGTGTGTGTGGGCTTGTGATGGGAGGGAGAGTGCCAGGCCGCTGGTTTGGGTCCGTGGACACCAGCGGAGGTTGCGCTCCTCCCCCGCCTGCACAGGACAATGGATGGGTGCCCTCTATGCGGAGATTGTTGCTGCAGCCTCTCCGGAGTTGGGCTGTCATTGTTACCGCGTTTTGCGTAAGGGGCTACAAGCAACGTTACTGTTGCCTCGTGGGCGCCCGGGTGTCAGTACGGCAAGGAAGGCACATACTCATATCGATACCCGAAACCCAAAGACGACCACTGCCTGGATGGGGGATAGCCGTTTGATCCTCTCCCCCAAATCCCTCCAATACATACAAACCTGCCAATGGGGCCAATGTACCTTGCTGGTACACAACCGACTGAGGACCCGTGCCATTCCCAGCGCTCCCCGCCTACGCGACACGGAAAGTAGAGTTGAGTAAGACCTATGTTTGTTCATAGCGACATATTTGAGCTGACAGATAACCTATGCGGCCCAACATCATTTGCGTAAATGCCCACGGACACCCGATGGTCCCGCATGCAGGCGAGTCGCCCATGGGCCCACCCTGAGCGGCGGCAGCTTGGATCCTGTCGACCTGCCAGTCGCTCCTTGCTGATTGCCTGCAAATCATTTTAATTGAGTGAACGGCGAGCTGGCTTCCTTTGCCATGGCATGGAGACCAGAACAGTAGCTGCCCATCCTTATCCCTAGCAACATGAACATATATAAAGGTGATATCGCACCATTGCTGCGAGGCCGGGAGGGGCTCCTGTTTCGGTCCATCTCGTTGTTATAAGGTGCTCCTAACAGGAGCTTATCCGTCTTTCACGAACTGAATTTATTGTAGCCATGATGTGTTAATTTACTGCTTAGAAAAGAACTCAAATAACGCTCCCTGAATGGCTAATTTGTGCTTGGCGAGCATCTAGACAGCATGGGCGCAGCTGTCCTACATTGTCTATTTCCGTTTACCATTCCAAATGTGTAACTGAGTTCCTGTTCCTGCCAAGCTCCCCCTTGCCGTACACGGGGCAGTACTTCCGCGTGAGCGGTGCCAGTCCGGGCTTACTAAGAAATGAGAGAGCCCAGGGTCAACGAACAGACTTTTCGGAGCGATTGCAACATACTACGATGCGTCCCACTTCTTTGTATGCTTTGACCAAATCCAACACTAAGCAGTACGACGAAAGGTCAGGAGGTTGCGTGTAGTTGACCTCGGTTGTAAGGCGTTGAAGGTCTTTCCGTCACTGCTGTTCTCTAGGCTTGGTCAGTGTTCACGCCATCCTACACAGCACACCAGGTTTTAGAACGCAGAAGACGGGGGCAGCCCACGCACGCTTACAACTTAATTACGCTAGACTACGCTACCACTGGGTGCTTTGGCTGCAGCACCGTTTTCGCGAGAAGCCCGAGAAGAGAACGAAAACGAGCCGCCTGAGGGCCACAGCTTTAATGGCTTCACGCTATGATAATGGGTACGATGGGTGGGCAATGCGACGAAATATCCGGTACCGGGGTCATGTCCCACAGACGCGGACTTCCGAGTGCAACCTAACTCCTAGAATAATGCCTGCATCCAGGCGCCTATAACGCAGCATCCAAGACCGGCGATATTCCGGTAATCAATGCGAACAACCCAACGACCGTCCATTTGAGTTTGGAATCATGGCACGCGCAAGTAACTGTGCAGCGGAACCGGCCAGGCAGCGACCTCCTCCCTATTCCTATTCATGATTCCGCTTGAAATGCTCAATGCCCCAGGTTTGACCCCAAGTCCCCAATCCGGCGCGCTGTCGTGCACTCCCCCTAAGGGACTATCCATCAGCAGCCGGCAGCCCTGGCGGTATTACTGGCGGTACTTCCGCCAAAGCATTTAATAAGCCTTTCATCGCACGCTCCTTGCCATCTTGCTGGGACACACCTGCAGCACTCTTAACATCTGTCTGGGTTTGCCGTGCGCGTCAGGACCCCGGGGAGCAAGGGTTGCCACTGGAGCCGATTCGCAGGTCATCCGTGACTCCACCATCCCCATGACTGTATAGCGCTGGCGCCAAATGTACATTCAGGCTTCACTCTAGAGCAATGGGCTCCGCAATCGCCTCATCTCATCTCTTAATGGCGGCGCAACGAGAATCCCATGCTACAAGGCTACATTGAGGACCTGCTGCCGGGTCCTCAATGGGCCACACCGCAGGTAAAGGACACGATGTGGACAACCCGCGAAGTTTCCGCCAATTAAAGATGCACGCACACCTAGCTAACCACCTGCCCCCAGCTGGGCCCTCCAACAGGCTCGGGAGCTAAGCCACGGGCCCTTGTACGCTATGCAAGCACACGCGCCCATACTACTAGTCCGTTCAGGGGCACGCATGCGCCTTGCCCGAATGTATGCGCCTATATACGAAACTGAGCAAGTTCCTCAGTCTATCCTCCGCCGCATTATCACAGTGTTACCCAAGCTCCATTCCCTGCCCTAGCGCTTGAAGCCGCGCCTGCATGGATGTGCTACCGCCCTGAAAAGGCTTGTACGCGCTGGAGGAGGTGCGTTCCTTAATCGTCGCCTCGAAATTGCGCTGCGTTGACACGATCTCCGTGCGCCGGGTCATGTCTGCCAAATTCTCGTTGCTAGCCTGCTGCCGCAGGGCCGCCAGCTTTTCATCATACGCACGCATGAAGTCGTCCTTGGCTTTGAGCTCCTAAGGGCAGGACGGCAATAAAACGGTGGGGGCGAAGGTCACCCTGACGACACAGTGGCTAACAAGAAGGACATCAAGGGAAAGTGTCCATGGCCTTTTATGCTTGAGGACGTCTCCGTGGGGCGCAAAATACAGGCAGAGCTGCGAACAAACTGATTAGTGCTTTGGCGAGAATTAGGATCATCACCTGCATGGTCCGATGTGGAAAGAACCGGCTATAAAACGGCTTACAGACTTTTACAGGAGAAACCGAAGTTGGGGGCTTCATGCTAAGTCCAGGCAGCGAGGGACTGCGCAATGGCTAGTCTCTGGCAGACGCCGCATGCGTGTCCTTGCCCTGCCCCTCTCTGCGTACCTGTCGCACATTCTTCATTCGGACGTTCTGCGCTCGCGCCTTAGTGTGCTCGTACAGCGTCGCACTCGCTAGCTTTCCCTCCTGCCTCTCCCGCGCCTCTCGCTGCGCGCCCGCGCGCAGCTCCCGAAACTTAGTTTCTTCCACCACCGCCGCACCCGCCGCCGCTTGCATCTGCTCGAAACGTATCCGCTTTTGCTCCGCCGCCAACCGCGCCCGCTCCGCCGCGAGCGCCGCGCGCTTTGCATCCAGCTTATCAGCCAGCTGCAGCACATCAGCTTCTCGAGCCTTGGCCGCCTGTATGCATGTACGCGGGGGACAAGGCAGCGGCGACCGAGTTTTGCAGGTCTGGGCTTGTCCTTTCTCCTCTGCGCCAATTGTGTTACTTGTATGCATAATATTTTAGCGGACGGGCATTGTCTCGGGTGGTAGACCTGTTGCATTACACGCACTTGCCCCATCCTGCCTGTGTTCTTGTTTCAGGCGGTCCTCTTCGGCTGTGGCGCACGTGTGTGCCCAGGCCTACACCACCTAACACCGGAACCAGCTCTCGCCCAGGGCGGTGCAGCACGGGAAACATACACGGCTGCGCGGCGGCGGCACCCTTATCATCGTCCATCGTCCCCGCTCCACCGACGCTCCACCGCCGCACCTCGCTTTGTTTCCGCTCCGTTGCCTCAGCTGATGCAGCCCGACGAGCCGCCGCCTGCGCCGCTGCCACCCGCCGCACGCGCTGTACGTTTGCTGCCTTTTCCATGAGGGCAGACTCACGCTCCTGCTTCTGTCTCAGAATGTCCGCCCGTTGCCTCTCCTCCTGCGCACACCAAGAACCACAAGCAGCAATTAGGAACACGAACAGCATGTCAGAGGGGCTTCTATCTCGTTGCGACGACGTGGTACATGACACTTGCAAATACAGAGAAGCTTGGGGCCTCGAGGCACATCTCCAGCGGAAATGGGGCAGCGGCGGGCCCTCACCTCTTCTCGCTGTCTCCGCTTCGCGACGGCTAGCCGCTCACGTAGCTCCACCAGGCTCATGGTCTGCAGGGGAATGGGTGGAAATGGAAACGGACAGACGGAACAGCGGGTCGACAACGGCGCCACCACGGCAGGGGCGACTCCGTATGCAAAAGTAGCAGTGGAGGATCGGAGGGCGGCGGGACCTACATTTACACCGTCCTGTATCCCGTAGGCTGTGATCCTTCCTGGGCTGCGACAGCCTGAGCCGTACCAGTAAACCAGGATGTCCAGGGCATTCCTCCATAAGCAAGTCATCGCGCCCAACTGTTCACGTCCGGCACTAAGCCACTGCCGCTGCCGCCGCTGCGCCAGCAAGCAGCATTTCCCCCTTGTCCTCAAGGACTGCCCGTCTGGTCCCCCATGGCACCCACTTCCACACTCCATGTCCACTCCGTCGAAAGGCAATGAAGAAGAGATCTCAGCTGGCTCACATGCCTTTGGTCTGGGGTTCAGTCCGACATTTCCCAGCCCGCCAACCACGCACCTCAAGCAGCCCGAAGTCTGGACCCGTCTCCGTGGGGTCGAACTCCCGGACGCGCTGTTTGGGCACCTTCTCCAGCGCCCGCAGCTGCAGAATGATGTCCCGCCGCTCCGCCATCTCCTTAGCGGCCGCCTCCGCACGCGTCCGCGCGTCCTCCGCCTGCTTGCGCCGCTCTTCTTCTGCTGCCAGACGACGTTCCTGCGACATCTTCTCTACAGCCGCCTGCACGTTCTGCCGTGCCTCCACCACCGCATCACGCCGCTGCGCGTTCTGCCGTGCCTGCTCCTCACGCTCGCGGCGTAGGTCATCCTCCAGGCGCTTGGCCTCCTCCTTGGCCGCGCGAGCAAGCTCTTGGTTGGCTTCCACTGCCGCCTGCCGAGCCTTAATTGCATTTTCCTGCAAGAGTTAGCGTGCAAGTCAGCCCTAGCTATTTGGGGAATAGGCCACGAGGCGGCGCGTTGAGGCAGCACGACACTCCAGGGGGCCTGCAAGGCCGCATGGCTTGCATCACGACACACGCGATTGCTTCATACGCCCAAGCGTACGGACCCCGGCAAAATTAGTGAACTCAAACAGCAGCAAGGATAATGAGTCGGATGCTCTTTTCCCCATTTCGCTTAACCCCTCATCTCATAGCAAATGGGCACCTCGCCGGCGTTGCGGCGCATACTGTCCCGCACCTGTGCAGCCGCCATCTCCAGTCTTCGCCGCTCAACAGACGCCGCACGCTCCGCCTCATCCTGCTCCATCATAGCCGTCTGCCAGGCCTTGAAGCTGCTGGCATCTCGGAGCTCTGCCTCGTAGCGCTTAAGGGCCTCCGCCTCTTCCGCCTGCTTGCGGCGGTACAGCGCATCCTCGCGCAGGATGGCGGCGGCATTCAACTTGACCTGCAAGGCAGGGCGGGACGAAGTGGGAGACGTCCAAGCGTTACCAAGATGCAGTCAGGGAAGAAAAGGCTGTTTCCCACGGCCGCCCGGCCGCCCCACCTGAGCATTTGGCTGTGGCGGCGCCGGGGCTGCTCTTATTCCCTTGAACGTCAGCTCCTGGGTGCGTTCCTCCTCCAGCTCTGCCCTGATCTTCTCGATGTTGGTTGGGCGCTCCAAAACTCGCAGCTTAAATGGCGCTGCCCTGGTGTGGGCGGCGGAAGGGCAGGATCGGCTTGCATTAGGCCAGGGTCTTCGAGTTTGCATTCAGGGGAAAAGCAACACAAGACAGTCCTCGACAGGGAACATATAGGCGGCGAAGAGGCCATCAGGAACGGAACCTGTGAGCAACTGCATACCGGCCGTTACGGCATCCGCCCTACCAACATTACTCAACGCAACGGCAATGTCCCGCCGCATGTCTGGTGGATGCCCCCGGCGCGTCTTACTTGGCATTCTTTTCTGCTTGCGCTCGGTTAGCTTCCCTCGCAGCCTGCAACGCCTGCTCCTCCCGCGTGGGCCCCTCCCGGGATTTGGGAGCGGGCCTGGCGCGTATGGGCGGTGGAGGAGGGTCCTCCACAGGCAGCGGCTTGGGCTTCTGCTGCGTCAGGTTGAAGGGCTGCGGCACCGTGGGCGCGCGCGGTGCGTACGAGGTGCCCAGCGTCTCCTTCTCCTCCTCCTGGAGGACACAAGTAACACGGGAAGGCAGGCAAGCGCAGCCAGGCAGGCAAGCAGCCACGCAAGCAGGCAACGGGCAGGCGGTCGCGTCCAATGAGAAGTGGAAACCCCGAGGACAGCAGAAGCATGGCGCTGCTAGGAACATCGCAGGATGAATGGTAATTGGATAACAGGTGCACGCCTCATCCGCGATGGTTCACATGGGGCCAAAGCAGTCACTTGACAGGCAACGCAATGCGCGGAGGCTGTCGCGATGCAACCCCCAAGCTTGCTGGAATTACTCTCTGGCCCTATTTTATGGACTCCGTTCGTGGGTGATCTGGGAGCCCCAGGATCCGAAATGATGTGGCATGGTAATTTTGCGAGATACCGAACCCGCGGAAGGTGGCAAGGCGAGCAAAGCTGAGCGATCCAGGAGGGCCCGCGCACTTTGCTCGTGTTCATCGCCCCGCAAGCGGCGCCCTCACCCTCCCAACGCGCGTGCATCTTCTCACCGTCTTTCGGCTGAGCGTGACACGGTACTCTAGCTTCGAAAGCATTGCGGAGCTCTCCGAGTGCCATGATAGCAGCCGAGCAATGGTCTCGTCCACAAACTACAAGGCGGGAACACAACATAAGTAAGGAAATGCATACGGTGCAGTGTGCAATCAGGCTGACGTCCCGCCTGCCCCTCGGCCAACCTACCCCATACCTACCCCAAATTCAGCGCCCCGGCAACCGACAACTCCCAACGAGATAATAAACGCCATCAACAGATAAACGCCAGTAAATTCGCAAGAGCCATCACCGGTGTTTCAACCCGCACCCGCACCGCCCACTACGGCTAGAGCGCTAGCTAGACTGGAACGGCCTGGAGGCGATATCGGTCCGCAAAGCGCAGGGTTTAATATTGCTTAGGTTAGTGAGCTCATTCATCAGTCTAAGTAGGCATATTCGCTGGTTGCCTGTCAGGTTGTAACGACTCCTGTACAGTGGCGCTTTGCCGGAACTGCCGTTCTGCTCTCCTAACGATGTCTCTCAACGGGTTAGTTGCAAATAGTGATCTTCCTTACCTTGTGATTGTGAACTAAAAGCGGTGTTTTGAACTGTTCGGGAAATCTTCTAGTAATCGGAAACTCTTCTCGGCGCTTGCTGTGCAGGCATGCGCAATGGCAGTTTCCGACAGCGAAAAACAAGCGGGCAGATGCAGAGGTTGCAGCTATGCGGGATGCCCCCTTTCCCGCCTCTCCGTCAGTGGTTCAACCCTTGTTGTATTGCTCTCTGCCGTACCAACCTCCTTATCGTACAGCTTAAGCCAGTCTTCCCGCACCACCTCCTTCAGATACTTGGGGTCAAAGATGTACTTGAGCAACACGTACATCTTCTGTGGCGTCATAGCGTCCACCAGGCGCCTGAAAATGCAGAAGGCGAAATGACGGAAGAAAGCAATCTGAACCCATAACCAGCCGCAGGAGGGAGCGAGGAAATGCGATGCTACGGCCTCCAAACCAGTAAAAATGGCTTGCAGAACCTTGCTCAATAATGAGGGTACAGGGCATGCACATGTCCGGGGCACGAGCAGCCTGGAGTGGCGCACGAGCAGCCTCTGTCGACGGCCAAGGACTGTGCGGCAGCTTTTCCCCTTTTTCCATCCAGGCCTCCCCACGCGCTACATTCTGAACTCCATACCCTCAGAACCCTTGCGCCAAAACGACTTTCCCTACGTGTCCACTCACTGGAAGTTGCTGAAGGTGAGCTCTTCCAGCCGGAAGATGGTGAGGTAGCTGTACAGCTTGTACATGTCAACATCCTCACGGGAGGCCGTGCCTCTGTGTCGGGGCGGGAAGGAGAGGGTGAACGAGGCAGGACAGGGAAAGGAGGGAGTTGGATGCGAACGGCAACGGGGTGTGGATGAGCTGCGACCCAGTTAAGGAATTGCCAGACAAAACCCAAAGGCTTTCACAGTTGGGAAATGACAGGTTCGCGACTAGGGTTCCACATAGATTGGCTGCGGACTCGAAGGACAAATCTTGGATCAATTATTACAAATCCATTGTCGGTGTGTACACACTTCTGTTCTCTAGGGGCCCCCCTTAGGACCGTTGGCCCCTCCTGCTTCCGGTATCGAGCTCTTAAAGCCCACCAACGGAACGAAATACAACTCACCCGTTGTAATGATAGAAGGAGTCCATGAGAGCACTGAGCAACCGCCGGTAGCGGACTGCTCCGTAGATGACCTGCCTAATGAAACTGTCATCGAAGCTATTATATATCTGCAGCTCTGCAATACTATTGTCAACATGTGTGTCAAGGGTTACTTGGGCTGGGTTGAAGCTTTTGAATATGCGCTCGCACGTTGCCATAAGCTTCTCCGCACCCAGAGGCTTGCCACTGAGCCGGTTCGACCCAGCACTGCTGGCCGACAGCGGCCTTGACGGCAGCTGCAAGCCAGTAGTTGCGAACGACGTTGCAGAGCCTGGTCGGGAACCCATTTCTAAAGCCGCGCTCCGAAGGAAGCGCTCCTCAGTGTTCCGCGGTCCTCAGCGGTTTACAGGGAAGCCTCCGCCCTAGCCTGGTGCAGACTCCATGAGGCCACCTAGAGGTGAGAGGGAGATCAATGAAATAGAACAAAGAAAGGTGTCCCCAGGCCAATTTATAAAGCAACAAAGAGGCGGAAGGCCCCTGGTAGTGCTGCCTAAGCGAATGTATTCCCAGCTGTTTAGATAATGGAATATGACCAGAACGCAGAAACTTGGGTTGGTATTGACCTATATTTTGGCTTCGAAGGTTGAGCCGTTGACATAATGATAGGTACGGATTTCCTACAAGCCCACTTCTCTATACAATGCTATATCTTAAATAAAAGCTCTTGGACCGTTCTCCACTGTCTCGTCAAAGCATGCAGTTGACGTACTAACTGTCAATGTGAAACATGTTTCCAGCTTTCCATTGATTCACACTAACTTGGTTCCCAACAAGATTTAAGGTGAGTATTTGTTTAAATATTTCTAATGAATGTTTTGGGGGATGACTTCCTGGGTTGTTCGCAAGTCGGGGCGGTTTATATTTAACTCTTACCCATTTTGCTTGGTGCGAAATGCGACATGCCGATAACTTCTCATACCGTAGTGCATACTTTGACCACGCCACATACAAGTAGGCCAGTGCGTCGCCCCTGACGCTCCTCCCTCCAGCTCTATCTTTGATCTCATTTGAGGCCAACGAAAATGTGCATAGTAACCCGAAACCTTTGCTGTTCCCGAGTCTCTCATGATTCCGAACATCTCAGCGCCAGACTGTGTCAGCGCATTCCAAGCCATCAACTCATTCCGCAAGCGTGCCCCAGGCCGTGGGCAGTCCCTTTACCACGGACTGTGCACGATAACGGCCGGCTGCATACGTTTTGGATGCTAGAATCAACACCCACGCGCATTGATCGTGGATGTTACCTCAGCAAACCTAGGGTGCATTACGCACTGCAGTACTGGTAGCCCAGCGTACGGTCAACAGATTGTTACGCCAAGACGCAATCTTTTACTAATTTGTAGCTTCTTACACAGTTGACTTTCTGTCACCAGTTGTGGTGTATCGCTGAGCTGGCGAGCCTCCGTGAAATTAAATCCCAAGAAATGCGAACTACCTGTGTTCTCATCCAGAAGATAGATCGGATTTACAAATTACATTCTACTTGAACACATTTATTAGCTAATTGACCTCCAATCGTCTTCTGTTGAGGGCGCAGTTTCGGCGCCGGCTGCGAGTGACGGCCAACACATAGACATTGTAGCCTTGAGCAGCCCACATTTAGGAGTTTACTTGTAGTGTATCTGCAGATATTCAGGTCGTGATGATGGATGTTGAACTAGCTGGTCCGGGACCTGGCTCTTCCCGCGCACGGGGACGCCTGCCGACGCAGCTCAGGTGCCAGGTGCTCACCTTCCGGGAATGACTCGCGCCGGAGAGCTCTTCCAAATAACTTTTGTGTTCGTCATGCAGGACCCTGGTATGTGAGCGCAGCGTACTGGACCGAGCTGATGGGTCGGCCAAATGGACCCAAGAAGGGAGCAGCGTGCTCGCCGCTGTCTATGGCCCTCGACAGGCGAAACCGCAGAAGGAGGACGCGGAGCAGGCGGTTGTCGAAGTGGTCTACAAACCCCGTGCTGGCTTACAAGGTGCGGCGGAAGAATCCAAGCGCTTGTGCGTCCGCCAGTGCGGATATAACGCCTGCTGCCGGTCCCACTTGCCACGTCCTTACACGGTGCCTACATCCTCCCCCTTATCGGAATATTTTCCAATACGTTCTTTGGCGCCGTGTATGACTTCGATTCATGTCCTGCCGTACCGGTGCTGTACATGCCCAGGACACGAGGACCGCACCTTTGAGCTTGAGGTGCGGGGCATCCTGGAGGGTGTCATACCCCTGGGCATGTACCCCCGGACGTCCATCATGGTGGTATTGCAGGTGCGTGTGCAGGGGTCTGTCGGGGTGCATGTTGAGGGGGGGCATCCCTTCCTGGGCTCCCAGCACAGCCAATCCTCTCGCATCACCGCTCCACTCCCTTGTCCAGGTCTTGCAGGGGGACGGGGCGGTGCTTTCCTGTGCACTGAACGCCGCGTGCGCTGCCTTGGTGGATGCGGGTATAGCCATGACCTCCATGTACGGTGAGTTGACCTCCCTCTGTGCCGCCAAAAGCTGTTAGTACTGGTTGATGTACCTGGTCCACTGCTTGAACGGCTTATAGGACAGCTGGGGGCAGGCGTCTAGGTGGCGGTCTACTGCCCACATTCTGTGGTGGTGCCAACCACACGTGGAGGCCGCACGTGGCGAATGGGATGTTGTTATGTGGCTAAATCCTTATGGTTGTAGCATTCGGAGAGCTTAAGATTTAGAGGTGCATGTACGTCCGGACGACCCTCATGTGCCGTTCCTGATCCCTGTTGCAGCCTCCGTCACATGTGTGTTGACGGAGGAGGAGCGGCTGCTGCTGGACTCGGATGCAGCCGAAGAACAGGTGGGTATGTGGGAAGGGGGCTTTTTGTCGCACATGATGGACCTTGTGGACCGTGTTACCTCCCCTCGTCCCGGGCTCGTGAGGGCAGGAAAGAGGAGTAATTAGGCGGGGAAGGGGGAAGACGGCAGCAGAGTGCGAAGCCCGGGTTGCACAACTAAGGATGAGGCGTGTTTGGTTGCCTAATAAATGGACATGCGCAGAAGAAGGGTTTTCCGCAAGTGGTGATAGCAAGAGTCTTAAGTGAGCCCTGCATGCACCCTCCGTGAAAGTGCAATCCCGTCCCATCTTCACCCCACTTCCATGTCCACATCATTCGCAAACTGTGATCCCCATCCTCAACTACTCACAGCTCCACTATGGTGATGTGGTCATCCTGTCCTCAATGCCTTGAGCGAATGTAAAGTGTGCAGGAGCAGGGAACGGAACTGTGTAGAGTGCATGTTGATGATTTGCCTTTGTTCACACTATCTGGGTCAGGCGGCCTCCCGACGCTTCTGTTGCGATCCCAGATATGATCTTGCTACTGATGCTTCCCTGCAGGCAGCCAAAGCCTGCTTCTGCTTCACCGTCCCACACCATTACGACCTTACGAAGGCGATTGACGGTCAGGTGGTCATATCGAATGCAGCGCTGGGCAGCCGCTCTTATGGCAGCTTCACGTCTGACCATATGTTGGATGCATTCATGCTGGCACGGTTGGGCTGCGAACGAGTTGCCATTTTTGCATGGTTATCACTCACAAAAAGCTTGCAAGCAGCTGGTAGCACGTGAACGACAGAGTAGTCTTGGTCCCAAAAGGGCTGTTGTCAATCTGAGAGTCGAGAGGCTTAGGCGGCCGCTCTACTCGATTGAGAGGCCTCTATGTTGTTACCATCCACTGGACGGTTGATGTATGCTGGGGTGTCCCCTCTCATTGCCTGCATGAGCTGGTGTGATATGGTGTTGCCTAGAATTACGTGTTCAGTGTCCGCTTACAGGCAGCTAAACGATCAGCAGGGTGATGTGAAGAGGGAGAAATGTTTGGAGAGGGAGGAAGCTGCCTGGTCCAGTTTCCTTGCATCGACGGTAGATGTGAAGACGGTAGGTGGTAATTTTCCGCCTCATCGAAGCTCTGCAATAGGGCAGAAGCAAAACCTCAAGGAGTTACGGCTTCTTGTCCCATCTGTACCTCTGCTTCCCTGACAAGGCCAAAACCAAATAAAGACCAGCTTATACTTCGAAAGCCCGACAGCGTTTCTACAAGCTTACATGGGTTTGAGTGGATGGCTATAAGCCTGGTGCATGTGAGCTACTCACCTACAACCGAGCTGGTGCCAGCAGAAACCTCAAGAGTCCAACGTGATTTTGTGTCCTTGATAGCTGCAACGATGGCTTCCGTGGTGATGCTTGGCACTGGCAGCGACCCGGCCAGTCCCCATCAACAACCAACAGGACGGTTGTGGAAGGGGGGACAGTACGGGTTGTTAGGGCACGGTATGAGAAAGAAAGCCGTGCTTAATTAGACAGATAGGTTGAGATTCGATGAAGCACGCATGTGAATGCATTCGTCACAACAAGATCCAAGTACCAATCCCGCGCTACACAAATTGCATCAGTCCCAGCACACAAGGCACCGCGCGCAACAGAACAGTCACGTCTGGCTGACAGCTGGCAGCACTGACTTTGTTTTGTCGCTGCATTCCTAGAGGCTTTGCTACACTGCGCTGATACATCTGTTGCTAATGATGATGCTGATATTGCTACCAGCTGCCAGCCAAACATGACTGTAGAGTGTCCACGGCCGCGCGGAACCAAAACAGACGGACACATAGGGCACGGCTTGTTTTTATGCGGTACGACACGGTACCCATATAAAACGATATCAACAGCATCCACAATCAAATCCTTATGCCTTTCATCAAGGGTCCGTAATAAAGGTGCCAGTAACAAAGTCGTCGCAAACTTAACAGTTAAATGAGAGAAGTGAACTAGCACTTGACCAAACCTCCAACCCAAGCTTTTAATAACTATTCTTTTCCAGGCCTCTTGCGGAGGCGGTATTTCATGATTCCCGTCATTCATAGCCACTCTGGCCTCTATGGTCCATAGCGGGCGTAGGCGGTTGATAAGTTGCGATATGCGCGTTATGGCGGTCGCCCCCGACTGACAAGATGCCGGCAGAGGATGCCTCGGACTGAGCCCTAATATCCCCCGTACAACAATAGTACGAAAATGGTTCGTAGATTGAAGGTGTTGCGCCTCAGTGAGGCCCTGTACACCAACCGTGCGCATCAAATTCCAAGTAGACGACATAGCAATCAAACACCGTACGGCAATACCTGCAGTGTCAAACCCACGCATATTCCGAAGATCAACAAATTGCTCGTCCAACTGAGCGTCATTTAGCAAAGGGTTTCCCCAAAGCGGGATATGGTAACACCAAGGGCCCGGGACTAAATGTTGCGCATCCAGAAGGACAGGTGGTGGTAGGGAAATCGACGCTAATGTCGGGCTAATTCGGCACTGGACTACCCAAGATAGTAATGGCACGGCCATCTCGTACACCTCCCCTAACGGCCAGCAGACATAGCGGGTGGGCCGCGGGTGGATATGATGCAATATTGCCAGTAAAACCCAAGTCCAAAGGGGGTATACATTGACAATCGCCGCTGATCGTGTACTGGTATGCAGACGTCGAACCCACGCAATAAAGCCTGCGCCTACCCCCAACCCACACAGATAAGCGTACAGAAAATCTCTATCAAGAGTATCGTAGGCTTTGTAGAAGTCAAGGAAAGCTGCCACAAAGGTACGGCGTTCCACACGGAGAAGCACGGGCAGAAGTTGTAGGAGGAGCACACTATCCGTGATTCGCCTGCCTGTGAGGAAGGCTGTCTGTTCCGTGTCTATGGCTCGGCTAAGCAGCGGCAGAAGCCGTTGCTTGAAGACACGTGCGAGAGTCTGTACCTAGCAGAGTGATGGGTCTATAATTTCCCGGCATGGTAGGGGACTCCAGGACCTGGGGCTCGGCCTGGAGTTGCCACCTGAAGAGCGGCTTGCACTACCTCTACTGTAACAACCTGCGCTCCAGCCCTAGCCGCTTCTTCTGGTGTGCACGTCCTGCACCTGGCACAGAGCGCTTGGAGGACACGTGTCCTTGCATCTGAGTCGATATGGGGCTGTGCTCCTATTTGTTGCCAATAATCCGCCATGATATTAGGAAGCTGTCGTAAATTGCTACACAACTTGCCATTAGGCCTTCGCAAGTCGGGAATTCTGCGGGTTGCTAAGGGTGGCCTAAGTTGGTTGGTTAGTGCTGGGCTAGGTCGTTCGCCTGTACGTATCCAATTGTAGCGGGTGCGTCGTGTGACGCCTGCTACAGCCTGGTGTGCCGCATCTGCCTGAGCCGACCTAGCGAAAACTGCACGTGGAAGAGCCGAAGCATCGCCCTCCTCCGCTTCCACCAGGACCCTGTCGGCCTGGGCTTGAGCAGCAACATCGTCTGCAGCTCCAATTAGCTGACGCATGCGTGCCTGTTGGTTTAGGCGGGCAGCCGATAGGGCCAGCACCCGCTCGAAGCCTGGCCACCATTGGATGAGGTCGTCCGGGTGCGTGGGGGCTGATTCTGCCGTGTTATGTACCCACATATTTAAGGCCGCACACAAATCATCGTGGTCCAGGAAGTGTAGCCTAGTACAGGGCAGGCCAGGTCCTGGTGTGTGCGGGCTATGGGCTGCCCGGAGGGTATTGTGCATGATCCATTGCTCCGCCGGGGTCCCTGAGGCTGTATCGCTGCCGTAGATTGCCGCCTCCAGGGCATGAGATACCATTATGTGATCAATACGGGAATCCCCGGCTGGATGGACGTATGTGTAAGCACGCCAGCTGGGGTGGATTAGGCGGAACGTGTAAATCACCCCCGGACATGCATTGTTAATGTCTGCCGTGGTGTTGACATCATTCCTCCGTGCCGACGGTGTGGATGTGTCGAGCCCAGGATTGTTGACAAAATTAAAGTCAGCTGCCCAGATATAGAGTCCAGCATCCGCCATGAGCGGCCGGAGGCGTTGCTGAATATACGCCGTTTGGGCCGGGGGATCAGCGTTGGGAAGATAAGCACCGATTAATGTTAAGGTACGGTCTCCCCAGCATAAGGGTAAGCTCAGTAGGCGACTGTCTCCAGATACCGTAGGCTGGGCCTGCGCCCCTGGGAAGGTTAAAGCCCCGCTGGTGAGTAACATGCTGCGGATAAGAATTGCTGTTCCACCTCCACACCGACAATCCAGCGTGGGGTCTCACCAGGACACCCACTGGCCTAGGTGGAGCACCTGAGATAGGTTGTGGAGGACCGTTCATGCATGAGACACACAGTCCACCGTTAACCTGGTTTCTTAGAGGCAGATGATATCAAGACGTTGCCGAGCCCATTGACAAATGAATTGGGCTGTGCGTTTGGCAGCATTATTGTATCCTAAGCCCAGAAGGCTGCAGATGTTGTAGAGCCAATGTGCAGGAGTTGCATGGCCCCCTTGTTCGGGTGGTGATTCCTGGGCATTACATCAGGTCCAGGTCCATGTCAGGCCCAGCACCCGAAGGGGAGTAGAGGGATTGTAAAGCCTCCGGCCAGGTGTTGGCGAGTGGGAAGCCATCCAGCTGGATGTCTAAGAGCAGGAGCCTGCTGCTACCACTGCCAGTCGACAGGAGGCATCCACCATTGCCGTTCAGCAGTGGCAGGGTGCTACTGTCGATGTGATGCAGTGAGAGCTTCTGCCTGCTGCCACCGTGCAGCAGGACCCTGCCGCCATCACTGCCGAGCAGCAGTGATGGATGCCTCCTGTTGACTGGCCAGGTCTACGGTTGCCATGGAGGGCCCCAACTGTGTGATCCCACAACCGCTGCAGTTACTGACCCACAGCTGGCCGCTGGGTCTGAAGGAAAGTGTGGTTAGGGCACAACTTGCCAAATTGCTGCCTGCAGAGGAGGTCTTAGGAGTATCCCCTTGGTTCCACTACCGCGTCCAGTGCCCTATGCCGGCATTGGATAAGTGTATTATCTCTCTCCACCCGGGATGTTGTATCCCGAATGACCTGCCATGCCATCCTGGTAACACCATTCGAGACTGAAGCGTACCAAGTCCAGAAGTCAGCAGTTGCACACCTGGCGACACGAAGTATGACTGCTGCTACTGGAGTGAATGAGGGAAACACCATAACTGCAAGTCCAGAAGTCAGCGTACCAATTGGTACGCTTCAGTCTCCAGGATAACGAAATCCATCACCCTATTGACATGCCAACGGCATGGCAGGTCATTCGGGATACAACATCCCGGGTGGAGAGAGATAATCCACTTATCCAATGCCGGCATAAGGCACTGGACTCGGTAGTTGAACCAAGCGGATACTCCTAAGACCACAGGCAGCAATTTGGCAAGTTGTGCCCTAACCCCATTTTCCTTCAGACCCAGTGGCCTAAACCTTTGGTTTAGGTGGGTCGTATGGGACGTTGGTTTAGGTGGGTCAGTAACTGCAGAGGTTGCGGGATCACAGTTGGGGCCCTCCCTGGCAACCCACCAGACCAGTGTGTGGCCAGCTACAGCAGTGCGCAGTTGACTGCGTGCATCCAGGAGGTTGACCAGCTGCTGACGTTGTTGCTGCAGTATGGCGAAGTCGTAGGTTAAGGATAACCCCGCCGTGGAGTTGGAGATTCGCTCGCCGCCAGCTGCACCTGGCATTTGCCGGCGGTGGACAATTGCCGATTGCAGAAGCGGTAGGAGCGCTCGGTAAAAGCGATTTTTGAAATGGCCACGTATGGCCATCCTAGGTTTGTCTCTGATGATGGTGGCGAATGAGACCACCAAAAGGTTAGCCCTGAGGCCGCTTGATGCAGTTCCTGTGTGCGGGCTACCTCCAAAGCTGGGGGCGGCGGGGCACCGAAGAATGACCTAAGAATTCCTTCTGTGAAGGTAAATGTAACGGCAACTCATTCAACTAGATTGAAATGGCAGTTCCGACACCGGATTGCGTGACGTGTTTTAGCATCACAAGGCAGAATGCCGGGGCGCTAATGAAGTTTTCGTTATTTTAAGTAGGATGCGTTATTTCATGCTATGCCGCCGTGCTGAGGTTTTTTAATTCTGGCCTCGGAGGTGCCGTGAAGCGCCCTGTGAAAATATACGCCTGGCTGAGTAAGCTAAAAATAATGAACAGCATAAGCATTAAGCTACGGTCCGAGACGATTGTCCTGGCAATGTACAACACATGTGCTCGGTGCAGCCGGGGATTTGCAGGTTCCATGTCCGCGTCATCTCCTCTGGCGCCCCCGATTCTGCCACCCCAGCCGCTACCCACTTGAGTTTCAAGGAGTGAAACTGATGGGGCTTCATCATACCGCATCAATCCAACTGCCTTTTTATTCCCTTTGCATAACCCCCTTGGCAAGTTCGTAGAAGCCCGTCAGATGAAGGACGGCTTTTTCCTCCGCTTGCTCCTCGCTGCAGCGGCCACATCCTCGCCATCACTGTCCGAGTCAGGTTCTGGCCGGGACTTGGTTGCTGCCGCTGTTGCTAGCCCGCGCCCCTTGCCGTCACTACCCCGCGCACCCCCGCCTCCTCCTCCCTTATTATCATCGTCGTCGCTGCAGGCCTCCCGTCGGCCGCGCGCCTGCGCCGCCTTGGCTGCAGCCTCCGCCCTCCTCTTGGCCTCCTCCTGCCGCTTGCGCATCTGCTCCAAAATGTGTCCCTGCAAGCCCTGACCCTGCGCATTCAGGATAAGGTGCCGGGTCATGGTCGGGCTCGAGTCCAGGCCTCCATTCAGTTAAAAATGACATATTCAGGGATGTGGTGGAGCCCTAGGCAACACATCATGGATGGGCATGGGGCGCCGGCCACCCGCAGGTCGTGGTGAGAATGCAGGGAAGACCAGGATGTCCGTAGGCACGAGTACAAGGCGGCTTAACACGATGACCGTCGTTGGCAAAGCGTGGAGCTACGAAGGCAGGGACAGAAACCTCCGAACCCACGGCACACGATCATCGCCACCACATCCGGCCTCTTGGAATCAGGGTTCGGCCCTCGAGCACTCCCCCAGGGCTCGGTCATCAAGGTTCCCGTGCTTCGCATATATTCACCAATGCGCTTTAACACTGCCAGGGAGCTCTCACTACGGGGTCGTAATTCAAGCGGTCACTTCTTGATAAACACCTGCTAAGCCAAGATCGTGTGTACGGCACACATGCAGGCACGTACCTACCGTTCCATTTCCACGTGCCAATCCAACCGCATAAACCCCTCCCCCAACCGGACACACCAGCCCAACCACGCGCTGCCCGGTGCGAACCCAATGTTAACCACCATGCTAACCACCAGCCCTTTCCAGCTTCTCCCCGGATCCCTGCCCGTGTTCACATCGCGTGCTTCTCCCCCAGTCCCACCTCGGCCTTGCGCAGCTCTCGTACTCGCTCGTTCTTGGCAGCATTAAGCTGCATACGGGTGCTCAGGTCCGCCGCCGCCTCCTGCTGCTCCCGTCGTCTTCGTGCCTTGTCCGCCGCACCACGAAGCACATCTTCCTGCATGAAGAACAGGCCAAGAGCCCCAGCATGCAAACCCAGGGTGTGCAAACGCGAGGGCAAAAAAGGATCGGTAGAGACGGATAAGCATTGAGTCCCCGCTGGAATGTGGACGCTGTGCAAAAGGAGGGAAGCAGCAGGGCCATGTCTCGGGAACCTTGCCCATGCACCCCTCTGTGAACCCCGCGGACACTCTTGCAGCGCAACAGAGGAAAGAGGCAACTTGCTCGTTATCTACTCACTCTTGCGGTGGGGTCTTTCAGCATGCGGTGGGCCTGGTTGAGCACTTCGAAGGCCCGTCGTGACTCCTCATCGCCCGGGTTCTTGTCCGGATGTACGGCAATAGACAGCTTCCGATAGGCCTTAGACACCTCCACCTCGGTGCACGACCACACGGGCCGGCCCAGCTCGTCCGCTTCGGGCTCTGGGAGGCCCAGCAGGCTGTACGGGGAGAGAGGGGGCCGAAGAGTAAAAGGTTGAAGAGGGACGATGCAACATGTAAAGGAAATGCTGGATCAAAGCATGGTGAGTTGTGAAAGGTGATGCCATGCATTGGGGGTTTGGGGGGATCCCCTGTGATGGAGGGAACGTGTGATTAGGAATTGAATGTAAAAGGCGTCGCGGATACAGAGTGCATGGCGCAAAGCAGGGCTGGCCGTTAAGCAAGGTTTGTAAAACGTCAACTGGCAGGGCTGGGGGCCCGATGCGCCTGTTCTGAAGCATTCCGTAGGGTGCAAACAGCCGCCGTACGGCCCCCTGTAGTCGTAAATTGTGTCCAGACGCGGGTCAACCACCCCACGAAGGCCCAGGAACAAGCGAATCCCTTGACCGCCCGCGTACCTAAAGTAGTCCTTTGCCTCCCAGGCCTTCAGGATCCTCTGAGCGGCAGTCAAATTAGGCTTGGTCTCTTCTTTGGCGCTCGCTTTGGCACCCTCATCGTCTTCTAGCTTACCTAGTTGCGCTGCCAAGCGTTCAAAAGATGCCTTCGCCATACCAGCTCGTCGTTTAACGACTTGTTACTGTACACAAATGACCGGCCCTATTTGCCTAAAAAACCTTGCAAACAGATTTCCATATTTTTTCACCATCAAGGAAATCATCAAGGAAATCGCCTCCTGCTAGCAAAATGCAAATATGGCCGGTCATTCGTGAACAGTTCCGTTAACGAGGGGGTGGAAGGTCATCCTGGGTGCATATTTAAAACGACTTAATCTCGAGGATCTACCGTTAGAAGCAGGTTGCCTAATGAACCATGCCTCTTTGCGCGCGCGAACCGTGTTCGGAGATGCCGTACGGTAGTTGAGGCAATATGCACTGTTTCATTATGCATCACTTTGTCAGTTTACACTTCATGTCATGATGATAGCCTCAATTCATAACCCATAACAAACATCCTTCCGGGTTCAACGTCCTCACTGCCTGTGCCATGGTTCGCGACCAAGTTTTCGCGACGAAAATTTCAATGCGCACCTATGGTTTCAGTTTGTGAAGATCGCCTAGGTCTAGCCCTGAAGAGCTCGTTCTGTGTACGACGTAATAATGTCGTGAGGCCTGTGGAAACAAGATGCTCCTGGGAGACGCTGCAAGCTCCTGCCTAATCGCGGCCGTGTTCGGTGCATGCGGTATCCTCGGACTTCGCTATGTTTTCTATGTGGCTGTGTATGAGCGCGTACGACTGTACCTACGCCGGCGTGGGCCTGGTTATGAGATGTACACGCCTGTTGTCACGGAGGAGCTGTGGGAGGTAAGATAATGAAACACCTGGGTTCGCTGGGGAAGCGCATTAACTGTCCCCAGCACGCTGAATCGCGCCTAGAGCCGTGGACCTTCTGCCGTCGCGCTCGCGCGCAAGTTTAGGCCATGTCTATGTTCCATACATGCGTACTCGCAAGTGCGTGGATTGCTCTGTGTCCGGAGCTTGGGATGTGACTGTCCCAAGCCGCTGTATCGAGATTACCCCATAGGAGGTGTCCAGTGTTCTCATTATTGTTGGCATCAGCACACCTTCAGTGGCGGGAGGTCTATGCTCCATCGGGATGGCTTGCTGAAGCAGCTGCCTTTCCCACCCTACCCCTCGCAAGCAAAGTAGGGACATCCCCGCCCCGAAAGACCGAATCCCCTGTATAGCCAAATTTCCCAGCCAGGAAAAGCAACCAATCCCAAGCAAACAGTGTTACCGCCGGGCCCCACTCATGCAGGGACTCGGCTCCGCCGGCATCGTGGCGTTGGGCTCCTGGGCCCTATACTCCGGCCACAACGCCGGATGTACCCTGACCGACACCAGCGGCTGCCTGCGCGGCTGGCCGGACCACTCCATTCCCTGGACCATTGACGCGCTCTTTCTGCTGCATATCGCCTGGTACACGCAATGCACCACCAAGCACTGGTTCGGGCTGGGCCGGTTGCAGGGCCTCGACGCCGCGCTCCACCACGCCTTCACGCTCTGCCTCCATGCAATGTCGTACACGCTCAAGCTGCTGCGTGTGGGCCTGCTGGCGCACTGGATATTCGTCGCCACGAACCCGCTTCTCAGCGTCTCGAAGTTACTGCACTGCCTGGACGTGCGTCCCGGCAAGAAGGTCTTCTTCGTCTTCTTCGCGACATGCTACCTGGCCACCCGTGTGCTGATGGTGCCGATAGTGCTGCTGCCCTGCACCCTGATTGACGTGTGGCACATACCGCTGGATCACAGGGCGGCGTCTGCCGCCAACGGCTTTCTGTTACTACTGTACGGATTAAGCCTGTTCTGGTTCGGGCGGCTGCTGGGGATCCTGCTGACTGGTAAGCTGGACAGCACACCGCGCATGGTTGTGGCGGCAGCGGAGGTACGGCGGTGGCAGAAGCGACAGTAAGGAGAGACAGTTGACAGTGACAGTATTTGGAATTCGCTGGGATTTATTTATTGAAAACGGGCTTTGCAAGGACAGGCGGGTGAAATGTCGGGTTAGGAGGCAGTGGGCGCACATCGGCAGGATACATCTTCTGGGGGGGAGTTTCTGGGAAACACTGTGCAGGTTGCGGAAAGCTTTAGGAACAACTGGGTCCAGCGCTGCGCTTTGAGGACCAGCCACGCGCAGCGGGTTGCGAAGGTGGCCTCTACAGCATGTTACTAAAATGTTAAGTCATTCCTCACGTCAAGACTGACGTGCAGCATGTACGTCCGAGCGCTGTATTCTCCAGGGAGCAGCAAGTCCGCAGAGTGGAGTCATTTGAGGGTTAGGATGGTGGGGGTTCCCACGAAGGATAAACTACGGGATGAAGGAAGGATGTTTGGGACGTCTCAGGAGGTAAGGCCAATGCATGGGCTGTTGGGTTGTCGGTGCGAGGTCATTTAACAGTGGAGCAATTAACAGTGGAGCAGTTAACGGTGGAGCTATTTCTCTGGACCGTCTGTTGGGTCGTCTTTGACAACATCGCAACTGCCCACATGCAACATTTTACAGCCCGTGTGGGCGTTGGGATTTAGGCTGTCGTGACGGTCTCTGACTTGGTAAGGGAGATCCTGAGGCGCATGCATGGAGCCGCGAACACAGTGGCTGCATTGGTTGCTGTTACGCAGTGAGTACGGAGCGAGTGGCCAGCAGCCACGTCGACTGACTGACTTTTGAGCGAGCATTATGGAAACCTTGCAGCGGTCACCTAGCCAAACTAGGCATCACGTGCCATCTGAGACTGCAAGGATGAAAATCCTAGTTTATACCTTTTTCCGCCGACAGGCTGTTTTCAACTTCTCGAACGGGGTGACCCCTCTCCAATGCGTCAACCTGTCTGTTGTTGGCCTGACCTGACGGGAGAGGACAATAGGTGCCAGCGGGGCTTCTGTGCACTGCAAACAAAGAGTGGTGTGGTTGTAATTCGGAACGGACAGTTTCGACACTCTGTTGAGGTCAAGTCACTGAGACGACAGACAACCCATTTGATGACTCATTGTGCATATGCCGCAAGTTGGATCTCGCGGATGGAGGTAGGCCCCCGACAGACATGTGCAGACAGAAAAGCACAAGTGATTCATGTGAGACGCTGCTTAGGAGGTCGTTTACCGGGTGCCAAAACAGGGTGCAATGCATAAAAGCACTCACGCTTAGCAAAAGGTGTGATGCATCAAGCTCCCGTAGCATCCTCGGCTCCAGCGTCCTCGGCCCCAGCTCCCCGGGCATTCGCCCACCGGCCGTTTTCCTCCTGGCTTCTTCCTCCTGCCTTGCACTTGAACATAACAAGGTAAAGCGCCTCAACCAAGTCCTCTCAATGTACATACGGCTATCGTTCCGTTCTTGGCATGGGTGATTGCCCTAGATGTCAAATCCCCCCAGTGTGTGTTTTGTCCCCCGCCAGCCCCGCCTCTTCCCTCCCCACGCACACTTCACCGTCCATAGGGCCCAGCCAGCCGGTGGAAGCATTTAAACCGAACGAACCCAAATGTGTTGATATATGCGGTACTTTCTTCTTGCGGGTGGCGACTGGTTTACAAATACCCTCCCCTCCTCGGTCCGCCGCCACCTGAGACGCCCCGGAGTGTAATGCACCTTGTTTATGTACAAATCGGAGCCCCCCACCCTTTCACGCGGCCCCTTCTCCCGGTGGTGTGTACAAAGTAACGAAGTTATAGGCAAGCCAGGGTCGTCCTCTTTCCCAGGGTCATCCTCTCAGCCAGCCATCGCCTCTGCCCTTGTCAAGTGAGCAAGAGTAATCGACGCAGCAGCAAAGCGAGTTGAAGTGCTGAGTGGCATCTGCACATCCGAACTTAATAACATTCCAGCCAATTTTATACATCATCCATTTCAACCATTTTTATATCATGAACTTGTGTCCGCTGCGGCTTATAGGGCAAGCAGTAGGGGGACGTAGAGGGGGACACACCCAGCACCCAGCCTCAATCGCTCCAGGCACACAGCATCTGCACGCCGTCCTGCAACACCAGCCCAACACCTGGCATGTGTAGATAGATGAGGTGCTGTACGTTTCCTGAAGGCGTCAAACCTTTCCAAGCTGTAGTGCCCTTCCCCCTTAATGCATCTTGGTGGCACTGAGGGACGTGGGAAACGGAGGGAACCGTTTGGCTGCTCTTATAGGGCAATGGGTGCGCTTGGCGCTCATACACCCGACGTGCCAAACGCCCTGTCGACGACGTCCAACAGCCATTCAGTGTAGGTGAGGTTCCATGCAGCAGCTGGTGCTGCTGTGGCAGCAGCAGGCGGCTGCTGGTGCGCGGGATGCAAGGTACTGGAAGCAGTGCGCCGGGATGCGGAGCTGGTGCCACCGCTACTGCCGTCACTGCCATCTCCGTCGTCCCTGCCGTTACCATCGCCACCACCGCCGCCGCGGCCGTGCATGTTCTTGCCGCTATTCGGCTGGGTTGTCGTCAGCTCCGGCGGCCCCAGTGCCGCCGCGACCGCCGGTTGCACACCTCCAGATGAAGTGGAAGAGGAGGCGGTAGCGGACTGCTTGCCCGCTACCTTGTACGGCGCCACAGACTGCTGCTCCACTTGTATCCCGTCCATTTCCATATGCAACGGAACCGCTGCTGCTGCCGTACCTTCCCGCGGCGGACGTGCGCCGGACTTAGAGCTGAGCGCTTCTTTATCCGCCGCTTCCGGAGCCATAGTTCTCTTGCCGTGGTAGGGCACTACCGCTGGCACTACTGTCTGCGCAGAGACATCACCGGCGGCAGCAGCCTGTCCGATGGCTGCTGTGCTGGAATCCTGCGGTGCTGGAGCGGGCTGTGGTGGTTGCAACGGTTTCGGTTGTGTCCGTTGTAACCGTTGGGGTTGCTGCAAGAGGGCCTCTGCCGTCCTCTGCTGCGCCCCGGATGTATCAGCAGTAGTAGCAACCTGTGCTTTGCCTCCGGCAGCTGATGCGCCATGCATCTCCGCGCTACCCCTTGAGTGTCCGCGATTCCGTTGCGGGTGTTGCTTAGGCACATATCGCTTAGGCTCATCGTCCCTTATGGGTATGAGCTTTTTCTTGAGGCGCTCGTCCGCCTTCGCCGTCTCAGTTGGCGTACGCAGGATGAAGGCGGCATTGCTGCCGTCGGCGGTGGTCGGTCTGTCCGCTGAGATGACGTCCAAGACGGGTCCGCCGGTGACGTTGCCGAAGCGCAGGTTGTCGGCGACGAAAGGTGTGAAAAGGCCCTGTAGGCACCGCAATGAACGCAGCGGAAGCAGGAATTGTATTGCACAGTGGCCAATACGACCACGCGTTTCTAGCCCGTCGTGCGTATTGCACACGCACGTCGCCTGCATGTCGTGCAGGCGACGAAACACGTCCCCCCAGTGAAGTATTTAGGTTTACCAGGGATTCCTTCAACGCATGACAGACTTAGCTGTATTTCTGTATTTCTGCCGCCATGGGAGAATAATGTATTATATATATAACTCGTTTAATCCATTTTACCAATGGAAGCCCGGGTGGTTTGTGAAACTGTCCGGGTGGTTACTGATACCTCGTACAGGCAGTCGTCGAACATACAGGCAGCTGTATACTGTGCACGCCGAAATGTCAGTTCGGCTCCTTGACATCCCCCCTTCGGGCCCCCCCCATCCCTTCCTGGTGTGCAGTTAGGGTCCATGCTGGTTTGCAGCCTGGGCCAGGCCATCCGTCCAGCGAACTAGACCCGCCACCCAGCCACCCACCCTGACGAAGAACTGGTTAAGGACAGGAAGGAGGAACAGCGCCCGAGCGGATCTCCTGCAAGGAATGGAAAAAAGGGCAGTAGCGCATATGCTGTGGCAAGCGCACTGGCAAGCGTCTGTAGGACACACATGCACACACGCGCACATGTGCGCGCGCATGTATGGGTCTCTTACAAACGCACACACGCACACACGCACACACGCACACACACACACACACACACGCACAGATCTGACACTGTTGGGGCACTAGTAAAGCCCCACGACGCTGCTCCCGGTGGCGAGCGCACACAACCTTAGCTCGTCCTGAGCGCCAGCTTCACAACTTGCATATCCCCTAAAGCCGTTAGGTACCATAACGTACAACAGGCGCCTCGTACAGCGAGCTCCGGTTGTTTGCATTGCGGTTTGCGGTTGTGCATGGCGATATGTGTTAATCCAAGTGTACATCAAGACACCTACACACGCTTTCGTGGTGATCCTGTCGCGGATGCTGCACAGCCCACGTGACACGCGTCACTATCGCGGGCCCACTGGCCATCCTGGCAAACCGGCAAACCATCATGGGGAAACCACAGCAGCTGGACATACATCGGGAAGCACCAGACGGCTACCACCAGTGTGGATGGATTACTATTCCGGTTGGTGAATACGGGTGGTGATTCCCGCCCACCGATATCCGAGGCTTACTGCAACTGCCACTGCTTCGACAATGCACCGCCCGTCGCCTTGAACGCATGACGGGGCTTCCCCACTGACACCCCCGCCCCATACAATGTGGGCTCCACCTTCCAGATCCCCTGAATCAATGCACATGTGCCATAAACCACAGCTTCTGATCATGCGTCAGGTGCGGTGGCAGCTCTTTACTGCCGGCCTGCTGCCCATCACGGGCGGTACTGCATGCCAGCGCCTACGTACCTGAAGGTGTAACTGTTGGGGCCGCCGCCGGTCTGGTACGTCTTATCCGTACCAAAGGCTCGGCTGTACCTGCAGACCTTGCCCGTGTAGACTGGTGCGGTATAGTACGCACCCGTGTACGACCCTGTACGACCAAGGCATTAAAGCAACATCAGTCATTTCAAGCCAACAAGGGGATGATGGGTGGCCAGACAGCCTGGCAGGCTCTCCCTGGGGAGGGCTTTCGGTCAACGCGAAAGTCCATGACAAACGAAGTCTTGAGAAGGTTGAGAAGGTTGAGAACATTGAGAATACTGGCCTGCAGGCCTGGGTAGCTAGCTAGCTGGTCTGGCTCCACACCTGAACCGCATCGCACCTGGTGTGATGGTCACCCTGAGCCGTGCCGGGGTGCACCTCTCCCAGTCAATGCTGCGGCGGCCCGTGTCGTCCACGCTGATGGTGCAGAGCGCTGGTAGGATGGCCAGCGAGAAGGTGGGCCTTCGATACTCCCCTAGCACCAGGCGAGATGGCCGCAGGGACTCGGGTGTGCAGTAGTCGTTGAGGGCGGTTTCGAACAGCGACCGGAGCTGGACGGAATACGAGCGGGTGGGTTTGGCGGGTGGGGAAATTGAGGGCAGATTCACAGGTCATGGTGTAACTTGGGCGTTGCGACCGTTAGCGTACGGCAGCAGATTTCGACCCTTGGGACGGCACTCGGCATATAACGGATGCACCAAGCTGCACTTAAGTAAGTGAATGAATATTGATGCAATTTGTCCGCTATATGTCCCAAGTAGTCAAACTAGTTATCCAAACGGACGCGGTAATGCATGTACGACGGTACGACACTGGGCGAGGTGAGAATCGCGGTGTGGGAAAGCTCCCCGGTGAAGAAAGGGGCAGATGTCACCGTTCACAATAAACGATCTGGGTCCGAGTCTCGGCTACACATCCAGACTTTTCTATCTCTTTTCGTCGTTCCGTCGCACTGCGTTTCTATAGGTAGTCCGGCCTTCGCTTCCGCAGCGCGAGTCCGCCGTTAGGCAAAGGCAACCCAAACTTGCCGTTGGTACACATGGTGGGAGCGGCGTGATGCTGTGATGATCCGTGGCAACACAGCGGCGGCAGCGGGCCGCAGGAATGCGGGCTTGCCGGCCAGGTCAGCGCCTTTCACCTGCTACAGCGCAACGGAATGTCCAGGTAGGGCAGGGCCCTTACCTGGCCTACCTACTCCACCCGACCCCGCCTGCCTCAACAGCGCACCTGGCCAATGGACTGGGGCAGTGGTAGCCAGTTGGAGTTGATGATGTTGTCCAGGGGGGCTGTCGCCAAAATCGCCAGATCTCGAATCCAATGAATGTTAATTAACAGGCTACGCGCCTCCCCAGCCAGAGTGGCGATGAAGCGACGGGCTGTAGCAACACCATACAAGATAGGGATGGGGCAGAGAAAGAAGAAATCAGCCGGGCCGGCATCTGTGACTGGCGGTGTAGTACTTGCCATTGTGTATCGGAGATATGCTTTGTAACACCTTATTGGAAGGAGGCCTTGCCGATCACAGTTCCTGGTTTGGTAGTGCTACAAGTATACGAATATTCGCCAGCGTTGGTCGGCAGGTGTGCGGGTAAGGGTATCGGGGAGCTATATGCAGGCATGGGTGGATGATGAGGCCCGAAGAGGTCCTGCCTGCGCACCTCCTTCCACAAAGTCGAAGAAGTTGCCGAACACCAGCCGGAACGCATTGGCGTACATGGGGTTGCCTCCCATGCCTCCGGTAGGACCCTGCAGCAAGCCGCGGCCGCGCCTCGAACCGCTGCTGCCTTCATCACCACGAATCTCACCGCTGCTGCTACCAACCGTTGCGAAATTATGAATCATGTCATCGCTTAATGTTAAAAGCAGTGACTGCACAGGCGTTCCTTCCCCGCCGGGGTCACCAGGAGCACCGTGAGTAAACGGTGGCGGCAGCTGCAGTATCTTCATCCCGTCGACCGATTGCGCTGCCGGGGGTACACGATGGTGGGTCCTATTAAGCGGGAGTGGGCCTGCTTCTGGGTTTAAATCTCCTCCTTCTAGGTCTGCCGCGTCTACGACATCTGCGCCTGCTTCTCCGGATGCGTCCATCCCGTCTTGCACCGTTGAGAGGGAGCCTAGGACGGGTAGGTCGCCCCCCAGCCTATTCAGAGCGGGGTCTCGGGGGAGCTGAGGAGCGGCCTCATGGACCGGCTGGACGCCTTGGGATACGGCACGTCGCCAGTGCTGTGACATGCGGCTTACAATATCCTCCACCATCAGCAGCCCAACCTCATTCAGACTCAAGCTGTTGAGGCTGCTGAGGCTGCTGAGGTTGAAGTCACCACCACTGTCTTCACTGCTGCCACTGCCGCTGCTGTTGGAAGGTACTCCGGCAAAGGAAAGGTCCGCCAACTTGGCGATTTCGTTTAGAAGGTCCCGCCAGGCTGGGGGGAAGCAGTGAGGCAGGCAGTGGTGCAGCGGGTGGCAGCAGAGCATGAGGCTGTAGAGTACGGGGAGGGGGGAGGAGGAGGGGAAAGGAGACCTAAGCAAGCACCACTGGAAAACGTCCAGGGACAGTTTCAGTCTGCATGTCTGTATATGTTTACGCTGCGAAGCGTTGCGTGCGGGACGGAACCTGACGAAGTAGATGCGAAACCGCAAGAACGCATAGCCCCCCGCGGCGGGTACAGTGAGACGAAGGGGGGTGCAGTTCCAACTTCGACGGGAACAATCTGGAACGTGACGACAGGCGGTCGTTTTCCGGTTAGCAAACGGCGGCGTGTCAGTGGACGGGCCGACCGAGGGTTAGCAATCCCTAATTGGAAAAGCGTAACTCGCCTTCTTTGAGGCTTTGCTCTGTGGTATCGATCGCAGGAGAAGGCGCTGCGTCTGTGGGGTCCTGGCGGGGCGGGCTGTAGGCAATGGTGCCAACTCCGAGCGCGAGGAACACAGCAACGATGCCCACGTACATGCGCTTTCGGGGCAATACTGAGCAGGTCATGTTGTTCGGGGCAATGGATTCGATCCTCATGCGGCGAGCGGGTTCTCCTAGGACCTTATTCGGCTCATCCCATGCGAATTTGTAGGCGAAAGTATATGGCGCCGTATTCAGAGGCGCATAAAGCCAAGTTTCATTCCAAAATGTTTAAGATGATGGAGGACTATGCCGAGTGCCTTATCTGCAGCTTATTCTGGGCTGCATGGTTAGTCGGCGCGGTGGCAACGGAGAACGGACTCCCACGGTTTTGCCAACGGACTAACGGTCACAATCATTTCGTACTTTTAGTGATGTCGTATATGGTATGCAGGTTCTAGTAGGCGAGATTTTTTAAATCCTTGTCTGACCTTTGTAATTGTTGTTGACATATCATTGCGCTATCTAGTATTGCGTTGTGCATCTGAACGCGGAGGAGAGAAAATGTCCTACAAGGTGCACTACTTTGATTTCCCCGGGCGCGCTGAGGTAGCACGCCTTTGTTTGTCGATTGGGGGCATTCCATACGATGTAAGTAGACTGCAGCAGTCGGTATGTGGATAACCTCGTGCCAGATTTGTACGCAGATCTCCATCCTTCCGAGCTCGCGCCGGGGCGTTGAGAAGCAACACGACTGTAAGTAGCTATTATACTGAATGTTATTTCCATTGCTGCTGCTGCTATGCAGGATGTTTTCTACACGCAAGCGACATTCCCGGAAGCGAAACCGAAAATGCCTTTCGGGCAAGTTCCCGTCCTGGAGCTTCCTGACGGAAAGATGCTTGCCCAAAGTGGTGCAATTGGTAAGTGCTCACTTTGAAGCCCAATAACCTTCCGCTTTACTTGTCGCGCTTGCGATCGGACCGTGAAGGTTACGATCTGGTTACTAAGTATGTCATCTTCCATATGTAGTCTAACCTTCCTGAACAGTGGCAACAACAGTAGTGTTCTTTTAATTTGCTGCCTCTTGAAATGGCATTACGTTTTCTGTCGGGCTGACTTCCGAAGCTTTCGCCATGGCATGTCGCGAAACGTCCCGGGGAAACCCCAACAGAACGGTACACGGCCAAGCTGGCAGGCCTCTACCCTGAAGACCCGCTGAAGGCCGCTCGTGCCGACGAAGCCGTCTTCTTGATGGCCGACTTCATGGACGTGAGTTGCCCACGTGATTAATGCTGCGTGTGTCTCGCCCGGGCTTCAGATCAGTCATTCCCGACCTGGCGTTGAGACTTTTATAACCGCACGAGCTCAATATGATATCTTTCTCTCATACAAAATTACTGTAGCCCATCCATTTACGGAAATCGGTCCTGCCTGGATTGTGTATAGCTCCTCCAACCTGCTGGCTCAACGCTCCTTGAGATGTAGCACCAATCCTGGCCTGTGCTGCGTTAAATGTGTTCCCAACTAGCTACACCTTTACACCTTTGTACGCTTACACACATACATATGCATACATACCACACGCACGTACATAGCATACATACACGCACATATATAGCATACATGCACATGTGCGCCCGTGCACACGCACTCAAAAACACCTACGCCCACATACATACATACGCACTACACACCTGACATCACTGGAGGCCGCAACTGTGAAGATGCCGAATAGCCGCATCTCCTGCTGATCTCCTCACCTACTCACCTACCTATCGGTGAATCCACGCACACGTACACCCGGGGCCCTCACGCAGCTGTTCAACCCCGCCTTCTACCTGCCCGCCGAGGAGAGAGCCAAGGCCCGCCAGGAAATCCTGGCGGGCAAGGGCAAGGATAAGCTCCAGCTCCTGAACAAGCACGTGGTGAGCTATAACATATGTTGCTACTCGTTTCGAACCTGATTTTTTATTTCTTCTGTGTTGCCGCAACGCTGTGCTCTGTACGACCTGAAATCATCGTTCAGACTCATGCACTGCAGTGCAGTGCAATTCCAGGGCTTCACGGCTTCGCTCTTCGGCGTGTTGTTCTTCACTTCAGCACACAGATGTGCCGTCACCGCGCACAGGGTCCTTGTCGCGCCATTAGCAGTTGGTGGTGTACGGGGTTAGTCGGGATTACCCGCCCCTGAATGACGCACGCAAGACGCGCGGTGTGCACATCCTTTTCAGTCGCGCAGCTGACAATCCTGCTGTGCCATCTCAGCCAGGACTGAAATTTGTGCAGCCAGAGTATGCGTTCCCGGGCTCAGATCCGTGATTCGCGCCCACCTGTCCATAAAGCCGTTAAACCGCCTAACCGGTCCCCTATCGTATCTGCTCACCTGGGTGCCCAGAGCAACCTGGGTGAGGATGGCTACGTCGCGGGTGACAAGCTTAGCTTCGCGGATTTGGGCATTTTCACCTCCTTGAGCGCGATTATCAGCGGCGTCTATGATGGTAAGGAAGCCCATGTTGGCGCCTTGTCATGCCCTGCAATGCATTCTGATGTGGCCCAAACCCCTGTGCTTGAAACCTGGCCGTTTTACTGCTGCACCTTTTTACCCCACCAGCACCCTCCCGGATGTCGTTATAAGGGTAGGGATAGGGGGGAGGTCCATCCTAGGTGGTTCCTCCCTGCCCGCCGTGCCTCACACCTTGGTACGCCTCGGTGCTTTTTATGTCGGCAGCTTTATCCTTCACCTTTTGCCCAAGTAGAATACTTTTTTCCATTGCGGGAGTCGGCATCCGCACCACACATATGCGGAATTAATGCACTGTTTGAAGAGGACGGGTATGCAACTGGCGGAATAGCATGTATCCCACCTCGTGCCCTCGCGTTCCACTAGCGTCTTGGCTGTTCACCTGTTAGTACCCCACTGGTCTGGTCTGGGTTGACACTACTGCAATTAGCGGTTTAAGGTCCTGGGTTCGATTCCTGGGGAGACCCCCGAATTAGTCGGGAGCGCGAGATTATGGCTAGCTGCTGAGATGTGGAGTTGAGGTTACAGTTGATGGACCAGATTCGCACGCTGGATTGGTGGCGATTGCCGAACCCTCCGTCTCTTCGGGTGTTCGGGTGAATGGATGAGGAGGGGTCCCTGAAGGCTGGATCCGCCGCCTTGGACTTACAGTTCGTATGGCGAAGACAGTGTGGTAGTGGTGGATGGTGCTATAAGGTGATAAATGATCGTAGAACTGACAATGTGATAAAGCGGCCCAGAAGCCTCCCACTCTGTAACACTTTTTTTTAGTACCCCCCTCGCTGTCCCTAAAACCCTTACCTCCCGAACACACACCTTCTTGAACACCCCCTAGGTATTCCACCCACGCTGCTGGATGACTACCCCGCCCTGAAGGCCTTCCGCAATAAGATCGCCAACGAGCCGGGCGTCAAGGCCTACTACGAAAAGCACGGCGAGGGTATTCGTGCCGCCTTCAAGCCCGACTCGGCCTAAGACCGAAGTCCCCCACCGCCGGAAAGGCGACCAGCATGTGGGGAGGTTGAACTATGCATGGAATGTATCGGGGCGTGCTTCAGCGCGTTTCTGTGGTGTGCGTTTGGGGGTTATGCTTTGCAGTCGCCGCTTGCGCATGTTGCGCATCGCCCCAGCGCGGCGACGCGGACGAAGGCTGGGACAGGTACCGGTGCTTTGCATAGTCCGTACATGTCTATGTTGTGTTCAATACGTGTCTATGTTGTGTTTAGAGGGTTGGATTTTGGTTAAGACTAGTTGTCTGTCACATTGCGGTTGTGTTGAGTTTTGAGGTGTTTCGGACGACGAACGAGGCTGAAAGCTGTCCATCCCTAGGTGCAACTGCTGACTGATGAGGCATTCATCGGGTTCATGTGCATCCTGCATCTTAGCCACGCTAGGTTGTCCTTATCCGTACGGCATATACACATATACGGATGTACTGCATGTGCGTATGGGTACAACGGACATACAGGCAACTGTGCAGGATGCATCTTACTGAGAGAGGACGGATCTATAATCCATGGGCATAGGTGATTTAGTACGGCAAACGTAGGCATCATCGACGCTGTGCCGCCATGTTGAAAAGCCCTGTCGGTCCTTTGAGTTAGTCCTCCATGTTCTGTCGTCGTCGAAGAGAAAACTTCGCTGATACGTGTCCCGATAGTACGCTCGCCCGATAGGCATTTGGTTGTTCAGGGTTTTCCGTTGTATACCCTGAGAAACCAAAAAAGTTCACAAAACAAGCACCAGTGGTATAGTGGTAGCATAGGTCCTTGCCACGGACCAGACCCGAGTTCGATTCTCGGCTGGTGCAAAAAAATGGGGAATTTAGATCATTCTCATTCTCATTTTGAATCCGATCTGATTAGTAATGATTCACTGGCTCATTAGTTTATGCAGTCGCAACCAACTCATCTGTCGGCATCATTTCTATTCTATAGTCCCGTCCTTAGGTCGAACACGTACGTAGTCGCGTACAAATATGGTATATAAAACAATTGGCGTTTCACAAGTTTCGTTTACCAATGCCACCACCGCTCACCGCACTTGTCGGACAAATCTGTCTCAGCAAGCACATAACCGACAAAATTCAAGCTAAACTCCCGACCTTTTCTCTCTCCCGTTCCCACCCCACTTTCCTCCCGAAGCACTTCACTCACTACTTGCATCCTATGGAAATCCAATCGCACGGCGCGGCGCTTCACATTCGCACACGAGGGACCCGACCCCTGACTTCTTCACGCGTTACTCCGCAAGCTGTACCACTTTGAGCTTCCCATTTTCTTGAGGGTCACCACCAGCTTGTTGGCCAGCTTACGTGCCCGGCATCCATCCGGGGAGATCTCACCAGACAGCTTGCTGATCAATAATCGCTGAACCTGCCCAGGCTTGAAACCGTGTACATCAACCTGGAAAAGTCGAGTCTGCAAACATCACAACACAAAGGAATGTCCTAGGGTTACCACCATTAGCAACAGTAGCAGCAGCTACAGCAGCAACATTGAACCCCAGGCGATGGAAAACGAAAGCAGCGTCGGGCACGGCGCCGGCGCAGCGCTGGCGAATTAATAAGGGGCATTACTCACCCCCCCTTTTGCACATCAGTTATTCAGGCGCTAAGCAGCCGTACTATAACATATCACCCCAGGTAAGAGGGCGGCAAGGGTGAGGAAGTGAGGCCGGGCCTACCCACCTCGAACGTGGCCTTGATGTCGTCGTCGCTGCATTTCTCACCCACACCTTCCAGCGGGATGTAGACCTGGCCACGCGGGAAAGGCGTGTGGATCTTCATATCTCCTGTTCGTATCGGGACCATTTTCCAATGCCAAACCAATGCCAAACGCAAAAAGACAGAAACGGAAGAGGATACACAAAAGGTAGCGGTATGCCTCCTCGTCTGCATAGCACTGTCCCCGCCGGATAAGCCGTGTAGCTGGCTGCGGGCGTCTGCAGGGGGCCCCACACCTACAGACCCTGGTCGAGCCCAGCTTTACCTCTGCCTTCAGCACCACCTCTTAAAAGTCCGTTCCTTTCCGCGGCTCCTCGTTCAGTCACTACAATAGAATCCAACGCAGCCCTTACCGTTGATCCGCGGTAATGTCCATCCATCCCTAGGAGCGAAGAACTGAGAGCCGGCTAATTAGCTAATCCGAAAACACACACACACACACACACACACACACACACACACACACACACACACACAGACACACACACACACACACACACACACATACACACATATATGCGTACCTCCGTACCCGAACACACGCACATCAAAACACAGCCCACATGGCCCCCGGCGCCCGGTGTCACTCACTTTGACCACTTCACCGTCGTCGGCCCAGGCGTAGTTGAAAATAGTCACCACGGAGGGCGTTACCTCAGCCACGGAGCGCTCCAGAACCACGGGCACGGGCGGTGGCGCCGGCTCCTCGCTCGTACTACGTGGCGCGTGGGCGTAGTAGTAGGAGCGCTCGCGCTTTTCCTCAATGTTGGCCTGTCAAGGCGGCAGTGCGGCGGCGACAATGGCCGCCCGGTCCACGCCACCTTTAGTGCACTTCGGATCAGGAAAGGAAAAGAGATTCGCTTGGTTGGAAGAAAGGGTTTGGAAGCATCATGTACTCCCCGAACACGTTAGCACCCAAACCCGTGGCTGGGCGCTGTAGGGCGCAGGGCGTTGTAGGACGTGCAAGTAGCACTACGGTGGGAAGCGCACATAGCAGGGGACCGACCAGCCATGAGCCCAAGTACACAGCAGCTCATGGAGGCTCCATCTCGTCACAATGGTCCCATCATAGCACCGACATTGTATCGCACCTGCAGCGCATTTTTGGCTTGCGGCTGCTCCTGCTCCGAGGTCTGGTGCTCCGGAATATCCTGCTCCCACTGCTGCTCCTCCTCCAGCGGCTTTTCTGTCGCTTGAATCTGTTCTACCTGCTGCTCGGCAGCCTCTGCTGCGTTGACAGTCATGTTTGTCGCGAGGGTGTGGGGTCGCTGCGGATGCAGGATTCAACCACCCGCGTGTGCCCCCATGTCAGAAATGGAATTTTTACAGGTTGTGCCGGTTCCCCAAACACCATGTCGCTGCTCGCTCGTCGCGTTGCGAAATGAGTTCTTTGGGTTAGGAAGCGTTCATGGCGCCCCCAACAGGCTACGATGTCGATCGTTTGGCTGGCTAGATCATGATTGTTGCCAAGCATAACAACTTGGACGTTTGGTCACGTAGGCTTAACTGTGCGGGGCTCAAGGCTTGTCAAAATGTACAGCTAACCGCTACGCGTTGCAAGCTACGGCGATGAGTAGGAAGCCATCAAGCGCTTTGATTTGATAGTATGAATAAGATGTGGAACAACATAAATTGCCGTCTATGATGACAATCCGGGCGTAATCGCGCTCGTGCGGTTTGCTTAATGCCTTCCCTACCTGAAAAGCTGTGCTTGCTTTAGGTTGTGGAGCAGTCTAAGCCTTGAGATTACGAGGTGAAGGCGTCTATCGCCTTCGATACAGGGTGCGTGTAAGCAGAGGGATGCCTCACAGTATCTGAACGCTCCAGTTGGCTACCTAGAATTCCTTTTCTAAGAGCTTAGGCACCGATACAACTGTTTTGGGATATTACTGTACCACCTGGAGTCAGGACGTGCAAGTTGTAGACCCTTCCATTGCAGGCCTCGAACCTTCCAAACAGTTTGCCGCCGTACGGTGGCTTAAAACCACGGTAACCGTGGCATTGCTTGTGTGGAAAATGTGCATCTTGAAATGGCCTGTCGGGATACTGGCACTTGACGTTGTCGTGCGTCGACAGTTGGGAGTAACCCCGGATGACTGATACAAGACAAAAGAACATACACGCCGTCAATGGATATTGACATACCAAATTGACCTGTGTTTACTCCTGCAAAGTCTCAAAACATTGCAATTGCACTTCGTTCCAACCTCCGCGTTCGCAAACATAAACACAAAAGTACAAATTTTCAATCAAAACAGGCCGGCATTAAATGGGTGAAAAAAAGGACAAAAAGAAGCATAAAAAGCAGAAACATAGCCATCTTCCAGACATTAAAGGGGATGGTCGACCATCAGGCGGCGCCGCAGAACCCGTTCAAGCAGCTGAAAGCAACGACCCCGGCCCAAGCGGACGCAAATGGACTCTCAGCGTCGCAGTGCCGGGAACACTCCTGGACCAGCCGCTGTCCCTTGAAGTGGCGGTGTGCATCGCCGGGCAGATAGCCCGCGCCGCGGCCGCGTTCCAGGTGGATGAGGTCGTGGTTTACGACGACTCTGCTGCCGCCACCACGGCAAAGTCCGTCACCGATGCCACCGTCACCGCCGGCACTGCCATGCTGGCGCGGTTGCTGCAATTCCTAGACACGCCGCCGCACCTGCGGCCGACAATGTACGGCGATCAAGCTCAATTGCCAAAGGAGCTCCAGCTGGCCGCATCGCTGCCGACAATCAACCCGCCACATCACGCGAGGCCCAGTGGCACATGGATGCCGTACCGTGAGGGTGTCGTACTCAAGTCTGAGCCGGGCGCGGGCAGCTACGTCGACGTGGGCCTAGACCGCATGGTCTGGATCGAACACGAGCTGCCACAGGTCCGGGTTTCGTCTTCGGTATTCCCGCACTGTACGGGAGTACGACATATATTTATACATATACTCAACACGCGTGAGTGCATGCACGTATTGGGTTCTGTACCCCCTTGCCAAAACATGAATCGATCTTCATCGCTCAACGAATCCTGTTACAGCCCATCCGAAAGGCAACACCAGTGCATGACATTGGGATCATGGTTCTCGTTGAGCGCTTCTCATGCGGCAATGCGGACACCTCCGTGTTGCTCTTTCTTTGCGACATTGAGGTCCTCACATTGCACCGCGCTTTTTGCTATTTGTTTACATCAATACCGTGTTACCTCAAACCATCAAGTTTACCATACTCGGTGGTCGTGAGCTTCCGCCTGAGAGGTTTGAGGGCTGACCCTTCGTGGGACGGTGACCTGCCCCCGCGACTCGCCCAGCCAGCCACCTGCGTTGCCCGCTATCCCAGCGACCCGCCGTACCTACTCCTACCACCCGCAGGCGACCCGCCTGACAGTCCACCTGGGTAACCTGGAGCCTGAAACCCGCTTCATGACCCCCTACTCCGAAACCATGATTGTGGGGAAGGTGAGTGCCGTACCGCGAGGACTGACACCCACCATCGCATATCGCTGCACCAGACGACACACGGAAGCAGCACTGTGCGCTTCCGTGCAAGTTGTACACACGTTCGTACACCTTGCAAGGCCCGGCGACAGCCTCTCCTTATCCACCCCTCTATCCTTTCCCCTCCCCGTTTCCCGCTTTGAATGTCAGTCGGCGGTTGTCCCTTTGCTTCTTGCATCATGGTATGATTCCCTTCCTCCTCCTGCTCCTGGTCCTGGTCCTCCTCTTGCTCCTGGTCCTGGTCCTCGGGCCCCCCTTGGAACCCGCACATGCAGGTCGTTCCCCCCGCCCGGCCCCGGGAGCAGCTGGGGTTGTATTGGGGCTACTCGGTGCGGCTAGCGCTGGGGCTGCAGAGGGTGTTTAAGGACGCGGCTGTCACGCGGGGCTCTGGGAAGTACGACCTAACCATTGGTGAGCGCGGGAGGGAGGGAGGGAGGGTGGGAGGGACCTGGTGTTGCTGCTGTGGTTGTTGGGACGGGTGGCTGTTGGGCGAGAGGAGTTTTGAGGACGAGGTCGACTCACAAGGGCAAGACTCACCCCATTGACCGGGTCAAACTCCCCTCCCGGGACCGCTCCGTGCACAAGTGTTTTGTGTTTTACTTTTGGGCACAATCTGAAGGCACACCGCGGACTCGCCGGGTGTGGTTGTGGTTGGAACCTCTCCTGAATGGAGGGAGACAGATAGGGGGAAGCAGAACCAGTGCAATACAACCCATAGTGTTGTGTTTGTGGAGGGGGCCGCTCCATTACCGGTGGCCCCAGTGTGTGCGGTGGTCCCTGGCGGCTCCGGGGGCTATAGGTCAATAAGTTATTGCGTTGGCTAGGTGGAATGTGGTTTGTGATGCTCCCCCACCTGCTGCAGGCAGCAGCCCCCTGGGGGCTCACACGGATCCACTGTCGCTGGTGCTGCCGACATTCAAACACGCACTGCTGGTGTTCGGTGGCGGGGCTGGTGGGGCCAGCGGCGGGGCTGGTGGGCCTGGCAGTACTAGCAGCAGCAGCAGTAGTACCAGGGCGGTCCCTGAACAAGATCTGGACCAGCTGGTGCCTCGTGTGCCGGATTGGGGACACAAGCAGCCGCAGGTAGGGGGGGGTGCGGCGGAGGGGCCCCGCGGCCGGATGGATGGATATGGATTCTGGATCCAGGGGATGTGCGGTAGTGGTGGATCCGCATTCCGGATCGCGGTGTCTCTTTGAGGGGGGGGTATGCGTGGGGTTGGCGGACTAGGTGACAGCACGAGGTTGCAGGGCCCGGCTGAGTTGACTCCCGCTCATCAGGGGACCTTTTGAACTATATGAACGCGTACACGTGCAGGGGATCTTGCCGGGAAGGGGAAAGAAGGGGAAAGAAGGGTAGAGGGTGGGTCTTCTGATTCAGTGCGGTAAGGCGTGCTGCTGCTATTGCTGCTAAACAAGGGCCGGTTAGAGGGGCTAAGCCTGCAGCCGGCGCCTGGGCCTGGGAGGCTGGAGCCCCCATGCAGCCGTAAGAGGTGTTAGAAGGGAACATGCGGCAAGGGGTATGTTCATATTCATATGTATGCACATATGTATACGCATATTTACGTGTGTTTGTGCTCAGCCTCCGGAGGCAGGTTTAGGTATTCTGTCCCAGACCTTCAGCTAACCAGCTAGCTGGTCCCGTTTTGCTTGTAGCTGTTGACGGACAACACGTCTTTGCGATGTGCAGTGTTTGCGATAAAACCCAAATGGAATTCTGTTCCTGTTACCGTTCTTTGCCGCCTGGAACATGGTTCCGGAGCTTCGATCAACTGAACCTCAAAAAAAATCAAGTCGCGGACCGCTCGCTAAAGGTTTGCGCTCCATCCCCCCTCTGTCCGCAGGACGTGTTCAACTTGTACCTGAACACTGCGCCGCACCTGGGGACGCTGCGCCTGCGCACGGAGGATGCCGTACCTATTGCGTTGTCGTACCTCATTACTCCATTACTCAAATATGGGAAGCAGTAGCTGCTGCTGAGTTGCTGCTTGGCGAAAGCACCTAGAGCAGCACTCAAGCAGTTACAGGGAAGTTGCCACATGCTGAAGCGCCGCCTGGCTGCCACGCTTCCATTTTCTGGGCTGTGAAGGGCTGTAGGGGCTTGAATGTGAACGTGCGCCGGGTTGCGGCAGCTTAGCATAAATTTCTCAAGGCGCCTTGGCATGGGGGTTTCTTGGAGGATCAAATCTGACGAGCGGAGAAGACGAGGCAAGGAGTACAGCTTCGAGGAATCTCGAGGCACCTCGAGGCGCAGTTTGGCAGCAGTTCCCAAGGATGGCTCCAAAGCCGGTACAACATGTGAAATGTGGGGGAATCATTCTGACAAAAAAGTGGTGTGGACTGCCCTTTTCCGCTCGCTTTGCCTGTAAGATGTGACCATGATCCTGACACTTTGCAGTACGACGGCGGTTGGCTCCTGGATCTTGTGTCGGCATTCGGTGTTCCCGTCAGGAATCGCTTGGCAGTATGGCCTTAGATATGTACTCTAGGCAATTCAGTTGCCATGGCCAGCCCATGCCGCCAACACCGGTGACTGCAATGTTCAATGTGCATAGGCGCTGCTAAGCAGGCTGCGTGTCGAATTTAGACAAAGGAGAATCCTTACCTGTTAGTAAGCATCTGGACTCCCTGGTCTGGTATCCAGTAGTTCGGAGCAATATATAGTGCTCAAGCACACTCTAGGGATCCATACACAGTAAAGGCATAATGGTTGCGTCAGATGAACTTTTGCCGGCTGCCGTGCTTCGGCAGATAGGGGACAAGCTCTACGAAAAGCGAAAGGTTGCAGCATTGGATGTGGAGCAGCTCATCAAGCGGCTGGCTTCGCATAATGACCAGCACCGTATTCGTCTCATTATTGATAAACTTATTACTGAGTATGCATTTTCCAGCCAGGCGAATCACCGAAAGGTGCGGCGTGTACACCACCTCGCTGCGTTGTCTGTCCCTGACTGCGATGGGACAGGATTAGTTAGCGAAGGTGCATGTGCAAAATTTGGGGACGTCTGGCGTGAAGTGGGTTGCAACAACTGTCGCGTGCAATTTTCGCCGGGAATCTCCAAATATGTCCAAAAGGGCGGGAAACGCTGCGAGCTTGGTACTGGCTACCGTTGCCCAAGCGATAAGCTGGAAAACCTTTATATGTGAGTTTCAACTGTGGTTCACCCGCTCTTTCCGCTAAGCAACGGAGCCTATAGCTCTTCGCATATATCAGCCTGGAAAAAACCGATGTAGGACTCTTCATTGCACTTCCTATCTAAGCACCGTCACACCGGGTGGCTTGCCTAACCCCACGTTGTCCTTCTACGCCTCACTCCCCGCCCCTCTCAGCAGCCTCTTCCACCTCCCCTCTCCGCACTCACTCGCGGTCCCCAGCCCTGCCCCTTCTCCACACCTACTCAACGATCCTGGCTGTGCCGCCTTCCCCCCACCCCTCCGCCGTATCCGGCTCTCAAACCCGCTTCTTAATCACCTACGCCTCTCCTTCGCAACGTCCCAAACCCACTCGGCTCCGGCCCACGTCCCCGCTTGCCTGCCCCCTCAGGGCGCACTTCTGTGCCTGGCCGCCTCCGCCGTGGGTCTGGGTGACCCCAACGAGGTGCACCTGCGGCAGATAGTGCCCCCCGTGCTGGCCTCCTTCACCGACCAGGATGCACGAGTACGGTACTACGCCTGTGAGGCGCTGTACAACATCGCCAAGGCAAGTGCGTGACCGAGGTGGTGGTGGACTGATAGATGTGAAAGCAGGAGGGGGGCTGTGCAGCAGCTACATCGGCTGCTGCTGCTGGTGACGTACGTTGGCAGCAGCAGCAGTAGTAGTAAGGTCATTGTGGGAGGGATGTACAGCTGCAGCGACCGAGCAGGTGTTTCTACCGCCGCATCGGCCGGCTGGGTGGGTGGGTGGGTGGGTGTGTAGGTGGGGTATTAGGGGTTTGGGGAGGCAGGAGGGCAAGGTCAGGACCGAAGCCAGACGGAGCACTGCGGAGGGGTACTCCTTCCCGGAGGTTCCGGGGCGGTCGCAACAGCAGTAGCGCTAGAAGTAGTACAGCACTAGCAGGTGTCCTCTCTCTCCGGGTTATGGACACGCCTCGGCACCGCGGGGCCAACAGCGGCTGCGTAAGGAGGGGGGGTTAAGGGGGGGGAGCGGGTGTTAGGGCCCTAGGGAGATGTGTACACTTTGTATTCATGTGGGTCCTCCGTTGCGGCCGAAGGAAAGCGTTTCATGCAGTTCAACGTACGGTGTAAAGGGATATCGGGTGTTCCTTACCAACAGCAGTAGCTGTACTAGGCACACGCGGAGCCATGATGGCAATATTGCTGTTGTGACATGTGGTGTTTACCCCCTCCTCCTCCCCCCCTCCTCCTTCCCCCCTCCTCCTCCCCCCCTCCTCCTTCCCCCCTCCTCCTCCCCCCCTCCTCCTTCCCCCCTCCTCCTTCCCCCCTCCCCCTGGCCGCAGGTGGCTCGCAGCACCTTCATTCTGTTCTTCAATGAGGTGTTCGATGCCATGTTCAGGTGTGGTGGTCGGGTGTGGGTGTGGTTGGGTGTGGGTGTTTTACTGATCTGAGTGCCGCGACGAGGGGCGAAATGCCGATGGCGGTACATGAATAACTTTTTTTAACCGAAGTGCGCTCCGACGTAGTCACCAGCGACATGTTAGAACCCCAAACTGCGCTGCTGCACACCCCACGGCCACAAGGATCATACACAGTCACATGCGTAGACGCAAACTCGTACTCGTTTACATACACACCTACATACAGGCATACGCACACGCATACACTCACACGCACACCGGCCCACCTGTGTCCAGGTTGTGTGCCGACAGCGAGGCCAACGTTCAGAACGCGGTTCAGTTCCTTGACGCGCTCATCAAGGACATCGCCGCCGACTGCACCAACTTCGATGTGGCGGCCTTCATCCCCAAGCTGCGCGACTACCTGCGCGTCACCAACCCGCACAAGCGCCAGTTCCTGCTGTCCTGGGTGGTGGTGCTGGACTCGCTGCCCCACGTCAAGATGCTGAGGCACCTGCCCGCCCTCATGGACGGATTGCTGTCCATGCTGGCCGAGCCGGTGAGGGAGGTGCGGACGCAGGTGGCCAACTGCCTCAAGGTGAGAGAGCGTGTGTGTGTGTGTTTATGTGTTTCGGAGGGTTGAAAAGGGGAAACGATGGTGAGAACGGGGAAGGGATTACGGAAATGTTGCCTTCCTGCTTATCTGTCTGTCTGTCTCTCTGTCTGTTCTATGTTTAAGTCAACTTGTCAAACCCAGCCCTTCCTTCCTTTCCAACCCTTTTCCTCTTCTCTCCTCTCCCTTCCCCAGACACACACCACACATGCGCCCTCCCCCCTCTTCCCTCCCCCCCATACTCCCATATCAGCAGTTCACTCTTTGTTTCCCGCCATATGATCACACACACCCTGCCGTGCCTTCCCCCCCCCATCAGGACTTTCTAACTGAGGTGCGGTCCGCTCCCGAGTCGGAGCTCACTGCGGAGTTCTTCTCCCGCCTCACCGCCACAGTGGTGGACCGGGCGGGGTCCCCGGACGACCTCACCCGCCTCACCGCAATACACTGGCTGAAGACATTTGTGGAGCTGGCCCCCGACCGAATTCTGGCGCACGTGCCCGCCATTCTCGGTGTCGTACTGTACAACATATCGTCCAACAACGTGGATATACAGAAAGAGTGTACGGAGGCCAATGCGGCGTTGTTGAGATTGGATGTCGGGGTGTACGGCGCTGCGGCAGCCGCCGCAGCAGCAGCAGCTGCGGCCGGGGGAGAGGGGGGAAGCGGGTTTTGCGGGTACCCTTCGGCGGCGGTGACGGCGGCAGTGGCAGCTGGGGGGTTGGATATGGCTGCCATTTTGGGGACGGTGATTGTGGAGATGCGGAGCGAAATGGAGGCTACCAGGTGCGTGTGTATGTGCGTATGTATGTGTGTATGTGTATGGTGGGGAGGAGAGGCGAGGGTAATGTTGTGGCTTATCCATGTCAGGGCTATGGGAGGCACCCCCGCATGTGAAACGCCGACATGAAATGAGGAGTCACTGTTCGTGTGTCCATGTATCAACTCAGCAGTATAGAGTTCAGATGTTCAAGTGGGTATTTGTGTGTGGGGGGGGCCCGTAAAGTGAATGACCGAAGCTGACCTAGAGGTGGGGATGCCGGGTTTGGCCACTTTGCTGGTGAGAACGCAAAGCCCCCCTTATCCCTCACCCGGGGGAAAAGGTGGTAAGAAGTGGGTACGCAGGATGAAGTGTACTAGCTGCACTGATCCCCTCATGTGCTCGTACTCGCGGGTATCGGGGTATGTCAGGTTCCACACCCATCCACATCAGAATCTGACCATCGCTGTCACCGTCTGTATGTATGTATGTATATGTATATATTTGTATGTGTGTGTGTGTGTTGGCCCAAACAGGCTGGAAGCTCTCCGCTGGCTGCACTTTCTGTTGGCCCGAGCTCAGGAGCTTGTGCTGGAGCAGGTGTGTGTGGGGGGCTAAGGAGTGGGTGGGAGGGGAGAGGTGGAGTTCTTGGGGATCATTCGCACGCTCGCTGCCCCCCGAGCAGATGGTACTTTCGGGCGTTGGCTATTGATTCTCCTGAGGACCTTTTTGCCCTCTCACATGGCTTTCTAACCCCGCCGGGCCAACCCCACATTACTGTTTCCCGTCCTCCCTCCTTTCCCCCTCCACCTCTACAGGTCGGTCGTCTGCTGCCCCCCCTGCTGGACTCCCTGTCCGCCCCATCGGATGCGGTGGTGACGTCGGCACTGGGGGTGCTGGCAGCAGTGGCGGACTGCCCGGGACAGTTCAGGTGCGGGGCGGAGAGAGAGAGAGAGAGAAGGGGGGGGAATGCGTGGGGGAAGACGTTCCGGGCGTTAAAGAGGAAGGGGGAATGGGGTGGAAGGAGATGAGTGTGGTGATGGAAGGAGAGAGGGGAGCTGGGAGTCGGCCCAGTGCCCACAGACGGGGGCTGCAAGTTGTTGGGATCTGGAGTACTTTTATAAACCCCTTTAGCAGCCCCAGCGTCTTTCCCCCCCCACGTCCCTCTCCCTCCCCTTCTTTCCCCCTCCCCGCCCGCAGCTCCGTGTTGGTGGCCTTCCTGGACCGGTTCCGCGGCGAGGCTGGGTTCGCTCTGCTGCAGCGGTCGGGCTCCTCCCTGGTGCGGCGGCTGTGCTCGCACCTCGGGGCGGCGGCGGTGCTGCCGGAGCTGGGGGCCATACTGCAGAGGGACACGGACATGGGCTTCGCGGCCACCATGGTGTCGGTGAGGGGGGAGGGGGAGGGGGAGGGGGAGGGGGGTTGCAGTGCTGGTTGAGGGCGTTTTGAGGTGACCTGGGGAGTGTTCGTTTGTGGGAATTTGTGGTAATGGGGACGTGTAATGTGGTTGTATCACACAAAGTTATCTCATAGCTGTGGATGTTTCTATGTATGCCTGTGAATTGCATGCTTTCACGAGACGGGGTAGAGGTGTGGTGGGAAATGAATTGGATTCCTCCGCCACACCGCCCACACCGCCCGCACAGGTACTGAACCTTATCTTGTTGACGGGACCCGAGGTGAGAGGAACGGGGGAGAGGGGAAGGGGAGCGGCGGTGGAGAGATGAGGCGGGAGATGTACTGCATGTATTCGTGTGAATGAGTGCATGTATGTATGCATGTATGTATAACAGGCCCCCTAGCAAATGTGGTAGATAAAGGTGGATGTTGCAATCTGGGTTGCCACTACTACTTGGTAACTTAGTGGGGCTGATGAGGCAAGACCTGCTACCTGCCTCCTGTCTGTCCATCTGATTCTTTGTGTACGGCAAGCACGTACCCTAGATACCCTAGTGGGACCAACCCCCGGGTACGGTGGACGTCCCGGGGCGGAGGTTGAATGTAAATACTGCACAACCGAAGGTGTATTGTTCATAGCCTACACACCCCTCGTATCTACCCTTTATGAGGGTTCCTCGCCCTGAAGCCCTGCCCCCTTCCTCCTCCACACACCCAATCGGCATGACCCAACAACCCCCCGTCTCCCGCTTCCTACATTTCCCCCCGCTCCGCCCGAACCCCTACCCCTACAACATGCACACTCAGCTAGCCGAGCTCCGAGACCAGCTACGGCGCGCGGCAGTGGACCCCGCGGGGGCCAAATTATTCAGTGTGTTGTACCCGTCTTGGTGCTACAGCGCGGGTAGGTCGGCGGGGGGGGGAGAAAAGAAGTTTGGGTTCGTGGGGAAGGGGGGGAGGGATGGAAGGTTGGACACATGCAGGGTTGTGGGCTCCAATTTAGCAGTAAGAACCCTCCCTTTTGTGGGCTCCTTACCTCCTTTCCCCGCGTGGCACATTCTGTTCCGTGCTGCAGGGGCGTTGCTTAGTTTGTGTTTCGTGGCCCAGGCGTACGACCATGCAGTGGAGATCGTACACGCATTTGCGGATCTGCCATTCGGGGCGGAGTTACTTGTGCAGGTGGGTCGATGGGGGAGTAGGGAAGACCCACACCACCAAAAACTCAATACACCCGTGACCCAGGGAGCCCCCGGACAGCTGCGGGCGGTGACTAGAACCCCCCGTACACCCTTAGACACCTGAGGCGTGCTTTGTCCATTTCGGACCTCAACGTGTATTGCCCCTTACTGCTGCTGCGCTGCGCCTCACGGTGGGGACCCTTGTGGTGGTGGTGCGTGTGTGTGCGTGTGTGTATGTATGTGTGTGTCTCCAGATCGACCGGCTGGTGGCGCTGTTGGAGACCCCCTGCTTCACCTTTCTACGGCTACAGCTGCTGGAGCCCCAGAGGTACCCCTCCCTGCTGAGGGCGCTGTATGGCTTGCTGATGCTACTGCCCCAGTGCAACGCCTTCCGCATGCTCAACACGCGCCTGCAGGTGGGACCGTGTGATTGTGAGTGACTGTGTGTACTTGCATGGGCCATTGTTTTCTTGTTGCGTGCGTCTGTATGTCATGTTGAGCTGAGAGCTTATTGAAGGCAAGAATAGAACGTGTTTTCTGAGGGACCGAAGCCATGTACGACCACAGGACTTTATGAGATGGTGGTCTTGCTTTGGGAAGGTGGGGGAGGGGGACTGGCGGGCTGGCGGTCGCGGCCTCCACCCGCCCGGCGCACCGGGATCAGGGCAGTGGCGGGCTGCCTGCCATCCTTGTCCTTGGTTCAACGACCTGGTTGCCCAGCCGATTCCGGCTCTGTCAACCGAAACAGCACGCCGCGCCGAGCTGTTGCGCCGTATAAGCAGCGCGCAGATACGTCGGGCCAGGCTCTCTTGATGGGAGGGGGACGGCTCTCTTGATGGGAGGGGGACGGCACGGCGCACCTATCCTGGTGTCAATGCCACCACCTCGTACGGCTCCCCCAACGCCGCACTTCTCTGACACGAACTTGATCCCTAAAACACTTTGCCACATCCGTATCACCCATTTATCCATCGCTACCTCATATCCGCCTGTTTTTGCTTGGTCGCCTTGTCTGTCACCCTGTCTGTCAGGCGGTACCAACCCTGGAGCTGCTACAGCTGGGAGGGGGTCTGGGGCCAAACGGCTCCAACCCGAGTCGCGTAGCCTCCCAATCTGGCGGCAGCTCCCACGCCCATCTTCACTCGCACCCAGTCGAACAGAAGGCAACAGAAGGTGACGAGGGCGCCGCAGCCAACAAGGTGGACTGGGCGGACTTCCCGGTGCTGCTGCAGGTTTTCCGGGCAGCGCAGTTGAGGCAGTACGAGGCGTATGTGGAGCAGCGGAGGCCGCCACCGCTGATGCCCATTGGGACGGCGGGAGCCGGTGTCATGTTCGCCGCCAGCGTCACTGACCGCCCCACGACGCTGTCGACGGCGGACAAGGGCGGTGTGCCGTACGTCGTCAGCTCGTCCTCCTCCGGGGCGGTGCAGAGAGGTCCGCCGTCAGCAGCGGTGGGGGCTGCGCCGGTGGGGGGAACCACAGGGTTGATGCCGCCTGACGGCTCTGCGGCCGTCGCCGCCAGCGGTACGAAGCTGTCGTCTTCAGCGTTCGCGATGCCGGCTGCGGTCGCGGTGGCGGCGGCGGTGAGGGCAGCGAGTGGGGCGCTCAGCGCTGCCCCCAGCTTCATGGACGGGGATTTGATGGTAGCGGCCGCAGCTGACGTCCAGCAGCCGCCACAGATACCGCAGCTGCCACAGCTGCAGCAACAGCCGCAGCAGCAGTCAGATCCCACATTCGCACCCGGGCCAGTTAGAGGGCAAGCTCAGGACTCCTCATCCTCCGGGAGCACGTGATGTCACATCACTGATGTGGCAGACGGACATGGCGGAATGAAGACGTGCGGGCTCGGGGGCCAAGGCGGAGGCTAGTGCTGGGGCAGGCCAGGGTGATGCATAAGGGCGAGCTTTCGCTGCGTGAAGCTATGGGGGGCCCTGGCATGTGAATTTCGATGTGGAAATGCACGTGTAGGCAGCGATGGTTTGCGGTGGAGACACGGGATTGGGGCTGTGTGTGTTTTGTGTGTAGGCGTGCATACGCAGGAGGGGAGTGTTAGTGGTTTTGTCCGTGAGCTTAGTTCTGTTCTGGTGCGACAGACGGTACAAATTTACTGTAGCACTTGTGTGTGCAAACGGGCGCATCATGCGGTAGCTTTTCGTCTTTTCGTTGGCAAATGAGGGCACGTGTGTGAAGTGGGCTGGGTACTGCAGCGATCATATTCCCGGTAAGTCCGGTTTCTCAAAGCATGCACATGTCGTACTTAGGAAGAGTAATTTGCGCACGACACTGCATTCCTATCCTCGAAACTTTTATGTTGGGATTAATTGGATGTGTCGTGGTGGAACAAACTCGTTAGGTCAAGTTAGCTAGTCGTATTTTACAAGTAAGCGATGGAAGAGTACATGTCAACGACAACCTGGCGATTATAGATTGAAGCCGGAGAAAGAAAGTTACGGTACCTTGCCAATACACCAAATGACACGCTAAGCTGTAACTAGGCACCATAATACCATCAGCCAACTACACCAACCTCACCTGATTTTCCACAGGGATGTGTATTTTTACAGCCATGTAATGACCACGTATAACAACTTGTCTGTGCCATACATCAGAGCCTCTGGGCAGACGACCCATTTCACTTGAAATACTTTTTAAGATGTAAGCAAACCCAATGGAACGTGCAAAATTCTTCATCTTCTACGTTTCTTCTTCTACTCGCGACATCCCAGTGTTTTCCTCGTGCAGCAACTGCGCAACTCAACATCAATAAACCAACGGTCGTGAGGACAAAACAATGCAAAGGTGGAAACCGGCTAGTCTGCTCCCGTTTAGCCGAAGGTTCTCGTCCTGCCACTTCACATCTGCCACTTCTCTAAAAAGCATCACGATCCGTTTCCTCTCTCCAAACGACACGGTGACGTGGGGATAGTGACCCTGGCAGACGGCTCAGTAAACCTCTGACCCCTCCTCTAAACAAATCAAATGCGCGACCGAAAAGGAGAATCAGATAATGCACACACATGGGCCCGCACCGTAACGCTAGCCCCTCACGTCAGCCAGACCAGACGACGTACAACATGCGGCCAGGCCAGGACGTGCGCGCGGAGAGGGCGTGCGGCAAAGGGCCTTATGAAAGAAGCTCTGCCAAGCCCAAAGCAGGGGCCGGCACTACGCATCCTGCCGCGGCGCTCTCTCTCTCCACTCCGCTCCTACACCTGACCAAAAACCGCAACCATAAACTACAACTGCAAAGCAGATACAAGTCTAAATCATCACTTGAATCATCAAGAGGTTGCTCGCTTGGGGTCGTCGGCGGCGCGACCTTCTCACCTCATGCTCAATATCGCCTACGCCCTGGGATTCCATCCCATACTTTTTAGCCGTCAAAACATGGCTTTTTCCACTGCTCACTAACTGACACCGCCCAACTCAACCACACCGGGTTCCGCAAACCCACTAGCGCCCCACGTGATGCAGCAGCAGTGCAGACCGGCTCTCTTATCTAAACCCTCGGCCAGAACTTACTCCGTCTAAACCCTCGGCCAGAACTTACTCCGGGAGAAACTCTTTCATCCTGGCACAGCCGGTCCTTTCCCCTCCCTGTAGCCCATGACGAAGGTGACGCGTCTCTTTTTACGAGGTTACCCTGCGAACAGCCCTCGTCATGGAGCCATCTCATAATAGTAATAACCAAAATGACCACCGCCACCACCGCCGCCATGAAACATCATGTAACGCGGCCTCGATGCGCAGCAACTCCGCCCTTCAGCGCGCGTGCGCCGCCTCGTGCGGCTGCGGGGCCTGTGATGACTTCCCGCGTCAGTACAAAGGACAACGGCGGCGAAAACGAAAATATACGAACGGGCCGACGACGGCCCACAGGACGGGGGTCAGGTTGAGCAGATACCACCGGATTGCCGGAAGCCGCGTAACCGGCAGCCTGGAATGGGCAGGAGGGCTCCTGCCCTTGGGAACCGCAGCTCGGGTTAGAAGCTGGTTCCCCGGTTGAAGTGGGTTGCGAGGTACAGCACCTCTAGGCCCCTAGCGCAGGCCATTACATCAACAAGGTGTAAAAAAGAAGAAAGAAATGCAAAGCACATACAAAACAAACGTAAGCTTTTACAACACACACACACACAGCACATAAACCAGCATAAACAGAACACGAGGCAGCGCACATCGCGACATCGGGTTATGAACCAGGGAATGAACGGCACGACCAAAGCACACACCTCACACACCCTCTCACGAACACGCGCACGCAAAACACGTTGTAGGCGCATTACGGCCCCGGTGTGTCCAGTTGCCCTATTGCCCCCAGTGGATACAGCGAATGCGCAACCAACTGGTTGGAAACCAATAAGAGGCCGCCCATGGGGTAGACGACGATGAAGAACAAGAAGCAGACGCCAGGATTGGGGGGACAATAGACGGGGGGCAAACGCGACAGCGCGGACACGACCAGCAAAACCGGATAAATGCTACATCCCTTCCCCCATCTTTCGTCGTTGTCTCCTTCGCCCGTCCATCTGATCTGACCGTTGCCGTGCACGTGACCCATGTGACAAGAGGCAAGAGGTCCGCACCACCACCCCCTCCTCCACATCATCATCGTCATCATCGGCAACAACAGCAGTCCCTTAGCCCAGGGAGACCTCCCGTTTGAAGATCCAGCTGAACGCCGCGGTGCGGGTCTTGCCGCGCTTGCGGTCCCGCAGGCGGCGTTCCATCTGCAGATCAGCCAGCCGCCGAATGCGTTCGCTGTGCTTCATCAGGAAGGCCTGCAGGGGAGGAAACCAGCAAGCGCGCATGCGTGTGCGTATGTGCGAAGGGGGGAAGGATCATATCGCAGATGAAGAAGCAAAGGGTCAACGATGTGCAAAAACCCAGTGGGATGGGTGCAGGAAGAGAAGGGCAACCCGGGTAACGACGACAGCGTCTGGACAAAGGAGGAAGTGGGAGAGGTTCTGAACTGTGCGGGTAAAGACACAGAGGATTGACGGAACGGGGGCAGAAATCCCCCGGGTACGGAAACGCTGCAACAAAACCTATTGTTTGGAAGCAGTCAGCTCTGTATCACCGCAGCGGCCGCCAATGTGGCGCACCGGAGAGAAGTTTCCAGGCCATTAAGTCCACCAAGACCAACTCTCCTCGGGGTTGCCGGGGCACCCAGCGGGTGCGAGAGGGAGCCCTATTCGAGCCCTACGCCCCCTCCCCAAGATAGACCTGCCAGCAAGGCAGCTAGCCAGGGCGTGTAAGCTGTCGCACCGCGTCTATTTGCCACGCGTCCCCAGCACCCCACGTATCACACCTGCGCCTCGGCCGCCTCGCCTGTCACCACCTTGAGGTTAGCAATGTCCCATCGCTTGACCTGCACGCGTGCGTGTGTAGCCAACGTGGCCGGGGATAAGTCCCTGTTATATCCTGCTTCATATATTCGTTTCTAGTACACAGAACGCTGCGGCTCGTTCTTTACTTCTTCAAGTCAGCGGCGCTAAAAATGCTGCTTCCGATTCACAGACAGACACACACACATTCTCCCCTTTCAGCCTGGTCCCCCTTACAGCGTTTCAGCCCCACGACGTTTCAGCAACCGCCCAAATCAACCAAACCCCGCAGCATCCTCAAGCCCGCCCGCACCCCCACCAGGTGGTCGATGATGCTGGCATAATCGTTGGTGGTGTACACACCGATGGCATCCGCCACCGTGGCGTAGTCCACAAAGAGGTTCGAGGCCTTGCCGTTGGCCGTGTCGTGCCAACCGTCGTCAACAAAGTGGGCGGGCATCACGATGCCCTGAGGGAAGGGGAAGGGAAAGGGAGGGAGAAGGCGTGTGGGCATGTGTGCGTTGGGAGGGAGTTTTTGTGTCGGTAATGCATATACAGGAAATGCAGCACAGATGAGCGAATACATCAGCGGGTATTATGCTCTTCAGCTACGAAGTACCCGTCTCCGGAGAGTGATTATGGGGGCCAACAACTTGCATAGCGGGAGCAGGTGCAATTGCTTGCTTAAGAAGGACACAGCACCCCCTTCAGCTCACAGCTGTTGCCTTCCCAGCCGCACAACTGCGACTACAGCATCACGTCCTCTCTCTCTCTCTCTCTCGAGCCGTACCGTGCACAGAGCACACCCATACTCCCCACACATCGCACACCCTCCGTCCCTTCCCACCTTCCGCATCATGTCAGCAAACGCCAGCATGGCCCCGTCCGGGTCCCGTTTGAATATCTCCCCCACAATGGCGGTGTAGGCCGCCTCATGACGCGCCTCGTCACTGGCGATAAGGCCCGTCAGCTTGGCCAGCGGCAGGTCCCCATGATACTGCGCTAGACGGGCGGTGTTGCCGTGGGATATGCGGGTGGCGCGCTCCTGCACGGTGATTGTGGCGATGGTTGTGGTGGGGGTGAGTAGGAGGGGGTATTTACTTCTTTCGGTTTCCTACATTCCGTTAATGATAGCGGTGGTGGGGGTGGAGGGCGGTGATTGCAGGACCCTGGATGGCTATAAGCCTCCTCCAGCGGGGAGCCCTGAGGTGGAAGTAAAAGTGCTTAAACACCAACAAAGGAGAACAAATGCTGCCGACCCAGGGGCAGGCGGGCAGTGCGGGGAGGACAGACGGCAGAGGCGGCGGTGGACTCAAGGAAAGGTGGGAAAGGAAGGAAGACACAACATACGACATGGGCGAAAAGGGTGAGAAAATATGGGTTGCAATAATCTGCCCAAGCCTGCGAACACCTCCTCCTTCCTCACATGCCCCCATCCCCTCTCTCACAGACCACTTCCTCCCAGTATGCCGACAGCCCTCTCCCCTCTCTCCCGAGGTACTGCCCCGCAGTCCACACTGCTGCTGCGCTGCTGCGAACTCACTTGCTTGCGGCCGGGTGGTTGTTGCGAGCCTGCGGGGCCTTGTCTAGGTGCCGCCTCAAGGTCCCTCCCTTTTCCCTTGATCCCCCTCCCTTACTGCCCCAAGCCCCCGCCCCATTCCGCCTCCTCACCTGGAAGCTGGTGTACACAAAGCACAGGTAGGGGTTGTTCTCCAGTTTGGGGTCCAGTCCCCGACCAATGAGCCGCTGAATGGTGGACTCAATGCTGTACATGTCCACCCTGGCAGTTTGGGGGGGGGGGAAGAGGGGGCGGAGAAGGGGTGAGGAATTATTTAGACGAGCAGGTACATGGGGAGGGTGATGAGCTGAGATTATGTACGTCCTCAGGTATTCAGGGGTTCAGGCATGTGGACCCGGATGACCCGGATGACTCCTGAGCGCAGATCCGGAAATCGCCCCCAAACCGACCAACCCCATCAATCAACCACCCACCCTAGTCTTCACACAAACCTAGACAGACAGCTAGCACCATCCCACGATCTGCCACCTCCCAGGCATGCACGCACGCAGGCACCCACACTCACCTTCCCGATAGGTACAGGTACTTATTGAGCACGTCCCCGTGTCGGTTCTCCTCCGCCGTCCAGTGCCGGGTCCAGTGGGCCCAGGGGTTGTCACTGGCTCCGGTCTCGTCCCGGGTCTCGTCCAGCGTGTTCAGCATATTCATGTAGGAGGGGAGGGCCTCCTGAGGGGAGGGGGAGGGAGGCAGGGAGGGGAAGGGGAGGAAGAGAGGCAGTGGGCAGAATGGAGGGTGGAAGGTGGGGAATAAAGGCGCGGTGTACTGTGCGTGTGTGTGGGTGCGCGTGCTGTGTGCGTGCAACGCGTGTAAGGGTTTCAGGGTTTAAATCCTCGGAAACCCCCGAACCGGGACCATCAGCGTCCTCACAGCCTCGCTCCCCTGCCAATCCCTCGTCACCCACCGCATCCCCAAGCGCTCACCTCCGTGACCATGTCCCCCACCAGCACCACCAGGTAGTCGTTGGGCAGGTTGGCGGAGGCGGCACGGAGGGCAGAAACCTGCGAACCGAGGAGTTGGGGCCAAGTTGCAACGTCATCATGCTTTGTCATCAACCCATGCAGGCAGGTAGGCATATCTCTCCTAACTCAAACTCCGGCCCCACCCTCCATAAGTTCTCAACCTCGCACTCCTCACTGGCGGGTGTAACGATCGTTTTGGAGCCCAAAATGGACACACGTAGCCGGTAAGCCAAAGCCCCCTCCCTCCTTCCAGCCCCCTCCTCTTCCTCCCCCTTGCCTTACCTGGTCGTAGAAATCGGGAGAGGCCGGGTCGGGCAGCAGATCCGCCGGCTGCCAGGAGCGCTCCGAAGCCTTCAGATACCTGTAATGCGGCATCAAGCAGGGTACGGAGCAAAGTACGTGACGGAAACGGGGAAAGACGGTGTCAATGGAATTCGGTTCAAAAGCGATCAGGGAAACCGCCAATCACAGTGCAGGTAGGAAGGAGGGCAGGTTACGGCCCCCCGCCCGACCGTGGCAGCTGGGCCCCAATCAAGGCGTCAGGGCACCTCCGCCTATCCCAAACTGTTATCCCCACGAAACCCTACGAATCAGCGAACAACAAGAGGGCAAAGACTGCACACCACCTGAGCCATTCTCCTCCGTGCCACTGATAGCCCTGCCGAGAGCCCTCCCGTTTTGCTCCCAAGCGTTATAAGGGCCATGCCTGGCTCCAACCATTTCTGTTTCCCTGTCCCTTTTTCCGTCGACCTTCCCCCCCTGGGCCCGGCATGGCATGCCCTGCTTTTGGAACAACGCCAGCTGGCATGACTGAACCCCTACCGCCCTTTCCCCAGCTCTCCCAAGGCCTATGCCATGTAATGAAGTTTCGCTGCAATAAATGGCATCGCTTTATAGCAGGGCAGCAACTTTGCAACCCTGTTCTGTGCTCGCCCTCTTGAGATCTGACTTCCTAGCTCCTGCCATGCAATACGTGCACGTTCCCAAACGGTGCATTAGCATGCTGTCTTTCTATCTACCTGCGACCTCTATTGCAGCTTCCACTTCGTCTTCCAAACAGTCTGCATGCCATACTGTCCGTCACCCTCCACATGCAGCCCGGTCCCCTCCCGAAAATCCTCCTCTGACGGAAGGTGAAGCGTCATAAGTCCTTACCTTGGCAGTTCTCTCGCTGCCCAGTCTGACATAGAGCGCATCACATCACGGCCTCGCTCACTAAGCGAATGAACTCGCTGACCTCCCAGCCACAGCACCGGACCGTCAAGGCCATGGCCACAGAAGCCCTCCGGCAGCGCCGCTGATGGCCCAGACGTGGAGGAAGAAGTTGTTGCACCAGCATCAGCGGATACCGTTTGAACAGCAGGGGCTGCGGACGCCGCAGCCGCGGTGGCGACTACCGGCGGCCTGACATCCTGAGGGAAGATGAGCCCAGCAGGTCGCGGAGCGGTGCCAGCAGACGCGCCGCTAAGAATTCGAGCGCCCGTCGGGCTGAGTCCATGGATCTGAGACGTGGAGGAGCTTGAAGAGCTAGGTCCATTGGTTTGGCCCACGTTAGCGCGAACATATGGTGCGCCCGCGTAAATGCCGTTGTGCGTTACAGCGGGGCAGGATCCAGGCTGGTGACCCAGCCGGCGTAAAGCTCGAACCATTTGCTTCACAGCTGACGACCCAGCGGCTTGCTGAGATGACCCCGCGGACGGTGTCCAACGGCTTGCTCCGAACATTTTCCGAGCGCAGGTCAGGTCCTCTGCAGCTCCACGCCTTCTGTAAGTACATATATCAAAAAGGAGCAACAAAAGCTTAAAAGTGGCTTCTATGTTAGTGCATAACCACGGCAACGAGGCTTGCGGGTTTCGATGGACAGAAGCTGCAAAAAGCTTCCCCGGGACTTTCAAGAAAAGCTAAGGCCGGTACCGCAAAATATATTAAGCGAGGATATGGTTTGTCAACGCTCGATGTCGCAGCCTCGGCACAGCGTAACGCTAGAGGCGGCCAGTTCACCCGCGCTAGAACGATCGGACAGAAATCAACCAGCAGCAGGTCCACGTGGCTTCCTACCGTTCAGATGATATTTGCTTTAGGCACAGTTACACAAACAGCGCAGGTTTGGGGAGGCGAACGAAAGTGCGCTATATAATCAATACCATCAAGCGTTTACCACTTGGCGTCCGTGCGCAATGCCGACTGTCCACTATTGTTTCAGCAGCAGGCTACGTCCAACAGCTATTATAGTAAGTTTGGGGCAGCTAAGAGATAGTTTGGGTGGTGAGCAAATCCCCTGTACGGCGGACCGTCGGGTGTACGCAAATGTAGTACTTTTCCTATTCTCGGGGATACGTTTCGCAACTCTACACACTTACCCGAGCATGCGCTTTTTTTCGCTGTCGTCTCGTCCCCAACCACTTTCCTGAACCGTGCCTGAACCCCAGTACACATCAGTCACTGGAACGAAGCCAATACACGCTCCGAACGGTACAGGCACCTAAAATTGATACGATGGCACAGAATTAATCCACCTGCAGCGGTGCTTGGACGCGGGCTGGTACGCCGGAGTTCGTTCGTCCGCAGCCAAGGGGCAACCGCCGACAGTACATGCCTCCTCCCCTCCGGGTCTCCACGCTTTCCCTGCTGACCAACGCCCAAGGGTGAGCCAAAGCTTCTCTTATCACTTATGCGGTCCTATGTACCTGTTCCAGGTGTTGCCCACCAGAATAGCTATGGCCCCTGGTAGTAGACCGGACGTTGGATTCCATGAGCCTCGCGGAGTACTGGAAGAGAGCGCATGCACGGGGCGTGGGAATGAAGCCGTGGAACGAGGCACCCTTGCAGTGTGTCTAGCGGCGCTGCGTCCATCTGGGTCAGCAATTAACAGCGTTTGTCTAATACCTGGTTTACTGACAGCTCTCGGCCACGTCATTAAAGCAGTTGCTGCTGCCCGCAACGGTTAACTCCTTCCCCGTAGACGCGTTCGCTGCAGTGCTCGCTCGCTTTCCATAGCCGGTACCCACACTCCATGCAAATTTCTGTACTCTTATGAACAAGTCGGACAGGAGGACGAATGATGCGTTGAAATCCAATGCGTCCTTCGTAGTATACGCCGTACACAATGCCGTACACGTCAATCGTCCTGTTTGCCTCGGCTCGCTGGGATTAGAACTGAAACCAATTGTCTGTTGTCAGGGAAGGAAAACCTCCAATCACGCAGCTCATTGCAACTTTCCCTGGGAATCTGTGGGGCCATTTCTTTCTCCCATCTTGGCCGCCTCATCCAGCCTCATCCCGCCTTACTCCTCAACCTCTCATTCTCCCGCCAGCTCCCACTCGCCGCTCGCCTTTCGCGCACCTAGCTGTAACCACGCCGCCCCAGACCTCGGCGCCGCCCTGCCAATATGCACCAATCCAACCTACAGCTGCGACCACTCGAGAGCAGTAGCAGCAGCAGCAACAGCAGCAGCGGAGGCAGCTGCAACAGCACTTCATTTGTTGGCGCTGCGAGGAAGGGCGGCCTGGCCTTCTTCGCCTGTTTTGCAGCTGAGCAAAGGAGGAAGCAGCAGCAGCAGCAGCAGCAATAGCTGTCATGGTTACAGGGGGTATGGCGCCATCGGGGGTAATCACGGCTACCGTGCCACCGGGGCGGGCAAACCCGGGTTCGGGTCGTACGGCGAGTTACTATACGGCACGTGGGGGCATGGACGTGGGGGTACGCCAGCCGCTGCGGTGGTCCCTGTCCCAACGTCGGCGGCGCCGGCGCCGGCACATCGGTGCCCCCACCTATTGTTTGGAATAAGCGGCGACGTCGCCGCAAGGACACCGAGCCCCCTACCAGGGGGCGGCCTCACAGGCAGTAGCAGCTTTACGCTGACCAGAGGAGCCACGACAACAGATGCCGTACACGGCTGTAGCCCCTGTAGAGGCTATGCCAGTACCAGCACCGACAGCAGAGGCAGCGACGGAGGCGACAGGCGTGTGGCCGGGGCGTCGAGTGGCGATGGTGATGGGCCTGCAGGTCGTGTAGCAGCACCAGCACCAGCACCAGCACCATCTGCAGCTGCAGGGGCAGGGGCAGGGGCAACTGCAGCTGTGGGGGCCGACCTGGCCGGCGCGGAGGAGGAGGTGGTCCCCGTGGTGATCTGCGGTGCAGGACCCACAGGTCTGACTTTGTCGCTGCTGCTAGCCAAGTACGGTGAGCGGGAGGAGTAAGGGAGGGTCAACGAGGGCGCGAGGCCGGGGGGGAGCTGTGCGCCGCTGAAGGGAAGCACGTGGGAAGGGTAGCACGTTTGAAGGGCGGCCCCGGGGCTGCCGGCGTGCGGGTTTTACAAATCTGAGCCGCGGCCAGAAGCTGGTGAAGAAGTCCAGTCTGTATGTATCAATGTATGTGTGCGTGTATGTGTGCGTGTGTGTGTTTTGCGTTGGTCTCAGGCTGGACTGGTCTGAACTGGGCTCTGGGGTGTTTCGCTGCACACGCACGAACGCCGTCAGCCACCACACAAGAGGGGGGGCCTGTACTGCAGATTGCTCCCTCCCGTACTACATCTTGTATGCAGGTATACGGCACGTGGTTCTGGAGCGAGCCCTGGGCCCCACGCAACATCCACAGGCGCACTTCATCAACAATCGAACGATGGAGGTATTATGTGTGTGTGGGGGGGTGCTGAGTGCGGAGTGTTGGGTCAGGGAACAGAGCGGAAGCGGAACGGAAAGTTGGAATAGATTAGCGCAGAGGGAACAGAGAGGAGCTGCTGCGACGGGCGAGCGGCCGTCAGCCCGCCGCAGCACTATTTTCCGTACAGCGGCACATGCCGTACAGTGAGATTATCATCATATGCCGGTCATTTCCACAATTGCGAGGGCAATGCGTGTGCCGTACAACCGTTTAGGTAATCGCTTCGTGTGGTACATATGTATATATATGCATACTAGGGTACGCGCGACCATTGCCCCCGGGAGATCCCGGGATCGATACCTGTTAGAGTTGAAAATCCTTCCGATGGTGGAAGGCATTGCGCCCCTAGTTGATGGACGGTGGTGACCTGGGATAAAGTTAACCTGCGAGCCGACCAGGAATGGAGTTGGGCCGCTGTCGATCCGGCAGATTCCGTTGGATGCTGGTGGTGGGTGCGGAACCTGAGCGATCCACTGAGAAGTTGGCTAGGGTGTCTGGATGAGGGTGCGTGCCCCGAAATACCGGGGAAGGCAGGGTTTCGCAGGGTAGCTGCCACGGGTGAAGATACACCCCCCTGTTTCACACATCATATGCAATCATCAGATTTCTTCTTCTTCTTCTTGTGCCTCATATTTACATATTCGACATGGGGGAAAACTGCCTTATCTTATCTCCGGGTGGCCTTCAGATTTTCCGGGGGTTGGGCCTGGCGGGGCCTGTACGGCAACGGATGCCGCCCCTGGAGCAGTGGCGTCGCTTCGTGTACTGCGAGACTGTGGCAGGACGAGTGTACGGCGAGGTGGACCACTTCCGAGGTACGTACGTTTGTACGGAGCTAAGAGTATCTTCTCTCCCGCCCTTCTTGCCGCGCCTCTGCACCAGCGCTGATATATCCGGCGGTGGAAGTGGGAGAGAACTTATACGGGTGGTTGCATGGCCATGTCCGTTTAAGCAGGATCTGTTATGTCTAGGGCGTACATCTGTCTGTCTGTCTGTTTGTCTGTCTGTTTTGTCTGTTTGTTTTGTCTGTCTGTTTGTTTGTCTGTCTGTCTGTTGTGTTCATCTTATTTCAGCCGGTGACATGGCGTCTCTTAGATCCCGGCGCCTGAGCGTTACATCGCGGGTGGGTCGTGACTGGGGTTGGCCATGCCGTACCGCTGACGCACGACTTTTCTGTGGACTCATCTCCCCCTTGCCCACGCCATGCGCCTTGTGCCCCTCCCCTCCTTCCCGCGGGCCGGACAACCAGGTGTGTGTGTGTGTGCGTGTCTGGGGGGGAGTGGACCGACATTCAGAAGGGACCGATATTTTTCCAGTTCTAATGTGTTTTTATCATGTTGCCACCTCCCTCCCCCCCCCCGGCAGGTCAGTCCTCTCCCACCTCCCCCCGGCTGTCCCCGGAGCCAGTGGCGCACCTCCCGCAACACCGGCTGCTGGGGATCATGCTACAGCGACAGGCGGAGGTGGCGACGGCGGCAGTAGCAGAGGAGGTGGCGACGGCAATGGTATTGACGTTGGGCTGCGACGGCAGGTTAAGCGCGCCCAAGGGCTCCAGCTGCGGCGCCGCCGTTAGCTGGGGTACGACATTGCGTGGGGTCAGCTTTCGCCGCCGCCAGGTGGCTCCCAACGGCCACCCCGCCGCGACAGGCGTCGTACAGGACGCAACGAACGTCGATGACGTGGAGGTGGAAGTCGAGGTGACGGATTCGGACAGCGCGGCGGCGGCTTTGCCTCCTCCACACCCCAACCACCCCAACCACCCCAACCACCACCACAACCAGCGCCGGCGTGCCGTGCTTCTTCGTTGTCAGTACTTGGTGGCCGCTGACGGCGCTCACAGCGCTGTGAGGGGCCTCATGGGAGGCAGATTGGAGGTACGTCATACGTCGTACGTCGTACGTCGCAGCTCACAGCCCCGCGGCTCGGGAAGGATACACCTCCCCACTCCCCACTGCCCTGGCAGCAGCTTCAATCGTGTGTGGTTCGTCTTTTCCCCACTCCCCACTCCCCACTCCCCTTGTTCCCCTGACATAACGTATCCGACCACTCCCCCTCCCTCCCCCCGTCCCTCCTTCAAGAACGCCTATCGGTCAGTTCTGCTTCTGGTACACCCTTTCCTTGGCCGCAGCTTCACTCGTTCGTGGTTCGTCTTTCCCCCCCTCCCCCCCTCCCTCCCTCCCTCCCTCCCTCCCTCCCTCCACACACCAGACCCCTCAGGCCCCCCTGCCAGTGCGGCTCCGGCGGCCCGGCAGCTTCTACCTTCCATCGCCTCACCCCTTCCTCCACCCCCCTCCCCACCAGGTTCAGTCTTGATTCTTGTTTCCCTTGCCCGCGCCGATCCCTTCACCCAACCTGTTCATGGCTCCCAGGGCGCGGGCCCCCTGCAGCACCTGATCAACGCCCACTTCATCAGCGCCGCCCTGGCCAGCCGGGCCGCCCGCCACCCGGCCATGTTGTACTTCGTGTTCAACCCTGAGGTGGTGGCGGTGCTGGTGGCGCACGACATCCAGGCGGGGGAGTTCGTGGCGCAGGTGCGTGTGTGTGCTCTGTGTGTGTTTTGTTCGTACACGGATACCTCCGCCTCCCCCTCCTCCTCTCCGGGGGCCCCCATCCGATTGCCAACCAGGTGTGGGAACCCCGCCGCCTCCTCCCCTTTCACCTCCTGCGAACCTGTCGTACCACCTTGCCTGCAGATTCCGTACTTTCCGCCGCTGCAGTCGCCCGCTGACTTTCCACCGGAGCGAATCGTACAGCTGATTCGCGCTGCGGCCGGACAGCTTGTGAGAGGAGTGTGGGAGATTTTCGGGAGGGAGGGCCGGCGATCCGGGCTGCATATAGGGTGGAGTATACCGTTAACCATTGACCGTTGTTTTGACGGTTGTGCGTTGAACCCAATAAGTCAAAATTGACCGGCAACCTGCTGCATATCCTGCCGGGGGGGTCCTCCCCCGTTTGCAACTGGTGTGTGTGTGTGTATTTGTGTATGTGTGAGGGAGGTTGCGGGGAGGGGGGAGGGTTGACCGTGACCTCCTTCCCACCGCGAATAGGAGTGCGTGGCATCGCCCGGCCCCCGGTGTGCATGTATTTGCGTAACCCTAGGAAACCGTCCCGCGAATGATCCGTGAATGCGCCCTCCCCTCCCCTCCCCTCCCCTCCCCCCCTTGCCACCCCCTTAGACTCCTGACTCCCCGGCTAGCGGCTCTCCGGGGGTTCCTCACCCGGGGGTAGTGGATGTACGGCTGTTGCAGGTACGGCCCTGGGCAATGACCGCGGAGGTGGCAGACAGGTGCGAGGTCCAGGGGGGCTCGGGGGCCCGGATGGAAAGGGAGGGAGAGGAGAGGGAGAGGAGGGAGAGGAGGCCCTTTGGAATAGGTTGATAACCTGACATGGGGCCGACATGCGGAGGAGGGGGCGGGGGTGCGTCGTACTGTGTTGATGTGACCCCCTGTGGCGGAGGTCTGCGGGAAGTGCAGCGCAGTATCCAATTCCAACTCAAACCCCTCCGGCGCAGATTCGCCTTCGCATCCTCCGACAACGGCAGCAGCAGCAGCAGCAGCAGTAGCGGTGGCCCGCTGGCTGTCTTTCTGGCGGGCGACTCAGCGCACCGCTTCCCCCCGGCTGGCGGGTTCGGTATGAACACCGGCGTGCAGGATGCGGCGAACCTGGCCTGGAAGCTGGCGGCCGTGTTGCGGGGCTGGGCGGGCAGGGAGCTGCTGAGGTCCTACGCGGTGGGTGCGGTGCGGCTCACCCGCACACGGCTCCATGGGCATTGACGAGTCGCCGGAAGATACATCTGGGGGCCGCCGTTCCCTTCGTGTGCGAATACCCCTGTAGTATCCGTGTGCCGGAGAAAGAGAGAAAGAGAGGGAGGGGGGGGAGGGGGGAGGGGGGAGGGGGGAAGACGAACCACGAACGAGTGAAGCTGCTGCCAGGGAGAGGGGGGAGAGCACCTGAGGGGGTGTTTACATTTGTGTACATATGTATACATATGTATGTTTGTACATATGTATACATGTATATATGTACATATGTATATATGCATATAAACTGTGTATATATGTATATAAATACAATAAATATGTGCATTGTATACGAAGTGTGTGGCTTAATGGGTCCCTAGCTGCGTGGTACGGCAAATTGTTCGGCAACTTTGTTCATGTCTTCTTGCCACATGGAGGAGCTGTGTTGTCAAAAGTGTGCTTATCAACCCATTGCGCATGCCGCTGTCGTACTCGCGCCCTCCTCCTTCCTGGGCCCCCTACCTCGGGGGGGGTGGGTGAAGCGCTTCCTCGGGGCCCCCCTGCAGCCCCCCCCTGCAGCCCTCATCCTTCCGCCTGTCGCTTTTCATGCGCCTCCTTACCCCCACCCCCTCCGAGACACACACACACACACACACAGACATACATACACACACACATGGTGCAAATTCAAGCTAGCGACGTTTACAGTTTCCTAACTGGAAAAGTCTACTGAGACGACGCTGGTGACTACGTCGGAGCGCACTTCGGTTAAAAAGAGTTATTCATGTACCGCCATCGGCATTTCGCCCCTCGTCGCGGCACTCAGATCAGCAAAACACATGCTTCCATGCTTCCATGCTTCCATGCATACATACATACATACATACATACATACATACATACATACATACATACATACATACATACATACATACATACATACATACATACATACATACATACATACATACATACATACATACATACATACATACATACATACATACATACATACATACATACATACATACATACATACATACATACATACATACATACATACATACATACATACATACATACATACACCTTCTATCCCCGTTTGCCCTTCCCCCGCTGCCTCCGCTCCCGCCTCCCGGTCACTCCCGCCAGCCCCCCTACCTCCGTGGTTTCGGAAGCGGCTGCTGGAGGCGGTTCTGGACCTGGGCCGCAGGATGTCGGGGCCGGAGGGGCTGCCGGTGCCGCCGCTGGGCGCCTGGAGGGAGCAGCAAGTGCAGCGGATTCTCAAGTACGGCAGTGACACGTAGACGGCGCACGGCTGCTTGCGTGCGTGCGTGCGTTAGTGCTGTCTGCTACCTGTGCTACCTGCGACCCTACCTACCGGTAGACAGCGGCGCGGGCAGTGCTTTTTTAAACGGCGTGTCGAGGGCTCCAAGAGGGGTTGGGGGTGGGGTGGAGGGCGCTACGGAGGGAAGAAGAGGGGACCAAGGCCCCGACCCAACTCTGTCGGTACCCTTTGGCTTTGCCTGCAGGATGCCTTTCGTTTTTGCCCCAAATTATATTACCCCCAACCCCCGCTGTCCCCTCTCCACCCCCCTTCCCGACATGTTTGCAGCTCCGGAGCCAGTCTTCGGCTGCAGTTCCCAGCGGAGGATCTGGGCTTCGTGTACGACAAGGGCGCGGTAGTCGTACGACAGTCGTCCGTTCCCGCAGGAGGCATTTCTGGGGCAACGGCGGGAACCGCAGGCTCTAGCTCGAGGGCGGTGGTGGAGACGGTGGAGGAGGCGTTGGCTCGGCTTCCGCCGCGGGGCGCGCCGTACAACCCTAGCTCCGCTCCGGGCTGCCGTATGCCACACTGCTGGCTACAGCTGCCGCCGTCACCGCCGCCCTCGCCGTTGTCGCCGCCGGGTAGCGATACGGCAGGACGCGGCAGTAGCAGCAACAGTGGCCAGGTCCTTGGTGAGTTTCCGGAGCGTCGTTGTCCCGCCGTCACATTGTCCACACTGGACGTCGTGGCGGACCCGTGGGTCGGTCCCCGGTTGCTGCTCTTCACAGACGACCACCTTCGCGGACGAGACGGCAACCCCTGGCTGGCGGCGGCGCTGCAGCTATACGGAGGGGGACAGGCTCCGGAGTCCGGCACACGTGTTGCTCCTGCGCCATCCTGGCCGTTGTCATCGGCGCTGCCGCCGTCGCCGTCGCCGTCGCCGTCGCCGTCGCCGTCGCCGTCGTCAGGGCCGAGGGACTCCTCGGTGCCTCTAGTGGTCGTGAAGGTGCTGCCGGCGCCAGCGGTGGCAGCTGCACGGGGAACCGACAACTTCAGCGACCTCAACCGTCAACAGCATCAACGAGATTTGCAGGCAGACCTGCCGTACCCGGCGGCGGCTGTCGTCGTACACGAGCCGCCTGAAGGGAGCGTCCTGGCCAATCTCGTCCGGAGCGCCGCCATCTACCGCAGCATCGGCAGTAGCCGCTTGGGCGGTAGAATCAGTAGCGCTGGAAGCTGTGGCGCAGCGACGGCGGCGGGGGTGTCCGACGGGTCAGAGGCCTGTGTCGGACGGGTGGCGCCGCTGGTGGAGCTTCAAGAAGCGGAGCCCGGCAGTTGGCTACGAACCATGGGTCTCCCGCCGGGGAGCTGCCTGCTTGTACGACCCGACGGTCACGTGGCTTGGCGCCACCTTGGTCCACCGCGACGGAGGCCGCCGCCTCAACGGCCGCCGGGTGAGGGTGCGGGTGGGCGTGCGGGTGGGGAGTGTAGTACGACACGTGCTGGGCCAGCTGCTGAGGATTGGAATCCAGCTTTGAACCCGGTCGTGGCCGTAGCGGTGGCGGAGCTGCGTTCCGTACTGGCGGCGCTGCACTGGCGGCTGCTCCCCGGCGGCGAGTGGCAACAATAACAGCGGCAGCGGCAGCGGGGTGGGGGGGTAGTCGTACGACACTGTGTCCCATTGGCGGCACCTCCCCCCGGAGATGCGAGACCCCCGGAGGACGACGTTCGTGTTGTTTTATGTCCCCTAAGGGGGACCCGATGAACTATTTCTTTGCGGTGAACCGTAAGTTGTGTTCGCGACCCGCCATTTTGGGTGTCATCAATAGAGGAGATGGGCTGAGGGGACGAGAGGAGGGCGGCATTGAGGGCCAAGTCGAAGTGCGGACGTTTGGGAGCCAGGTGTGGGAGACATCTCACATGCTCTGCTGTGCTTTTGAGTGACTTGGAGTGACTTGGAGTGTCAAAGTTTCAGCTTCGATTCGCAATCGTGTTGATTGATTGATTGACTGATCCCCACATGTCTCCACATCATCTCCTTTCTTTCTGAACTGCAGACTGCTTTGCAAAGCAAGGCAGATGCAAACTGTTCATGTAATTGCGCCTTCGTCCGCAACCCCCCCCGGAAATAGACGCCGCCACAAAGGTGCCACCACCACCAAAAACATTCCTCCTCATTTTTTATTACTCCTCTATTTTACGGTGGCAGAAGCCATGGTAGTCACCATGTACGACGACCGTCGTACGATTATTTTCGTACATCCCGGCACATTGAAAACCTAAAATACCAGTACACATGGTAAAGGACAATCACCAATGAGCAGGGATGCAAATGGACATACAGACAGACAGAGGGACAGACGGACACCTGGTCTCGTCTGAACTCGTCCGTCGATCTATACTCGTAAGACACAGCCCCAGTGCTTGTCCGGTGTTGTACGACACAGGCGCGCCGTCCTACCACATGGACGCAAGGCCCTCCCCGGCATTGGTGTACGAGTGGCCGGCCTGTACGGGAAAACATACGTCCCCGCAAACACCAATATTCTTCCTATGCTATATACATCAGCAAAACACATCCCGCCGTGGACAAATAGGGGCGCGGTGGGCTCACTGCCACAATAGCAGCAGTAGCAGGAATATCAGCAGCGTCAGCAGTGATGGCATTTCGTCTAAAGAATCGACCACCACAATGTTTTGTCAGGGGGTGTTCCTGCACGCGAGGAGGACAGCCAACAGAACCACTCGCCAACACCCCCAACTACCTTACTTCGCCGTTACCGTCATGGTCACTGCCGTACCGTGTGCGTTCGCCGCGCGGCAGAACAAACACCGTTCTAGCTCCTTGTTTGGTCCCCCCGCATCCTTCTCCTCCTTCTCCTCTATCCCCTCTCCAGTACCCCCTCCTCCGTTGGAAACCAACGGCTCAAAACCCAATGCTATGATGCTATGATACCAACCGCCGTGTGCACTGTACGGCAGACAAAACACACTCTAAAACTAACGCTCGTTACCTTGTATTCCCTCTCCTGCCGCCATTCAAACCCTTCCCTCCCCCGCGCCACGCCACGCGACAACCTGCCAAACTGCTGCTCCAGGTTGCCGTACCGCTTCCGTACATTCTTCGTGCAAAGCGAGTATAACTTCCCGCAGCCCGCTGCTGCTCGCACTCGCGGCCTCACTCCCATATCCATCTGGGGGTCACGTCGAGCACTGAGCCCTCGTCCCGTGGTCCGAGGTGTCGGATTGCTGCTGGATTCGATCTGGATCCGGAATACGGATTCTGGGTCTACGTAGGGCCCCAACATCACGTGCAGATCTGTTGCGACCCCACACGTCGCATCCCGTCAAGCACGACACCTTCCCTCACATCTGCACCCGCCATAAGGCCCCGCTCTTTTCCCAAGACCTCCAATGTGTGTGTGTGTATATATTGACCCGTGGGTCACTTGGGTCGCTCGCCGTGCAGATAGACCCCAACTCGAAGCCCTAGCGTAAGCTAGTACGGGACACCCGGCGGGAAAAGGGAAAGGGGGAAGGGGCATATCTAAAGGGCTCGGAAAGATGAGGCGGACTGGGAAGGGCGTGTGGCTGGAGGTGATGGACGCGCATGCAAAACACACAGGCACACATACAGGCACACAACCATGCAAGAGCCTAATAAATCATTCATTGCGTAGCTATCCTATTATTGCACTGTTGACCCCCTGTTGGCCGGTTTCCCCCCGTTCCCCCCCTCCCCCCGTCCCCCCCCCCCGCCCCTCCCTCCCTCCTTGCCGTTCGCTGTCATTGCTACGGATCCTGTAACGAATACGACCCGACCCGACCGCCCCAATCCCTCAGCTAACCTTCCGTACGGTCTCGTCGTACTGCATTAGGGGGTGTTGAGTTTTCAGTGAGTGGAGTTGAAGAGCTGCTCCCCCGAGCGCCACTCGTGGGACGAGCTGCCGCTGCCGTACACATAGCGGTAAATGGATGCAAAGTCCTGGTCGCCCATGCCCTCCTCCACAATCTGCGTGGGTGTGGGTGGGGGGTGGGGGGTGGGGGGGTGCACATATAGGCGGACACGTAAATCTGTTTTGGACATTATCATATGACTGAATGTACGACGGCAAAAAGATGTCTGGAGAGGGAAACGCCCCCGGGTTCGATTATATGGTTGTGTGCGTCCGTATGTGTGTACAGTAACCGTTATGCGCCGAGTTAGAAGCCCCAAGCCCCGTGCCTCCATACCCTCCCCCATTCCTCTCCTCCCATACGGAGGGCCGAGGCGCAGTAATGCCCACCATGCCGTACCTTGCTGTACAGCTGCAGGGTGTTACGGCATACTGGTACGGGAGAGTGGCTTTTATCAGCCGCATTCAGCGCCATAGTGAGGTGTTCCACAACTTGGGAGGAACGATGACCGGCCCGGTAGCCCTGGGGGAGGTGGCGGTGTGTGTGTGTGCGAGAGAGTGTGTCTGTGTGTGTGTGTGTGTGTGTGTGTGTGTTACCTATCTGCCTGGCCGACACGGACCGGGACACCCAATCGTACCCTTTATGTATGTATGTATGTGTGTGTTGGGGGGAGGTAGCAAACAACTCCCACCCACATCCAGAGTTGCAAACTGCTGACTGAGTCCAAAGCAATGATCGCCGGGGGGAGGGGGAGGGCCGAATGTGATTTGTTTCCTTGGGCTCAACTGAGTTCCCCCCTTTGTGTGGGGGATTAGGAACGATTAGTAGGGGGGCCGAGAGGTTCGTACATCCCCCCCTCATGCGTACGAACCCCGACGCCCGACCCGATGATGACCTCACCTAAAGTCATCAGGTCCCTCGGGGATATAACCCCCGGGGACATCTCCCCCCTCCTCCGGAACCCCCTCCCCCCCTCCGCCGCCGACCCGCCCTCCCGAGTCTTACCCCCTCCCCTCGGCACCTGAGCCCTTAGCCCCCACTCCCTCCACCTCCCGCCCCGTTTTCCTCCCGCCCCTCCCGCCGCTCCCTCCCTTCATCCGCACCTGGCTGGCAGGCGCATCAGGAGTCAGTCCCGGCACCGGGTTGTACTCCTGGCTCACCCAGCTGCGACCGCTGCCCGAGTTCAGCACCCGGGTCATGACCCCCGGGTCAACACCCAGTCGCCGGGACAGCGCCATGGCCTCCGCAGTGGCCGCCATTGTGGCCGCCTGGCCCGGGGGGACGCACATACATACGTGGTAACACACGAAACATACAGCGAATCGTGCAGCTGATGGACGGGACAAGGATGGACACCCAGGGCGGGGCGTATGTATGTACGGCGTAAGTACGGCACACTGTCTGACGAGTCGGGGTGGAATTACGGTGTGGTGTTGGCGGAGGTGGAGGTGGGCTCGCTGCTCTGCCCTGCACGGGAAGCAGCAAGCAGGCGACGCAATTGCCGCTGCGGCACTACCACAACCACTGCCCCTACTCCTCTCCCCACCCCCCCGCCACACACACACAAAAACCACTCAGGCGCTCTACCAGCGGCCCTTGTCTGATGCCACAGCTACCCACAGCCCACTTGCCCCCCCACTGTCCTTCATGCACATGTGCGCAAAATCTTCGCCTGCCTGTGTGTGAGAGAGATTCACACACACAAACACAGACGTGTTCTGGTCGCCTCCCCCCTCCCTCCCCCCCATCTTCCCCATCCCCCCCATCTCACCATGACCAGTGTGTTGCACAGCCTTGCCGCCTGCGCGTCCCCCGCGTCCCCGCACCAGATCACCCGGCTGCCCATGTCCCGCAGCAGGGGCTCCACGGCGGGTAGAGCGGCCGCCTCACCGCCCACAAGGAACGACAGCGTGCCTGAAGGGGGGTGGGGTATGGGGTTGGAGGCGAGGCAGGAGGCAGGAGAGATTGGGAGAGGGATATCATCGTATGATGCAAGACGCGCAACGAGCGAAGGGGGGCTGAGGTTTAAGAGGGATCGCGGATAGGAGAGGGACAAGCGGTTGCTTGAGCTGTACAGCACAGATCCCGTTAACTAATTTTTAATAATATAGTAAAATTACGATAATAATAGTAATAATAATAACAACTATTATTATTACATGACACCACACAGGACAATAAACACTTCGAAATGGAGTCTTGCTTGCAAGGACAACCTTGTAACGACAGCCTTAGCAACCTGGACGAGCAAAGTGGGTGGGAGGGCATGACAAGCCACAAAGCCACAGGACGTCATGGGGCTTATCCTCGCTCACCCTTATCAGCTCCCACGATGCCCCCCGTCACGGGCGCATCCAGCAATGCGGGGTTCTGGGGGGGCAGCCCCGGCAGGGGGGGTCCCGCTGCGGGGCTGATGCGGGTGGCACGAACCCTGCCCTCCAGCTCCCGGGCGGTGGGCGGATCTAGGGTGGTGCAGTCCACCTGGACAAGGGGGAGGGGAGGGGAGGGGAGGGGAGGGTACCAGGGGGCGAAGAGGGTAAGGAGAACCACTGGCGATTGAAGCAGCAGATACTAAAAAGAGGTCAACGGTCTGGATTCTCCAGGATTAGATTTTAAACGGATACTGCATCAGGAATTTATTATTTATATATTTGTAAGTAACTAATCAGTAGTGACAGTAGGGTAATAGTCATCGCGGCGGCGTGGCCAGCTAGCTAGATTGCGGAATGAGTATGTCTGAGCTGCCAAGTCGAAAGAAGAAAAGGCAAAAAAAGGAGAAGACTTCCTAGCCGCCGAGATGAAAGAAAAAAGTCGTAAAGAAAGTGGAAATGCAAAGGAAGAAGTTTTAGTAAAAAGTTAAAGCTAAAGGCAGCGAAGTGGAAAGGCTACCGGAAGGTGGGGAAATGGTCACGGGTTTTAGGGTTTTACCATTTTAGGACGGTGAAAAAGGAAGGGAGGGACGAGGTGAGACATATGTGCCATTTACTTTACATCCTAAACCAGCTGCTTTCGGATGTAAGTAGGCCTTAGGATGCACTCCTAATGAATGAAAAAAGCATATATGTCCAGAACCACCATGTGTTGTCGTTCCACGCTGACCTCCGACCTGCTCCCACCCGCAACCTCCCACACCCCCAGCTCTACCCCGGCCATGCAAAGGCAACCGGGAGCCCCTTGCTTCCAAACCCTGGAGCGGCAGACAACCTCAGCTCCGAGTCATAAGGTCCCCGTCCCCAACCCCCACCCACCTACCCACCCACCAGCACCCGGGGCACCACTCCTCCGCTCGCCGCCAGCAGCCCATCCCCAGCAAGGTAAGCCCGACGAGCAGCAGCTGCGCCAGGCAGCATAGTAAATACAACCGACACCCCTGCATGTGCCGTACAGCAGATGTACAAGTACGAATCGTCGCCGTGTCAGGGGAAACAGGCCTCGCCGGGCGAAAAAAAGGGGCTCGACGGCCAACAGAGCGGTAGGGGGCCGGAAGGTTTCGCTTTTGCAGTGCAGCGCGTCGTACCAGTGTCAGAGCCGTACTGTATGACGAAAGGAGGTGTGCACCACCGAAATTGGATACGTCGGCTTAGGGCGGGATGGGTTGGGGGTGGGGATTGAGGGCACAACCCCGACCCACCCACCCGCACCATCCCAAGCTCCCCGCTCCCACCTAATGGGAGCCATAGGAGCCACTTCTTGGCTGTTCACAGAACCGAACCTGTTATGTTTTCCGTTAGGCGAGGAATCTAAAGGCCACTTTAGTGCGCGTCACTCCTAACCCGACCGGACCCGACTCGACCCGGCATGGCCCGCTTGGTAAGCCCGTACCCCCACTCCCACCCTCCCCACCGCCATTGCCACTGCGCACCGCGAGTCTCAGCTAGGTCAGCGGGGCTGCACGCGGCTTCGACAGTTCCAGGCCCGCCGGCGGCTGCCACCGCACTCGCATCTTCGAGCAGTCGATCGATCGCAAAGCGATTGCTGTCGTACACTACGAGGTTTTTGCCGGCGTCGAGCAGGTGCTTCGCCATTCGGTGGCCCATCGCGCCCAGACCCACGAAGCCCACCTGGGGTCCGCGTGTATGTATGTATGTATGTATGTATGTATGTATGTATGTATGTATGTATGTATGTATGTATGTATGTATGTATGTATGTATGTATGTATGTATGTATGTATGTATGTATGTGTGTATGTGTGTGTGTATGTATGTATGTATGTATGTGGCGACGTGCCGAGTAAGAAGTAGATGTCATGCCGGAGAGCATCCCGTTGGGAAATGGTTGGGGGTTGCGGGGGGGTTGGGAGGCAAGGGAAAGAAACACACAGTGCGGAGTGGGAGGAGAAGAGGAAAATCAGATATGGACATTGTACAGAACATTGGTCAAGTAAAAGAACTGGGGGTGAAAAATACTGGTATGGTATGCCGTATCGCCCAATTGACCAGTGCTTTGCTGTAGGCGTGCGTGGGTTTCGACATCGAGCGGGGACGGGGTTGGGGACGGGGCGGGAATGGATGGAATCGTACATGATGCGAGGAGAAACAAATCACGTGTCGACGTCCAAAACACCAGCACCAGCTGCGGGAGGAAAGGGAAAAGGTGGGCAACGGAGCTAAAGGCTGCGTGGAAGGGGACACGTCGGGGAAAGGTGAGGCCCCAGAAGCTGCGCGCGCTTGCACAGAGGGCTTCAGAGCCTGTGAGCAGCAGCAGGCGGCGTGCCGCATGGAAAGCCGTGCATGCCGGCGATGCGGGTCGATCGTGGGTTGCTTCAGTTAAATTACTATGGGACAACTTAAATCTGGTAGCTTCCTAGTCTACAAGTGAGTACAAGGCAAACAGATGAAGATTGGAAGAAGGGATTGTGCTTGGTGGCAGCACGTGCAACAGGCGTTGACTAGAGGCTTGGGCGGTGCGGCCGCAATCGTTACGGAACCCTGCAACAGCCTTCCGGTTTCAAGCTATTGCGCGAAGACAGGTTTTACAAATATACCTTCCCAATTCAGAGGTCTGAAAAATCTTGGTAGGAACTTTATGTCGGAGCAATGTCGGAGCAACTCCAGAAAAGTTGCAGGTTTCGGGATATGTGTTCCAGGCCCATGGCCCAAACCATAATTTAAGACATCAAGGCCTTAACTTGTAGCTCAATTGCATAATTGAGCTTGCGTAACAGTCGCGGCAACCGTAATAGCCCACCTTCGCAGCGACATCGACAGACGAGGAGGCAAACCGCACTCCGCCATGAGCTATAGCGACTTTGGCCAAAAGCTGCAGGCTGGAGATAGCGCTTGTGGCTTGAAGCAGCATCTGTAACCTTTGCTTGAATCAAAATTGCGTCAGCTCAGAGCGAATTAAATTACTGATGCGAAGAGAAAGCTACGTGGAGGAGCAGGTAAAAACAAATTCAACTTATATCGACCGTTCAACGGTTAAAGGGATATTCCAACATTAGCGGCATGAGTTAGGCCGACCGCTTGGAAGCTGGGCATCTCGTACCCCACAACGGTCAACAACCGAGCCATCCACCGCGTTTCGCGCGGGCACTAGCATGGCACATGGTGCACATCGCGTGCACACAAATTGACACCCAACTTCGATGTAGATTGAAGCCATGCATATTATGTATCAGTCTTCCAGTCCTTACCCGTCTGAAATCACCCGGCCGCGAACCCTATCCCCGGCAGGAGCAATAAAACGAAGAGACTGCCTGCCACTACCTGGCTGCCTACCTGCCTAACAGCCACCGATGGACAACCGGCGGCAACCTTGCCATAGACTCAATACTGGCGAATTACTTAGGACGGGACAAACTAACCCTGTTCGCAGTCGAGCCCCGCGGGCACATCACCATCGCTAAGAAGCTCACCGAATCCCCGAGACCTTCGAAGACTGGATGCATGAGTGGCTACACCACTGAGATAGGCCTGAGTGTCTGTCTATCTGTCTGTCTATCTGTCTGTTTATCTGTCTGTCTGTCTGCCTGCCTGTGTTAGATGTTTGCACCTCTGCAACCCAGTAAACCGCTCCAGATGACTCCAAACACAAACACACTCCCCGGAAGCCCTAGCTACCATGCAGCAGCAGGCTAATGCTGACTTGGGCCGCCGGCTCATATGGGCCGTTACGCCTTCGGAGAGTAATTCAACTCAAATTGTAACATACACATACACACACATAAGTTCATTTTTTTCCAGGAGCCGGGTTTTGCATATCGGCCAGCAGGCACGGCGGGTCTAAGGGGTCCCAGCTCGCCTGTTCGCTTGGGCCAGCAGGGGCCAGGTTTGGACCGTGGGGGAACAAAGACGGCTTCATGACACAGAAAGCACCACGGGGAGGAGAGAGTGTACAGGAGAACATCCCGGGGCAGCCCGAGTGGCTCGCCAGGCCCAGGGTGCCGTACTCCTTACAAGGTGCACGTCCAGTCCTGCATTTCTAAGAAAGGCGTGCATCTGGTGTCCTGCACAGATGTGACATATCCATGGGGTTCCTGTTAACACCATTGCTACCACTTGCCAGTCATCCATCAGCCAGCAACTAACTGGAGCCCCATACCTCCGGCTGCATGATCAGCACGACAAACAAGGCCTGGGTCCCCTTATCGAAAGCATCCCCCGACAGCAGCAATAGCAGCAGCAGCAGTGTGGGAACCGTGCCCAAGGGGAACCCCATCACCTTCACACACAGGTCGACAAGAGCTGCCACAAAGACATTTGTATGGCACAACGAGGTAAAGCCACACACACATACACAGAGCTCCATCCTGGCTGTCGTTTCGCTAGATTGATAGTAGATAGGAGAAGTGGGAATCTTGTTGGTCCATTCTTGCGCATCACTTATTAGATGACGAGGGCATTTGGCTACACTAAGAGAGTCCCACCGTTTACCCACGCTTGGTTGAATTTTTTCACTTCGACATTCAGAGCACTGGGCAGAAAGTTTAGTGTTGTAAGCCCTCATGCCAGCACACAGTTTAAGCCCAACACAGGACGCCCGGTACCCCATCCGGCGCCTCTACCCCCGGCCCCACACTCGCCTGGCTGCCCTTGTCTGAGTCGGACACGCTCACCAGTACACGCGGAAGTCCCGCTGCAGCCAAACCACATCTTTACCACCGCCATGTAGCAAATGCACCCATCTTACCGTTACCTACGTTTATAACTTCATTGCTTTAGTCAAGGACCCCCTGCTGCCACGGCGCATTCTTGAGTACGGCAATCCGGTCCAACAGCGCTGCCGCCCGTTGCTGCCTCCGCTGCCTGTGTAGGCGGGATCGCCTAGATCGATACCAACTGAAAGAGAATGGGCTCCGTTTCTCGTTGGGATGTCACGTTGATTGTAGGTTACTAGCAGGCTTAGTAGGCTCCTCCCCGTGGTGCTTTCTGTGTCATGAAGCCGTCTTTGTCCCCCCACGGTCCAAACCCCCCTGCTGGCCCAAGTGAACAGGCGAGCTGGGATCCCTTAGACCCGCCGTGCCTGCTGGCCGATATGCAAAACCCAGCACATGAAACGAACATATGTGTGTGTATGTGTGTGTTACAACTTGAGTTGAATTACTCTCCGAAGGCATAACGGCCCATACAAGCCGGGGCCAGTTTAGGGCTGTCCAAATTGGAAAAAAACGGAATAGAAAAATCTAAAGACTATTATCCCAACACCCAATATCAGAATAGAAAAGAAAGTTATATCAACTAATTGAGCTACCAGGACTCGTATGCCTTAGCGTTGTGCCTGCTATTCCTGTGGATAAGGTTCGGCAACTTAAGCTGGCCAACCACAGCCATCGCGTCCGTCAAAATCTGATCTATCCGGAACCCGACAGAAAGCTCCTACATGTGCTATATGCTGGGCGCTCCAAGAGTACATGCTCGTCGTCCTCCGCGGCTTGGCCAAGCCATAAAACTTGCAGATCCTCTACCCACTCGGGAACCCCCCATAACCTTTATACACATTTATGTCCTATAGCCTTCATGGCTTGCTGTACGGTTGCGTTCGGGGTGTCGGATAGGACAGGGCGAGGCGAAACCGGGGCTGCCAAGGGCCTTACACTACTGCAGAGTACTAATTGCTGCTCTCGGAGCGCCAGGGCGCGTGTGCGCCGAAGCGCGGTCTAGCGCCACACGGCGCGGTCTGAGCGCGCGCAGCGCTGTCCAGCGCGGCCACACCGGCACGGCCGAAAGAACTGACGCACAGCACTAGACAACTAAACGCAGCATTAATGACTGCGTCCACTGGTCACCCGCCCCGAGGGCAAACCTGAAGCGTCAGCGACGCACGAACCACACCCTGGCCAGCGGGGCTGGCCAGGCGACATTCCTAGCGCGCGACGATACTCTATAGGCACTTATTTGCCGTGCGGTAATCGCTGTACAGCTGCACGTCCGGCGCTCCGAGGGGACTGCCTAATCACCGGTCTCCAACTGGGCCGAGCCTGCCGCTTATAAACGAGGGACACTGAGGGCGGGGGGGGGGAAGTGAGAGCAACAATAATAATAAGCTCCAATAGTGTAGGCAGAATGCCGGAACTATGGAGCTGTCAGCTGAAATAGTAAATTCGAATTCTCAGCAAGCCATACGGCTGCCGTACATAACCTAGCTTAGAGGCTATACTCGCTTTGCTCCTGCCGCATCTAAGCTACAATTATGTCCTATAGCCTTCATGGCTTGCTGTACGGTTGCGTTCGGGGTGTCGGATA